TAAATTATTAATAATATTTTTTATTTTTTTTGTTTAATGAAAAATGCTGATATAGACTAATTAGATTGAGTATATATGTCATATGTGAACGCTCTCATTGGCCTAAAACATCAACACAGACCACAAATAATATATTTTAAGTTAGCAGTTCAGATTTTAATTGTTTGTCGTGATTAAAATTTTAAAATAATTTAGTTATGATTTTAAATACAGTTTTTAATAATTTTGTTCAATATATATGAATTTTGTTTCATAATCTATTTATATGTTAATTTACCTTTTTTATTGTTAATAGAAAAATAAGATCTATTTTTATTTTTATTAATAACTAACTTAAAATTTAGAAAATTTTCTAATAACAACAAAAACAAAATTAATTAAAATTTAGAAATTTTTTTATAACAATTAAAATGAATTAATTAATTCTAAGATATAATATATAATTAACTAAAAATAATGATGATGTATACCAATAAAATTGAATCTTTAAATCCTATGTGGACATCCTTAGAAGCATTTAACATCAACTTTTATTAGTAATAGATATGTTTAAAAAAAAATATTTTCACATTAATGAGATATACAATTATACAATTAATTAAGCTACCAAAAATGGAAAAAAATTAAATGCTTTGACCATTCGATATAATGTTGCTATATATATGAACTCAAAGCATTCGATTAAGGTATACAATATATATTAGCATTTGTGGGGAAAATATCGGTTGACAAAATCAATATAACAAAAACACAAATATCTCTCCTGGTCAAGACACTTCAGCATTTTAGAGTTTTCTTAGGATGATACTTCAGCAAATCAATTCACCAATGAAAATATTTCATTAAACAACTCATTAAAAAAAAACCATCCAAAATCAACACATTAGATAGCCTTAGATAGTCCACACACTAATGCTGTTTTCAAAACACGTTAAATAGCCCAACCCAATTTCGATGTTATTAGCCAACCCAATTTCAATGAGGAGAAGAGAGAAAAGGAGAGAGAAGAGGAGAAAGAGAGGAAGTTTGTGGTTCACATTTTGCGGAAAATACAATTTGACTATTTTGGCGAAAAATTGAATTTTTCAATTTTGTTAGAAAAACATGATTTCTCGGTTCGACAAGAAAACAATTTTTCTTGGCTTTAGCGGGAATAAGGAATTTCTCAATTTTGACGGAAATATGGGATTTCTTGGTTTCGATAGGAAAATATGATTTTCAGTTTTGGTAGGAAAACACAAATTCTTGGTTATGGCAGAAAAAACGAATCCTCGGGTTTAGCGAGAATATGTGAATTTTTGGTTTTAGTGAGAAAACAATTTTTTTTAAAAAGAAAACAGAATATCGGTTTTGATGGAAAATGCAACTTTTCAATTTTGACGAGAAAATGCGATTTCTCGGTTTTGATAGGAAATGGAAATTTTTGGTTTTTGATGGATAATGCGATTTATTGGTTTTAGTGAGAAAAAATGTGATTTCTTAGTTTTTGCGGGAAATTATAATTTGACGATTTTGGCGGAAAATGCAATTTTTCGATTTGATGGGAAAACAAAATTTCTCGGTTTTGGCGGAAATATGTAATTTCAGAAATGCAAATTTTCAGTTTTTGACGAATAATGCGATTTTTTGGTATTCACGGGAAACTGTTATTTCTTAGTTTTTGCGGGAAAACGCAATTTCTTGAGAAATAATGCAATTTTGGTTTTCGCAGAAAATTGTAGTGTATTTGGTTTTGGTAAAAAAAGTGTGATTCTTAGTTTGACAAGAAAATGATTTTAATTTGCGGGAATAGATAATTTCTCGGTTTTTACGGGAAAATAATTTTTGGGTTTTGCATAAAGATGAAATTTTTTTTTTAATGTAAACTTTTGACTTTTGACGGATAATGCGATTTTTTTGGTTTTCGCAAAAAGATGTGATTTCTTAGTTTTTAAGGGAAATTGTAATATGAAGATTTTGGTGGAAAATGCAAATTCTCAATTTGATGGAAAAAATTTTTTTTTGGTCTTGGCGGAAATAAGCACTTTATCGGTTTTGATGAGAATGCAAATTTTCAGTTTTTGACGAAAAATGCGACTTTTTTTGTTTTCGCGGGAAACTACCATTTCTTAGTTTTCGCGGGAAAACACAATTTCTCCATAGATAATGCAATCATGGTTTTCGCGGGAAATTGTAGTATCAATTTTGGTAGGAAAGTGCGATTCTTGGTTTGACGAGAAAATAATTTTTTGGTTTTGGCGGGAATAGATGATTTTTCGGTTTTTGCCAAAAAATAAATTTTTCGGTTTTGACGAAAAAATACGTTTTTAGGTTTTGCAGGTAGATGATTTTTTTTTGGTGAAAAACGTGATTTCTTGGTTTTGGTAAGAAAACACAGGTTTTCGCAAAAAAATGTGATTTGTTGGTTTTTACTGAAAAATACAATTCTTTTGTTTTGGTGGGAAAATAAAATTTAGATTTGACGAAAAAATGTTTTTCTTTTTGTTTTAGTGGGAATATGCGATTTCTCAATTTTCATAGAAAAATGAAGTTTTTGGTTTTGACGGGAAATGTGATTTCTTAATTTTTATAAGAAAATAAAATTTTTCTGTGCTAAAATGCTAAGTTACAATATATTTACAGTTATCAAAATTTAATTATTTAACTTTAACTAAATCGATATTTCAATAGTTCAAATATAATTTTCTATTTAGTTCTAAAGCAATAGCAATGGTTTTGATATGAATGTTATTAATTATAGTTTGATGATTTTAGAAACATATGTTTATAATAAATAGTTGATAAATAAATAAATTTTGTAATTCAAAATAATCATATTCATTAATAATTTTTTTAAATGACATTTTGCTTTATATAATTTCAAAGGAGGATCAAGTGATAATTTAGGAGAGAAAATTGATTACATTTGTCATTAGCATGAAAGTACTTAAAATGTATTGTTTTTATTTTTACATATACATTTAAAGTTAGCTAGCTAAACGAATTTGATAGAAAATTATAATTTTGAAAAAAAAAATTAAGGATTATACAATGTTTATTCAGATTTAAACATATAAATACATAACTTAAGCTAATAATAAAATAAATATAATATTAATTTATATTATAAAAATAATGCTGAAAAAAAAATATTATAAAAATAATTTTATTATATTAAAAATATATATAAAATTTTAAAAAAATATCTTGCAGCGTAGCGCGGATAAATACCTAGTATATATAACTTCCAAAATATATTTGAATCTCATATCAGCTCTTAATCATTCGGAATATAAAAAAAATGGCTGCATATGTCAAACAAAACTTTCCATTAGCTCTTATAGTGATTTTACTTCTTTTTGTTGTTTCATCATATGCAAAATATAGTGTAATGGTTACAAAAGGTGAGATCGAGCGTATATGCACACAAAAAGCTGTAAACGCTTCACTTTGTTTTGGGATTATCAAACCAATCCCTAACATTGTAACATTGAATTTTTCTGGTCTTGTCAAATTTTTGATTAATTATCAGGCTCAAAATGTTTCGGATGCAATTAAGCAAATGAAATCATTCAAAGGCAGCGCGAAGGATTTGGCTACAATTAAATTTTGTGTAGAACGTTATGAAGCTGTTCTTTCTGAAGAAAATGATTCTCTCCAAGCTTTGGCAGCCAAAGACTACGATAACTTAAGCATGCATGTTGGTGGTACAGTAACAGAGATGTATACATGTACTGATGAATTGTCAAGAATGAAGCCGATCCCCGAAGTCTTTATCACGAGAAGTATGTTCATCAAAGATATTTCTGATATTACAATGGCGGTTCTTGCATGTTATTTGCTTGAAGGAAAAACAAGTTGTAAACCAAATATATAAATTCTAGAATGTTTCATAAGAGAAGAAAAATAGGATATAAACTGAATTTCTAAAAATAAGTTGAATCTCAAATGCTTTGAAACTAGGATTTAGCCCGCTCTGTGCACGGGCCAATATTTATTTTTCTTTTTGATTGTTTTGAATTTTGGATATATTTATTTTTCTTAAACATTAACAACTACAGACTTGAATATTTTTGAATGAGTCAGACATGTTCTTCGTGCGGTTTATTGTTAAGTTTGTTATGTATCTCTATAATATTACCCTTTTTCGAATGAACTATATTTATTAAATTTTAGTTTAATATTCTTTACAGATAAGTATTTTGAGACAGATTGTCTATATGTCAATATTGTTAACATATTTAAAGACATTTTGAGACAATATTGTCTATATGTCTATATGTCAATATTCTTTTCTATAAGTGCTTATATAGGCTATGAAAATATCTTTACGGATAAGTATTTTAAGACAGATTGTCTCTAACTGGTTAAAATAATTTAGGAAGAGCTTAATATGGTTAGATCATCTTTTTGTAATTTTTCTATCTTTTTATCTTTTGTGTTTTGAATGTCCGTGCTGATTGCTTTGCAAAAAGTGCTCGGCTACATGGTTTTGTATTCTCCCATTTTGATGTTGAGGTTGCAGAGTAGTTAGTTCACGAACCAAATACTTTCAGATCATAAAATATAAAATTGTGTTTTTGGTGTCAAAAAAAAAAATAACTCAAGTACTCATAGTCTCATATCATACCCATTTGATTTCCGTATCCATTTCGATAAATTAAACAATCTTAAATGGATAATTATTTGAATGGATGAAAAATATGACAAAATTAGATTGAGAAAAGAAACTTCATGAAATGGACATGCCTATACCAAATTGGCATTAGCTAGATGAGAAGTTTTTTTTTTAAGGGTTCGTTTGTTTTTTGTATATAAAAAAAATAATATTATTTTATTTTAAAAAACATTTTGGGATATCCTGTGAAAAATAAATAGGTTTCGTTTTTCTAACGGTTAATTAAGCTGGTGGTATATTATATATCAAGGGATCTTGTCAATCCTAAATTAAAATAGATTCATGATTTTCTCAACATGTTACTAGTGTAATTAAAGAAGAGCTGAGAAAAAAAAAAGTGATTTTTAATTTTGTTTCTTATCAAGATTCAAGAAGACAAGCATAGCTAATTTGATAAGATTAAGTAATTTAGCTGTCAAAAAAAATAAAATAAGATTAAGTTGTTTAAAAATGGAAAAGGCTTTTAAGGATACATAGCGAATTAGCTAGAGTCACTAATCTAAAAAGTACAATGACCCACTTAATAATAATAATAATCCATAGAACCGGAATAAAGTTAAGACCTAGGACGTGTCACATCAAAGGTTGACCCATGGCCCATTTGGAGCCACGGGCTCAAGGATACAGTCGGTTGGTTATGGTTCGATGGTCCTGCCACGCGTTCGCAAGATGGACACATGAGAAGTGTGGTCGGTGGACTCATCTGACCATAGAACCGCGGTGAAAGCTTTAGTGCCCTCAATTCGGCCGCCTCTTTCTCGAGCCGCTGATTCTCTTCAGTCAGTTTCTCTACGCATCTCTTCAAATACTCACAATCCACTTCGGTCTGCTTCAGTTTTGTCCTATTGGCACAAAACATTGGTTTGTATTGTTAATAAACATTTCTCTTAAGGGGTAAAATGGTCAATTAATATCCTAAAAATGAGTTCTTTTGACTCTCACCTTGCTCTTCTGTTTTGGAACCACACTTCCACTTGTCTAGCGGTTAAGCCTAGCTTCTTAGCCAAAGCCAGCTTCTGTTTCTGCAGATTTACCAAATAAAAGCCCTCGTTAGAACATAATATTTACAAGAATGCCCTCACTCCGAGGTGATGATGATGAATATTGAGTATTGACTTACGGGATTGAGAGTATTGTGTTCTTTGAAAGTGTCTTCGAGAACAGCAGATTGATCTTTGGATAGCCTGAGCTTCTTCCGACAAGCCTCTCCTCCGTACTCTTCTTCTTCGTCGGAGGTTCCACGTGAAGAAGATCGATCCAGAGTGATGTCGAGGTCATCTCCGGCACCACCGGATGTTCCTTCTCTCTCGCTCCTCCTCTTGCCGCTCACGGTGCTCGAGATCGTGCTGTTCGGGGAAGAAACTCCTGTCTCCTCCTCCAAATCCACCGTCGACGGCAAGCTGTTCACGTCGATTTTCCTAAGAAACTGTTGGTTTTGATGATCTGCAAAAATGAAAAAATGGGTCATTTCGAGATCTGTTGGTTTCTTGGTAGAAAAGCTCAACACTTTGTAGATGAAGAAGAGTGGTACCTGGGGAAGAAACTGTTTGATTCCATGGAAACATCTGGAGATTGGACAATATTGGTGAAGAAATGGGTTTTAGATTCAGCTGAAGTGGGTGATGGTTTTGTGAAAATCCCAAGCTCAAGCTTAAACCGAGATCCTCTTTTCCCATCATCATGATGATATTCTAGAGCCTTGAATATTAGTTTACCTCAAGAAATTGCAAACAGTAAGGTTTTGGGAAATGAGAATATATTAAAAAAAAAACTTTTGTCTTTGTGGGTAGAGATGACAATGGCTAGAAACCCTCTAAATGCTGATTTTACCTCAAAAGCTCTAACTTTTTCTAGTGGTGTTAGTGTAAAGAGAACAAGAGCAACCTTCTAGGGTTCTTATGGAGAGAGAGAGAGAGAGGGATAGAGAGAGAGATGTGGAATGGGGATGAAAGGAGAGTATTAATATAGGAGTTGAATGAAATGAGAGGTTGTCAGGTTGGCCAATTATATAATCTATAATGCCCTTTTGAAACCTCCATTATTATATCCCCAACTTGTTCTCTCTCTGTCTTCTCTTTTTCTTTTACTTTTCTTCTTTTACTATTCTAGTGCATCATATAACTCCCTTCTCTTTAGCTAACCATTTCCATAACCTAAAAGTCGTTCTAACATTTGTATATTATAATATATAATATATGTATGGAATCCAAAGTCTAGTTTCAAATTTTAATCGTACAAACTTATTCCTACCCAAAAAAAAAATATCTATTACGATGATATATGTGGCACAAATCCATCATTAGCTTGTGATTTAAATATACTGATCTCATGTATGGACTATGGAGGAATTCATGTCTTGTCTTGAAGAACTCCTGACTTTAAGATGTCCATGAAGCACCTTATTGCATTAATTTGAGACCATGCATGTCAATTAAAAAAAAAAAGAGAGAGATTTTTGATAACATTTTTCTTCAAGTTGTAAATTACTGAAGATTTTTCAAATTAGTAATTTATAAAATCATAAATTATAGGAATGTATTTTCATATATATGGTATTTTGTATGAATAATAAAACTCAAACAGTCAAGATCACACACGGATGAGACCAAACATCAAAGAAATAGTTGGCAATAATTTGTTGATCAAATAATGAAAAGAATTGGACTAAATCAAGTGGTTGGTACAAAACACAATCCACATGAATCTGAACTCATTCAAAGTTGTGGACCAATCAACTGTTCTGATCCAATCATATCCATGTGGGATGTGGGATCTATCATTACAATAACACCATATTAATGGATCCAACATTTATTGACTGTTTCTCTATTTCTATTTTGAATTTTGAATTTTGTAAAATGTAAACTCTCATTATCCAGTTCACTTTGTGAACGGTAAAATTATAAAACGTGATAATCACAAAACAACCAAATAGAATACAAATCATATCAAGCAAAGAAAAAAAATAGTTAAGTTATTAAACATCATAATTCCTTTGTAATAAAATTTTTAGAATTTTGATATAATCGAGTAGAATTGTTATTAAAAAGAATTCAGTCACATTTTTACCTTTACATTTTACCAATCACAATAATTCTCTTTATTGTTTATTGTTAACAAAAAAATGTAAGAAGTGTGATTTTCACCGCCGAAAGAAGATTTATTAAGAAATTTATTCGGAAAATGTCTATAGTTTTGGGCTCGAGAGGGTAACATGGGCAGGTGGGTCCACTCACGTGACTCTAAGGGACCCGAAAACACTCGACCCGGCCGTGCGTTTGATTTTGTTTCCTCACGCGCCGACATCCTATCATTTGCCATTTGCATCCACGCGCCTTAATCATTTTCTCCTCCTCGTAATCATTTATACGCAAAATTTGACAACCAGAAAAAAAAATCTTATTGTATTTTTTTTTTCGAAAAAAGGTTCTTATTGTTAATGGGCAAACATTCGAAAAACTGAACACCAAAATCAGAATAGCAAAAAAATATGAATTCGAATTATATGAGGTGCAATTGTAGTTTATGCTTTCTAACATAAACATGAAATGGATCACTTCAACGGTGTTAATAAAGTACTAATTATCAATTTCATTATAACTTTTAAATACCAGTAATTTTTTTAAGGCAAAAAACTGTGCCTTCGTTAATTCGACTTCAACGGTGTTAATAACACCGTTAAATATTGGGTTGTTTGGGTTAGATTAGATGCATTAACTTAAAACCCCATAAACTGTAAATCTCTAACCTAACTCTTAAAACATCAAGACTCTCAATCAAATACGTATAAAGCAAATCAAGATTCACGAATAAAAAACTTTAATAATACAAATCGTATTTTCTAATGATGTAATCATTTGAGGCGTATATACATGTTTTGCTTTTTCTCGGTAGGACTAATAATTATCAGTTTTGTTAATCATGTTTGATGTGTAGCTTGCTTAATTATTCTCTACAGAATTGGCTGTAGATTAACGTCATCATTGAGGAACTTTAAATGTTTGGACCTAACTTCCCTATTATGTTCGAATATTATATAGTCTCTGAACATGTAATAATTCGATCGAATGTTAGAAAATAACCATATCTTCAAATAAATATTCATTGACATCGATATAACGAGCAAGAAAGAGGCCTATAGCAGTAAAAATAAGATAGTTCGAGTTTGACGTTTCACATAAATAAATGTTCGATTCTTGATCGATATATAATATTATTTTAGCGCATCAAATGTTATGAATATTACTGTTATCCCTGCGTAATTATTGAGATTCTAGTATCGTCATGATTAATATTATAAAAAAATTAAGTAATGGGTTTGGGAATCTATGTTTTTAAAAATAAAATATAAGATGAAGCTTCAAGGAATGCTTGTGATTGAAAAGAAAGAAAAAAAAGGACCAAGTTGGCTCGTGCCATATATCCTCCCATGTGGAACCGACGTGGCGCACACATTCCTAAGCGAACCACACCACCCATGACAGCAAAGCACACGTGTGCTCTTGTCCACCCACACGTGCATTCCTAATATTCTTATGCCCTTGGTTTACTCCAGTCAACGGTCAAATAACCTTCCTCTTACTTCTATTACTATAAGAGTAAGAAACAGAAGAAGAAGAAGAATACGAAGAATATTTCCTTTTGTTACAACTGCAAAATGAAAATAATTTTTTCTTACAATTGCAAATTTGAAAATTTTGTTTTAGATCACTGTACAGAATATTTCGCTTTACAATTTCAAATAACAAAATCTGGTTTATATTGTTAATTTGCAATATCGGCCTTGGTTAAACCCACTCTTAGATTTGTATTATTAAAGCTTCATTCGTGGATTTTTACTTTACAATAGTTTGAAAAAGATATTAAAACATCATTTATTTGAAGACATAGTACAGAATAATGCACGTCTAACTATATATTGCATGGTCGAGTATTCTATAAAAATGTTGTATTACGGTATAAGTTATCAAGTTTTACAAACATAAAATGACTTTGCACATTTTCTTTAACCAATTTACCTCCAAAAGGTTTGAACATTGGCTAATGGCTATAGGCCATAAAAATGGGATATATTTGAAACTTGTTCTCTGAAAACATATACTAAATATGTATAAGCATGTTTTTATTCTTCTGCTTATACATATTTAACGAGGTGAGCTGTTGGTCATGTGGTTCATCGGTTAGCAAAACATTGTTTGGAATATCTTTGGGTTATAATGCGAGACACGTGCAATTATATGCAGTATGTACGGACTCCTTTTAACTACCTTTAAAGAATTCTCCCATCAAACGATTTTTTTAACGTGTAACGTTACTTCAAGATGAATTACAGTAAAGGTAAAAAAATCAGATCAAATAGTTTTTCTTTTTGAGAAAAGGTTTAATATCAATAGTTACATATATACATTTATGTAATTACGTGTGTGGAATATGTACCCTTTGTCGTGAGATAATACACATATATAGTTTAAAAATGACCATATATACTATCATACTACAAAACAAAATGAAAAACCATAAGCTTATGGTTCTCATGAAACTCCTAGAATGACGAAATAATATTTCATTTTTGTCTTTTGTAGCAACATCACTATTTATGAGTAGTAAATGCATTTATAGTGGACATTGGTCATTACAAACATCCCAAATTAATTTTGATGTATTAGTAAAAGAATGATTGGTAATATATATACTAATACTGGAATTTGGCGTTACACCATAATCTCCACTTGGTGACAGGTTCAGGAATCATTTGTGCGGTAGTGTGTGGTTGGTGGTTGAACAGAAATGCATCTCTAGTACAACGAGGACTGTGTGTGACGTAGATAAAGCAGTTAATGGCACATGATTCATAACCGATCATGATTTAACTAATTCTACTTTAAGAGCGAAATACTAACTCATTTAATCAGTTACTCCTATTATAATAATAGGTTTTTGTCAAAACCAAATAAAAATAAATTAGATCAGCAAGCAAGTAAACAGTCTATATGTAAACACATCAGCGTACACAAATGGCATGCTGATGTTTTTTGGATTTACGGTTAACTTTGGGGTTTTTTTTTGTTGGAATTGAATTCAATAACGTTTAAATTTTGATATACCTTTTTTAAATTATTAGATGGTATACTTGATATTAACATTGTATATGCTTTGTTTATGGTGTGTGTGTGTATATGATGTAATCAGTGAAAATATGCTCTCAGAATGAATCGACTTTTAGAAACAAGAGGAGCCCACTTCACATATTAATCTTCCATTCTTCCTTTTCTTCTAAGTTTATTTATTATTCGGCCAGAACTGTATAAAAGTGATTAAGTTTTGATTCGGAACAAATTTTGTTTTTTTTAACAAAAATTATTGAAAGAAACAATTAAAAATATCGCAATAAAACCGACACAATGAGTATTTGGCTTCGCTGTAGAAGAGCATAAACGGTGAGAGTCAAATGATTGTGGACTATAATCATTAGTTATGTGATGAAACACCAAAAACGGCTAAGATATGCCCTAAAACTCCTAAATAATTATTCCCATTATAGAATTAATAGCACTAAGCCACTAAGCAGTTCATAACTAATGGGATAACCTTCTCCAAAGTAAGCATGCTCATGCAAATAAAAGAATATCATAGGTTATATCTTAGACCTTTTGGAATAGAAATCCAGAATGCGAGCCCATTGAGCTTATTTTGGATTTAGATCTATTATCACCTTAAGGCCTTAGGCTTAAGATGCCGTTTCTGTCACAAGAATATGACAAACAAAAGTTAAGACACAAATGACAACATAACTCCAGATAGGGGTGGGCAAATGAGAATTTGGGGCAGGATTTTGCGGGAATGGGAACGGGACATGAATATAGGAATCAAAATCATTGTCCCATATATGTTCAATTCAAAATTTGAGACGAGATGGGAATGAGACAGAAAGGACGGGAATGAGACGGAAATTCCAAAAAAAATAATTAAAAAGATGACAAATTGACAATTGTAAACAAAAAAATTAAAACTCAATTTATATTCGTCTATTATTCACCTTCTAAATCCTAATAAGTAATTATAATATGTCATATAAAATTATAAGTTAACCAAAAATAAATAAAATTAAACTTAACTTAATGATTAAAATTTAAAAGTTTCAATTTTTTTTTAAAAGAGCAACCTAATCCATTGAATAGTGAACACAAAATCACATATAGTCTAATAGTCATATAGAATAAAATAAAAAAAGTAAAAATTAACATAACTTTCGCTTATATAAAATATATTAATATATAATAATTATCATTTTTGATAATATATATTAAAAATATTTTATTATATATTTATATAAAAGTATTTAATTTATATATAATTCGGGATAAATGAAACTTCGAAAATTCCCGTTCTCGTCCCGTCTCATTCCCAAATGGAAATCAATACGTTGTACCATATAGGAGTATATTCCCATATAATATGGAAATTTGGGAATAAAACGGTACGGGACAGGAATTATGCCCACCCCTAACTCCAGGCAAGTATAAACCTTATGATAGTACTTGAAAATTTACGCGAGTCTCAGTTTCTAAGTCTATGTAAATAAGAGTTATGTGTGGTTTGCCAAAGCCATTCTTAAACATTTATGAGGTTGTTTTGCTTTGGCAGTTTAAAAAAAGAAGGTAAAGAGCACAAAGAAATAAAATTTACTTTGCCATTAGATTTAACTACAAAGCATCAAACTAACCGATTTTTTCTGCATTTCATTATCAATAACTCAAAATCGAACCCCCTCTCTTTCTTTATATATTTAGATATATTTGTTGAACTTGCCGACCATATTTACTTATAACTTTGTTACTACTAAGTTTGATATGAGACAAGAACAGGTCTCATATGAGATATTTCTTCTTCCTATCTTTTACTGTTGTGTAATAGACCATGCCACCAGCATACCTATCTACCCTGCAACAAACCAGAAACAAGTTCCCAACTACTTTAAGTCCAAAGCTCAAAACATGAAGCAATGGATAACACTACGACATCACCATATACATACATGAATATGATAAAGTTTCAATCAGGGAGATGACTTCACCTTTTTTCTTCTTCACCAAAATACTCTTTTGTGAGCCCGATCATCGCTGCAAATTGAAATGCAATCGCTGTTAAGGGTTCCTTATCATTGATTGATATTACAGCAGAAAGCAACAGTAGCATTTTGCTTATGTCAAAGCTAAATGAGCTCTGCAAACATGGGTTTAATGTATGTTTTGTAAGCACCATAGTATGAAACCTCATTATCATCCGTAATCGCACAAAAAGGTCTCGAATTGCTTCTAGTTCATACAATCTACCGATCAATGTAGTTACAATAGTAGGTTGATCCAGGCATAATCAGAGCAAGTAAGTGACTTGCGTACCTTAGACGGAGAATTTGATACTCTGAAGCAATCAGCATTCATACCCACAAGACACAATCCAGGGGAAATAACCTACATCGCAGAACATTCTAATCAATGAACAGGAGGATACTTAAAAAAACATAATCTTGTTGTGTGAGGCAATTCGTCGAACACATGGTGACTTACATCGAGGTGTTTCTGCAAGGTCTTTGTCCTCTTCCGTGGCCGGCGAGATGGCCTGCTCCCGCTCATGCTGAACACGTCTTCTTCGATCTCGTCTCGAGAAAGAGCGACCCAAAGCCTGTGATTCTCGTTCGCTACCTCGACGCCGCCTAATCCGGGAGATTCCGCCGGGATTCCTCTTTGCCTGTTTGATTTCGGCTCTATTCCACCGCCTGATTTCTGATTCTTCACCTCCGAAGCTCCTCCGCCGCACGCTTCCGCTGATATTACTCCGTTTCCTTTCTTCGAACCGCCGCAGCCCTTCCTCGGCCGCAGATTCCAAGTCCTCTTCACCTCCTCTTCCTCCTCCTCCTCCGCTTCTTCTCCCTCCTTCACCGACACCGGAGCGTCCTCTTTCCGCGGCAGAATCTCTTCGGTGGCATCGGATTTCAGCCTCCTCGGGTAGTCGTTGTCGGATGACGGAGCAAATAAGGAGTAAGAGAGACGCGGCTGACGACTCGACCGTGACGCCACCGTTCGGTTAGAAGCAGCCACCGTCTCCGCCGATGGAGATGCAGTCCTCTCCGATTTCGTCTCCAATTTGGGGTCCACATCAGTCATAGCAGAGACTTGAACTCCACGGGTGAGAGAAGGAAAACCATGGAGAGCCCTCGAATTCGCCGGCGAAGCAGACATTGGACGAGATTATAACAAAACCTATACTGTGAGATGCTTTGCTTTTCACCTGCGCGTAGAGAGAGAGAGAGACAGAGAGATCAAAAACCCTAGAAGTAGAAAGCAGAGGCAGAGGAGAGAGATCTAGAAAGGACGAAGGAAATTTACGGAAACGGGTGCATGCGTTCGTTTCTAATTTTGTTTTATATAATTTCTTTGTTTCTTCTTCCTCTTTTCTTTTACAAGTCTCTCTTCTCTGAATTAGTTTGTTATTGGACCTTTTTCTTTCTCTTACCCAAATTATTTTTTACTAGACCTTTTTCACCAAATTTCATTGTGGAAAATTCTAGAATTTGTAAGGTTTTGATAAAATTTAGAAAAGACAAATGTCTAGTATGATTATTTCACCGTTTATACCGGACGAGTGTGATGATCATCACAGCCAAAAGATTAGATAAAAATGCATAACGTTGTGTTACACGGTTTTTATTATTTAATACGATCTGCATTTTTTAGCATGCTATAAATTTCAAACACCATACAGTACTTAATTTGCGAGAACCTTCTACAAATTTAATGGCTACTAAATTGACCAAGGAATTAATGATGTTACTTAAATGGATATAGTCATATAGACTTATATAGTTATGTTTGCTTTGTCATTAGCGACCAGAAAATTATGAGTGTTTGTCATTGTTGAATGATGTGCTAAAATGCTAACGAGCTAATCGATAAGGTGATTAATGTTAGTAACGTTTTGTAGTTTCGTACTGTTGCCGATGACAAAATTAAGATGGGAAGCTTTTGGGTCAAAATTTGAGATATTAATATTAATCTGATTTACATTATGGTTTAGGCTGAACAAGTTAAAGGGGCCCTCTTGTGTTTGTAGGCCGATTATATGCTACTTTTGAGAACTTCAACCAGGCCGACCAATCGATGGGCTTCTCATGTATACGAAAGCCTTTTTCTTACTCAGCTTGCGACACACAAAATTAGGGCATCCAGCGGTTTCTTGTAGCTCAAGCAATGGTCACAACTAAAGTAAAACGAAAACTACACTTAACCTTATAATAGCCGTGTGTTCCAGGCCCAATAATTTAAGCATAAAGGTGGGCTTAAAATTGGACTTTGAGTTCGAAATAATACGGTAAGAAGGACGCACGTGGACGACTGGGAAATTTCTCGTGGGATCCTATAATTTCCGACGAAAGTCATATGTAATTTATTGTCTTTCTAATTAATCGTTCTACTTGTGACCACGTGGCTGAGATTAGTGGGTCCTACTTATCTAAATCCAATCACTTGTTATGAATCATGATAAGACACGTCTGTGCTTCGAACATATATAAATTAACATATCGTGAACCTCTTTTTGCTTAATCTTGTTTAGAATTTCCTGGAAGATGTTTTTGTTACAGTTAAAGAAATGTGGTTTTATGATGATTACGTTGTAACATTCAATAAATAGTCATATGTTTCTTTATAGGATTTTACAGCAAAGAGTTATTCTAGATTTCAAAAACAGAGTGGCTCTAGATTAAACCACATCTAGTATATATATATATATATATATATATATATATTTAATATCTTCACATGAATTTAATTATATTATCATAAATGCATAATGCAAGTTGTAACAAAAAAAAGTCAGTTGTAATAACATATATATAGCCCTTTGTCAAAATAATAATAATATATATGAATTTAATATTGAGAATGTTATTAGTCTTTTAGACTTTAATTAACTTTTCACATAGATTTAATATAATTTTTTTTTTTGAAATCAGTACAATTTTGTTTGTTTGTTGGACATCAATACAAATTTTTAATGTGTCAACAATCAAGTTTGAATTAGATAGTCACAATAATAACACTATCACAAATCATTGAATTGAAATATCTCTGTTTTTAGTCAGCTACTTTTAGTTTATGGGAATAATTCCAACCATTTGTGGAGAAAAAAGTGGAATTAATTGGAAAGTAGTAGTCTACGAGTAATTTAATTCAAAGGTATTTATTCGGTCCTAAGGAAAATGATAAAGAAATTGAATAAATTGGTTTGACTAGAAATCAACGAACTAAGGAAATGAAAAAAATCAACCTGCGACACAGCAGATAACTTGATATCTTTTTTTATTACTACAGCAGTATGTGTAATAATTCCGACCAGATAAACCCCCCCTTTATAATTGTCTCTCTCTTTCTCTTCCCATTTTATCAGATTCTGTGCTTCCGAGATTATCATCGATCCGATCGACGGCGGAGGACCCGAATCGAGTCTGATCAGATCCGATTAGGATTACCAAAATCCTATCGGAAATGACTCGCCGTTGTTCTCACTGCAATCACAATGGCCACAACTCTCGTACATGTCCGAATCGTGGGGTTAAGCTCTTCGGTGTTCGGCTCACAGAGGGTTCGATCCGGAAGAGCGCCAGTATGGGCAATCTCAGCCACCACTCGGGCTCTGGTTTGAGTGGGCTCGGCGGAATCGGGTCGAACAATCCTGGTTCTCCCGGTGATGGCGTCGACCACGGCGTCGGCGATGGTTACGCCTCCGAGGATTTTGTTCCTGGCTCGTCTTCTAGCCGGGAGAGGAAGAAAGGTATATCTCTCCAATTCTCTCTTTGCGTTTCGGATTATGGTTTGCATATTGATTTCAGTATCATTTTCTGGTTTATCCTTTTTAATTTGATTATCCTGTATAATTTTTTTTTTTTTTGAGGATGTTTAAAAATTCGAATGCGAATTTAATGCCTAGTAGAACAATGTTGAAACTGAAAAGAAGAAAATATAGATAGAGTTGTATCATACAACGTTGTATGCATAAACAAAAATTCGGATAAGTTTGTTGGGACAATGTACTTGTCACTTTGTTTGATTTGCAATAAACAAAAGATATTTCTCAATTATATCATTGTGGGTTTCAGGTTACCTTTTTGGGAATTATTGAAATTTGTCTGGCTTTTTATGGGTTTTGATGATTGGTTTTTGTAATGAATGGGTTTTATAGGTAATCCGTGGACAGAAGAGGAGCATAGGATGTTCTTATTGGGTCTACAGAAGCTGGGAAAAGGCGATTGGCGAGGAATCTCCAGGAACTATGTGACAACGAGGACACCTACTCAAGTTGCAAGTCACGCTCAGAAGTACTTCATCAGACAATCCAATGTGTCTCGCCGCAAGAGACGTTCTAGTCTCTTTGATATGATTCCTGATGAGGTTAGTCATCATCACTCTCTTTGCTTTATCTATTCTCTAATCTCATTCAAGCAACATAGTCATATGGGATAAGTTTGATCTTGTTGAGGTTGTGTGCTTAGAAAGTTCGTTACTTTGCAGGTAACAGACGTTTTCATGGATTCTCAAGAGCTGCAAGCCGAAAACATTCCTGTGGAAACGCAAATGCAGGGTACTGACTCTGTTCCAACACCATTGATCCTGGAAATGGAAGAGTGTGAGTCCATGAACTCCACCAACTCTGGTACTGAGGAGCCACCACTGCATGTAACAGCTTCTGCTTCTTTCAGACCAGAAGACACCATCCAGACGCAGATACAACCGCCTGGTTCGTTCCCTGTACTATATCCGACTTACTTCTCGCCCTTCTACCCATTCCCGTACCCGATTTGGCCTGGTGCGTATGTTACCGAGCCGGCAAAGGAAGAGACTCACGAGATCCTCAGACCAACAGCTGTGCACTCAAAAGCTGCTCCCATTAACGTCGATCAGCTTCTTGGGATGTCTCAGCTAAGCCTCGGGGAGTCCAGCCAAAACGGTGTTTCAGAACAACCTCCTTCACTGAACCTCGTTGGAGGGTCGTCTTCGAGGCAATCAGCCTTTCATCCCAATCCAGGCAGTGGTGGTGGTTCGGACATTAACACCGTGATACATGCTCTCTAAAGATGCACCATCATTAACATGACAATTTGCAGACTGGTCCCGTGGTGGTCTCTCTCGGGGTTTGTTTGTTCTTTGTTATATTATTAACTTCAAAATAAGATTGTTTTATTAGGTTCGTTTTAACTGATTAGTTCAGCTTTTGTTTATTAGGTGGATTAAAAAGATAAAACTAATGTTAAAAATGTTATTGGCCTTTACCTTTGTTTTGGTTTAGCATAACCTTAATTTTTAATTTCGATCAAAGATATACAAAAACTGCAGTGTTTATTTATGTGATGATCTTATGAAAGTGCTGATTATTCTTTTTCAGCTTATTCATATCCACGTACATAGATTAGTTAGGACTTGGGTGAGGCAATTAATGTTTTTTTTACTGGATCGAAATTAGCTAGAAAGGAAAAAAATCCCATAAAATCGAAAGTGTCTGAGAGACTCGAAGAAGTGGGGAAAGTAGTCAGGGTTGGAATTTGGGCTTAGATGTGGCTGCCCCATCACATAGAATTGGTTAGGCCCAAAACAGATATACGCACTGTTTTAACATACTCACAAGCCACAGCATGTTAGGTTATGTCGGAACTGTTTCGTGAAAGAAGGAAATCGAATCTTTGGTGGTATCACTTGGGAGCCCCTCACACCTTTGGCCATTTCCAAGGACAGCAACAAGGTCATCCTCTCGCTTACCTTTCACGACAGCCTTGTCGCCTTTGATCTTGATCCTAAATCTACTACAGTTTATCATCTCTATTACTCTTGTTACTATGGCTTAGCTGTTCCTTATTTTCCAAGTTTATATTTCTAGACAGAAAATAAACATGTGTACTACTGTTTATTTTACTCAGAAAGTATAATCAATATTAGACAATAAAATACTGTAGAGGCTAGCCTTAAAATACGTTTATGTGAACTTAAGAGTGATTTTTGTCAATAAAAATTAACAATATTCAAAAGGGTTAGTAGTGATGTTAACTCAAATAATTCTAGTTAAAAGTGTTAGTTTTGCATGTGCTCTTGTGTTCTTATAGAAAGAAAACAACCAAAATTATGTAATTTTGTATAAAGGATCTACTTTATAAAAGAATCCACATTTATTTAATAGTAAACGTAGGTATGATAGATATCTTAGCATAAACATGTGTCATAAAAAATGAAGTTGAAATTAGATAATTCTTTTAAAACACATTGATAAATAAAAATATCTAAAAATTATGCAAAAGAATCATCAAAAAATTTCCAATTCTAAATATCAAAATTTCTAATTCAAAACGATCTAACAATAGTTCAAAAAAAACAATGATTTAATAATATAAAAAAAAACAACGATTTAACAATATTATTATAAATCATCCAAATATTTTTTTAACGAATAATTAGGTGATATTATTATTGACGGAATAAATGATCGTTTTACCTTTTACCGATGACTAAGTAGTATGAAAAGCTGGGTAAGAGCTAGGTGAGTGTGTTGCCTCTTTGAAAAAACATCAAAGCAGATCTGTTCAAGCATGTAGAGCGAGATTCTACAAATTGTTTAACATAAATATTTATTCTCTGTTTTTTATTTGTTATATGTGATCTTTTTATAAACTATTTACTTTTTAGGACTAAAATATTTTAAAACAATCACAATATTAATACATTTATTTTAAAATAATCACAATATTGATTAATCCATAAGACATTTTCAAGTATGATGTTATTTGATCAATTTTTTTTCTTCTTCAAATTATTTTGTTCTTATTATGCACTGAATTCATGTGATAGATATATTTGTGAAATTAATTAGGTAAAATTTCATAGTGTTGTTGTCTTACTATTTTTTGTTCTGTTTAATCATCGGTTGATCATTTGTTCAGCTCAATTTTGAGCTTCATTCCACTCTGCAAAATGCAAATATCCATGTTATAATAAAATCAAGATTAATTCAATATACCAAACATAAACACCATGATTTATGATTATTCGATGTTTTCTCAGGTTTTAGCCGTTGTCAAGTTACGCACTTTCATTAACATCAACAATGACAATTTAGATAAGTTGGTTCTTTGACAGCTAATTATGTTGTTGGGTTATTATTAACTTTAAAAATTGATTATTTTTATTAGATTCATTTAACATTTTAATTCAACTTGATTGATAAGAAGTAGGAACTGTAGAGACTTTTACTTTTTGTTAAAGTTTTTTTTTGAACCAATCACACTTTAGTATTTTAGCAATTTAAAAGGTTTTTTTCAGTTATTTTTTTTAGTTATTTTTTACCTTTTTGTTTTTACCTTATTTTTTTTAAAAAGTCAACAATTTAAAATTTTTATTTTTTATTTAGTCACAATTCTTATTTTAAAGCTAAACGTTTTTTCAACAATTTTATTTTTTAAGAATCTACCGTAACAATTATAAACATTCGAAATCAAATTTATTAAGTAAAAAAAAATGAAATTAATTATTAAAAAAAAAGAGAGAAGGCCAAACTAGTGTTAAATGTTATTGGTTTTTGCCTTTGTTTAGTATATTCTTTAATTTCGTTTATGAAAGTGAAGATTGTTATTTGTTAGTGTAAACATCCTGCTGATTTTCATTTTAGTTTATTCATAACTATGCCCACGGACTTAATTAATTAGGACTTGGGAGAGTCCCTCTTCGTTATCATGAAAACACTTTTTTTTTGGGCAAAGATGTGGGCTAAGCCGATCACGGAATAATAAAAATAAACATATTAAAAATGAATTTGAGTCGAGGACGTAAACGTGACTCTAGATTGTGTAGGCCCAAAAGCCCAATACGCATCATATTGGCATGGTCTTCGCACGAGCAAAACCACCATACACAATGATGGCGTCTCAGCTCTCAATGATGATCTGAAGCAAAACATGAACAGCTTCTTCAATCCCAGTAGACCAAGCCCGCGGCCATGGCCGAACAGGAAGAAGCAAACCAACAAATCCGCCATTTGTATTTGCTCCGTCTCTCTACTTGCTGTCTTGTTCGTATTCGTCTTCTTCATCACTTACTCCGAGATACCCAAATCCCTCTTCTCGATCTCCGCCTTTTCTGGATCCGTCCAATTCCCTCAGTGCAGATCCGAGATACTATCCCGAACTCTTCTAGGGCAGAGGTTTCTCTGGTACGCTCCCCACAGTGGATTCAGCAATCAGCTGTCAGAATTTAAGAATGCGGTTCTAATGGCGGGAATTCTCAATCGGACTCTAATCGTTCCTCCGGTTCTGGATCATCACGCCGTCGCTCTCGGTAGCTGTCCGAAATTTAGGGTTTTGAGCCCGAGCGAGATACGGGTCTCCGTTTGGAACCATTCTATTGAGCTTCTTAGGAGTGGCAGGTCAAGCTCGCTTCTTTCATCTTCAAGATCTCTTTTTTTCGGTTAGGGATTTAGTAATTTGACAATATTTTGGTGTTTACAGGTACGTTTCGATTGCTGATATTGTAGACATTTCGTCGCTGGTATCTTCTTCGGCTGTTCGAGTCATTGATCTCAGGTTCTTCGCATCTCTACTGTGTGGTGTTGACTTGGAGACTCTGTGCTCTGGTGAATTAGCTGAACAGTCTCAGGCTTACGAATCCCTGAAACAGTGTGGCTACTTGTTATCTGGAGTTCGTGGTAACGTAGATAAATGTTTGTATGCTGTGGAAGAAGATTGCAGAACCACAGTTTGGACGTATAGAAACGGAGATTCTGATGGAAGATTAGATTTCTTCCAGCCTGATGAGAAGCTTAAGAAGAAGAAGAAGAAAATGTCTTACGTGAGAAGGCGCCGAGATGTGTTTAAGACTCTTGGACATGGTACAGAAGCTGAGTCTGTAGCTATTCTGGCGTTTGGGAGCCTCTTCACGGCTCCATACAAAGGCTCAGAGCTTTATATCGATATCCATAAATCTTCAGAGATGAAATCTTTGATTGAGAAGGTCGATTTTCTTCCTTTTGTTCGAGAGATAATGAGCGCAGGGAAGAAATATGTCTCGGAAACAATAAAGGCACCGTTTCTTTGCGCGCAGCTTAGACTGCTAGATGGCCAGTTCAAGAATCACAGGGAGAGCACGTTTATGGGTTTAAACCAGAAGTTGGAGTCTTTGAGTGTGAAGAATCCTGGTCCTGTTCATGTGTTTGTAATGACGGACCTTCCTGAAAGCAACTGGACCGGAACTTACTTGGGTGATTTGTCTAAGAACTCTACAAATTTTAAGCTCCATTTCTTGAGGGAACAAGATGAAGTAGTAGTGCGGACACAACAGGGGCTTGCTTCCGCTAGCCACGGCCAGAAATTTGGGTCTATTCCGATGAGTATGGACAATATAAAGAAGATGCAGAAGCATTGTTCTCCTCGTAAAGTATCCAATGTGCAGCTTTACATAGAGGAAGCTGTTTGCAGCTGTGCTTCACTGGGTTTCGTTGGTACTGCAGGGTCGACAATAGCTGATAGTGTAGAGATGATGAGGAAATCCAATGCTTGTAGTAGTAGCAGTTGAACACAAGACTGCATTTTCTATGATTCTTAGTTTCCGATTTGGATTCATCTGCTTGATCAGCCAAAGACTTTCGGTGTTCATCTGGAGTGATAGATGCGAGATTTTGGTTAAGTTTTTGCCGGTATATGGATAGAGATAGTCTCAACAGGCTTTGGGGGTTTCCTTTTGGATCGTTTTTGTGTTGCTGGGTTCTTTAGGAAACTGTCTAGTTTCTATTAATAGAATAAAGCCGCCTTGTTCCTCTCTGGTGATTCACATAACGAATAACTCCAGTGATGAACCAGCCTGAGAGTGGAGACAAGAATGGAAGCGTGAAGAGTGTGGACCGTGTGGTTGAGGCTTTTGAGATGTCTTCTTTGTACTCTGTAGTTTCGACGAGATTGTGTACTTAAACCGGTTATATATAAGAAGTTTTGTACCAAATGAAGTTGTTGGTTGAGAAGAAATTTAATTCTATTAAACCGGATGTATATGTTGCGTGGATTTGTATTTTTTGGCCAACGAGATCCGTCCACGTAAGCAGAGTCCACGCGCAGCTTCAAAGTTTAAAGGCCGATTTAAGCGATTTTAATTGCCGTCGGTCACATCCACCGTGAAAATTTCGACCGGATTTTGAGATAATTCGGAGGTTTTTTCAACTGTGCTATTGGATATCTGGATCTGCGATCTTATCGTTTCGCACCGGCTTGGGACGTTTTCGTATCCAATTGCTGTGGAGATTCTGTTGAATTTTGGATCATTCGGTATCACTAAGCCGGAGGTTTTCACCGCCATGGCTGCTCCGTTTTTCTCTACTCCATTTCAGCCCTATGTCTATCAGGTTGTCTTCTATCTTCCTTCTCTCCTCTAAGATTCGTGTTTCTTCATACTCTCTTTTTTTATCGAGAAAGCTAGTGTTCAAAGATATTTTCATGTAGGTGCTGGGGAATGTGGATTTTATTTTGTTTTCTTTTCTTGAGACTATTACTTGAGCTCACGATTCAGTCTAGTTCAGTTTTCGAGAAAACTATTTTGTGATACCACAGAGTATATATAAAATGATTTGAATTATCATATTGATCTCGTCAATTTTTCTGCAAGTGTGTAATCTCACAAGTGGTTATGTGATGCAGAGTCAAGAAGATACAGTTACACCATTCCAAATCCTGGGTGGTGAAGCACAAGTTGTTCAGGTAGGTCGACATTGGTTTGTAGTCTGACTCTGCAGCATTTTGTGTTTATCAGCCATATCCTCAAGTTTTCTAACCATTTGATTGTTTTGTTTGTCAGATAATGTTAAAACCACAGGAGAAGGTCATTGCTAAGCCTGGTAATTTCCAATCTCTCCAGAATGGTCTTTTCTCCTTGATGTGATTACCCAATCAATTGGGTTAAACTGTATATGTTAAATTGATTAGATATGGTGATGTAGGTTCGATGTGCTACATGTCTGGCTCCATTGAGATGGAGAACACTTATACCCCTGAACAAGAAGTTGGAGTTGTACAGTGGCTTTTAGGCAAGAGTGTTAGCAGTGTAGCTCTTCGCAACACCGGGCAAAGCGATGGATTCGTGGGTATCGCTGCACCTTCTCTGGCAAGGATACTCCCAGTTAGTGATCCTAGCTTGCCACAGCATCATTATCAATATACATTTATGGTCTTATTCTTATGTGTTCTTTTTTTGCTTCTTTCCCTTGAAGGTTGATTTGGCCATGTTTGGTGGGGACATCCTATGCCCGGTACAGCTCATGAACCAAAATCGTTAACTTCTTTGTTATATGTATATTCTCCACAAGTCAATATTTTCTGATGTGACATTTTCTTCTTGCTGTGTAGCCAGATGCATTTCTCTGTTCTGTCCATGATGTGAAGGTCGTAAACACTGTTTACCAGAGACATAGAGCTAGACACATTGTTGCGGCTGGCGCTGAGGTAAGGAAAAAACAAGTCATTGCATTGGACTTTGACACAGTTTAGAGTTATATATCTTTCCTAGCTACTTCTTATATACACGTGACTGGCTTTAACTCACGTAATCTCTGTTGCAGGGGTTTCTGAGACAAAGACTATCTGGCCAAGGTCTTGCTTTTATTATCGCTGGTGGCTCTGGTATGCAACTAATGTTTACCTCAACATGATGAATGCTCTTTCAGTTTAGGCTTTATACCACGAAAAAAAAACTGATTCTACTCCATTTGCTTCATAAGTTGTACAGAAAATCCTGGAGGTGGGAGAAGTTCTCACCATTGACGTTTCTTGCATCGCCGCTCTCACTCCCTCGGTTAATTTCCAAATCAAATACCATGCAGCACCTATAAGACGGGCAGTGTTCGGGGTACGCTGCATTTTTTTCTTTTTTCCATTCATAGCAAAATGTTTCTAGATCTTTGCTTCTGTAAAATTTGCCAATCTAACTCCATCTCACGTCTATATCTTATCAATAAGGGTGAGAACGTAGTCACAGCGACCCTGACGGGACCAGGCATTGTGTTTATCCAAAGTTTACCGTTTCATCGGCTCTCCCAGCGAATCGCAAGGTCAAAGGATCGATCTCTCATCTTAGATATAACTATGGCTTTTACTGTATCACGAAGAACCTTTTAAATTAGACTCATCAAGGGCTTTTTTTGTACAGGTCGGTGACGTCCCCAAACATGAGAGAAAATCCAAGATTATTGGTTCAGATAGGATTATTCTTATTCCTTGCATACGTTGTCATTGCATCTTCATTGATCCTTACCGAAATGTGAAACATAGATCCGGTTGCAGAAACTAGTGTTGTTGCGGTAACTTGAACACGTAAGAAAATATTTTATTATGCTTGTTAGTGGATGTTTGAGGCAAACAAAAACTGTGTGAAAGAGAGCAATGAAAGTTTCTCAGGCTTGATAAAAAATTTACATAACATAGGATAGAGGGTCAATCCGGATAGGGGAAGGTTTCCAGCAAGAGTTATACTCTTTTCTTGGTCCTGCATCTCAGTTAGAACACTAAGACAGCTAATTTGATGTTCTTCTTCAAAAACCCAACAATTCAACTTGGAAAGCCTACATAAGTAGACAATGTTGACAACTATTTGTCATCATTATCATTCTACCTTACACTTTTTCTTATTCTCACCAGAAAACACAAAGATGAAAAACTAGACATATGTTTGTATAGATGACGGGAAATGTGTGATGTGTCGATATGAATAATTTTCATGTGGTACTGAGTATATTGTACTAAGTGTTCCTAGAATCAGAGGAAAAGATTCATCATTCATGAGATGTGGCCTTTTCAAAGTTTCCTTTTGAACCCACAAGTGTGCCTTCTTGTAGAGATTTTTGTTTTGTCTTGTTCATGTTCTAAGCGTTTTCTTGTTCTATGATTTGATAGATACTGGCTTATGTTTGTTCTCACTCCACAAACACATAACCTCTGTCAAACTATTCCTTCAACCTTTTAACATCAGTTGCATGCTATAGATCGATTTCATTTTCTTGTCAAGTGCAGAAAGTATGGATCTAACAAGCCAAACAAGCAGTGCAAGAAACGATTAATGGGATGTTTCTGGAGAAAAATAACAGCAAAAAGGAGCACTAAGATTGGAATCGTCAAATCACATGGAGACATACGATGAGAGCAAGCACATGCAATTGAAAGCAGAGCATCAGTTAAAAGCGACAATGTCGGGAAGAGGATGTTTAAGAGAAAACCAAGCACCAACCGATTCATAGTTTTTGGTACTTATGCAAATAATTAATAGAATAAATAATAACCATAAGCAATCAAGATAATCGCTAATTCGGTCAGATCAACTTTGAGCTTCATCCCATCCAGCAAAATGCAAAATGACATATGAAGATTTAATTTAAAGATACCCCAAATTTACAAACTTCACAAATGATCGTACCTTGAATCTTTTAATCCTTTTAGATTAATCATATCCAAGCGGCACTATTGTTGTATCCCCTCCGCAAGTTTATATATTTTTCAGAATAGAAGATATCAGCTTTTACTTTTATTAATGATAAAATCAATTGCAAAAAATGATAATGTAATGTCAAAAAGTGATACATTGTCATTTCTGTTTCCATTGCTAAGCTGTAGTGAGTCTGAAAATTTGAACTGCAAACTGAAAATGCCATCCATGCTTTTCGACACATTCTTCAAGAATGTCATCGTGAGAGAGACACCAATTCTACAAAAAAAAGTGTCAAATCTATATGAATCTAGTCAACATGGGGGTTTTAAAGATCAATTAAAATGATGAAAGAGAGGAAGAAGTATGTTTTATAATTCATATGTTGTTTTGCTATTATACCAGATTCATTTGTTACATTTGGCTGGTGAGAAAATGGAAGATTATTTATTTATTTTCAAATTGATAACTATGTTGAAAATGGATGTTTCTATGACAATTCAACTAAAACTCTAATTTGCATTATTTTTATCTAGTTTGAAACATTAGAGTTTGTAGAATAAGATCAAGTTTTTAGTTTTCTTTGATTACTAATTTTCTTTGACTCTCATTGCTGTCTTTTAAGTATATGAACTTGAGATCTAGAGATTTAAGCAATCTTGTGGATTTCATAGACAACATCAATCTGTTGGACAGAGGTCAAAGAGCAAGGAGACAGCAATGAGAGTCAAAGGAGATTAGTAACCAAAGAAAACTAAAAACTCGATCTTAAAAATTTTACATTTCAAACTTCTGTTTTGGAAAATACATTATCTTTATCACTGACATGTGTTGTTAACAGCTTTGGAAAATACATTAATTTCCGTTTTACAAATAAAATTGGACATGGTTTGTGCAATTACAAATTGCATAGTGACATTACAAATTCCATAGTGACGTGTGAAAAATACATAAAATATGCATTTCAGTTAATATGTGAAAATATAATAAAACCATATCCGGAAAAGTGAAGTATAGTTAAAACGCTATCGAAAAGTCTACATCATCAAATCGACATCAATAATTCTAAAATTCTCTATATATTAAAAGAGAAGTATTTTTAAAGAATAATCTTAATTTTGTAAAATATTACAGTGGTGCCATTTTGCTGATGTGTCATCACCAGAATCATTTTCAGCAAAGTTATAAAAATAGACTTATGTTACTAGATTAATTATATGTTATGCCACTCACATTAATTTTGTTATACATTAGTTTATATCAATTATATTGATGATGATTCATCAAGATATTCTTTTTTTCTATTTCTTACCAAAAATATATCATATTAATTATTTTTTTAAATACTATATGCTATGTCTTATCTTTATAGAAAAATAAATCATCACATCACTCATATAGTAAAATATATATATACATATATATATATATATATTTCTGTGTTATAATTTGAATTTCATAAAACAAATATAAATTACTAAAATAATTAATAAATAAAAGTATGTTTTAAAAGACTAAAATTAAAAATAAGGATGTGTAGATAGATGATTCATAAATTAATATAAAAATACATAAATGATAAAAAAACAGGAAGATTAATTTAATAGATATTAGTATTTTTAATTTATACAACAAAATTACTTGGTGAAAAATTAAAATATTTTTGTAAGGATATTATATAATAATTTATTAAACTTTTTGATATTAAATTTTTTTTTATTGAATCAAAAAGTTAAGAATGTATAAGTATTGACTCAGTTATATATAATTTTAGATAATTTATTACAAATAATAAAAAAATATAATCTATTTTTATATAATTATTATGTATATTTAGTATTTAAAATAAATTTTACATTAATTTTCTTTTCTTAAAAGTTAATATTCTTATGACTATAATTTTTGCGAGTTAATCTAAATATGCATTTATATTCTTATAAGAAATATTAAAATCGATTATAAAATCTTATAATTAAATTTTATTTTTTAAAATTTTAATACTCTCTATTTCAAAATATAAGTTGTTTTGCATCAAAGCACAAAGATTAAAAAGTAATTTTTCTTTTAAAAAGTAATCATTTATTATATAAATTAAATATAATTCAACAAATTATGAAAAACTAAAAAATATAATCGGTCACATAGTAGTCATAGGAAGTAGTAAGAAATATGAAAACAACTATATTGTGAAACAAAACAAAACCTTTAAAAAACTAATATTCTGAAACAGAGCAAGTAGTAAATTTTTATTATTATTATCATAACGCATTAGATACTTAATAATTTAATCAAAATATACCACTTCTATTTTGTTTTTAATTTTAAGATCATGTTATTAATCATGGGTTATAAAAAATATAAAGAAGGACTTAGTATTTCTATCCAGATTGCACATATATATTTAATTTTTAAACTAATTTATATTGTAATTAAATTACCCTAAAATTCATAAAATAAACAAAAAAAAATTATTTTGTCAATATTACATCATAATATTATAAACAACTCATATAAAATCAATTATATTTTGTTATATGATTTTAAAATTATACTATATTAAATAAATAATTATTATTTTACTCCGCACAGGGTGCGGATTATTACCTAGTATTAATTTAAAGAAAAAAATACAATAATCATTATAAAGTGTTTTAGTGGTATTTTATAATTTTACTGTATTTTTTTAATTTAACATAAAAAAATCGAAATTTCACGGTTGATAGGATTTTATATAATTTTAATAAAAAATCATACCTTAAAAGTATTGAAACTTAAATTTTCCAAATCGCTTCAAATATTAGATTAAATATACCCTTCTTATATATGTTTAGATATTTGATTTGCTCCCCAAAAAAAAATGACTGTTTTGGCCAACGATGAAATGCTAACGAACTGGGGCAATACACTGTTTAACGCTAGTCTGATACGTCTAAATTAGGGTTCATTGGTTTCTTGGATCTGAAGAAATTTGTAAACCCTAAAAGGCTCCCAACACGTAGGAGGAGGGTCCTCTTCAAGGCAACCAGGCTAACAAGCCTTTCATCCAGCCAGTGATGGTTCATAAATGAACGCCATGTCTAAACTCTAAAGATCAGCATCTCTCAGGTTTTAGGCGTAGCCAAAGTGACTCGCTGTCAATATCAACGATGAGAATCTGCAGACAGGTCCAAGGGATGAGCTCTCGGTTTAGTTCTTGGTTATATTAACTTCGAAATATATACAAGATTACTTTATTCAAATGCGTAAACCTTGCAACTGATCGGCTTTGAAGCTTTGAAGCTTTCTTGATCGGCTTCTGCCTTTGAAAGCTTGAGAGTTGAGGGACTAATAATAATATACACAATCTCACAGAATTGCAACTACGTGCACATATTTTTGTTGATGGGGGGTCTGATGTAAGTTCTGTGTTAGTCTTTATATGTTTTCAAGTCTCGTTGAGTCAGTGAACAGCACCCAATGAGAGCTCGGAGTTCTTGCACATCTCGCTGTCTTGCAAAAGTTTGATTGTCACGTTTTTATTTCTTCATCCATGTTACAGCCAAGGAACAGCACCCAATGAGAGCTTAATTATATTATCTCTGAAAAAATCTATATAACATTGCAGGTAGAATCTGAGATTGTCGAGAATCATGAAATAACACTGTTTACAGAGAGGAATTTTGTTTATTCAAATACGTAAACCCTTGCAACTGATACGCTACTTCCTTTGAAGCTTTCTTATTCATCATCATCATCATCTTTTTTTTTTCTTCTCATCAGGACTGTCTTCCTCGTACAGAGTCTAGTTTCTGACGTTGCCTCTGGGAAGCAAACCCTAACGAGTGATAACAAAATGAAGGACAAGTAGATAAACACAAATGTAAGATTCATCTTAGAGTATACAGTTGTATCAACAAAAATAAATTTACACATGTATCGCTTATACTTCGAGTTGATGACTCACTCTTATGTTGTGTATGTTAAAGGATAACTAAAGTGCAAGATTATACGAAAGAGAGTTTTTACAAGTTGATATATCACAAGAAAATGCGGATTTACAAGTTGTGTAGAGAATTAAAAAACAGAGTTAAAAGGACTAAAAACAGAGCGTGTAAAAAACAAACAGAGCACTAGAGCCTTCTAAAAAACAGAGCATGATACGATCATAAGGCAGACGACTCGGTTTCCGGTCTCACCTCGAAGCACTTTCAGAGTAGTCCCTCAACTCTCAAGCTTGTGTATATTATTATTATCATTTTCTTGATTATATAATGACTAAATTTATGTGTATAGTGATGGTAAATAATTCAATTCAAGAACTTTGAATTATTCCCGATGACAGAAAATAGATTTCATGTATCAATTATATTATTTAGAGTCAGGTTAGCTATGCTAAACGTTAGTAACTGTACAACGCTTGTTTAACAAGTAAGGGTAACCGCGGCAACAACATATACATCTAGATAGTCGATTTATATATAAAGATATATTGATTATTAGATAAAAAAACTAAAAAAGTGTCACAGAACGAGCTTAACTGAACAAAAGCAAAAAGTAGTGAGAAATAAAACCAATTAATTATATACACAAACATCCGATTACAAAAGACTTTTTCTTTAGTTCTCGCAACAAAGCAGACTTTTAAAAAAGAAACTATCTTATGGCTTTTAAGATAACATCCTCGACCTCAGAGTCAGAGGGCAATCTCGTCATTTCCTCATGCCATGGCTTCGTCGTCTCCAAATCAAGCCCGCCATCTTTCTCCTCTAGATCGCTTCGAATGGCGGAAATTCTCATCACCAACGTCGGAAGCTGCCACAGAGGGAGATCGCTCGTACCGTGACGGCTTCCTCTTGAAATGTCTGTCTTCATCATCACTCGAATCGTGTTCTGCCGACTCTGTTTCTCTCCGGCTATGACGACGAACCGATGAACCGGCGGCGACTGAGGTCTCTGGCGCTGGAGAAGACTTTGACGATGTTTTCCGTTGCTTGCCAGATGGTTCCTCCTCGGGAAAACTTATCCGAGCGAATACGCTGGACTTGTGGCTATCATCGATCTCTACTTTGGTAGCTGCAATTGGCTCCGATGATGGCTTTTCGGATCTCTTACGGTGCTTACGATCCGCCTCTCGGTGGCGTTCCCGGCTTCTATCGTCATCCCGGCGGTCGCGACGACGATCGTGTTCTGAATCGAGGTCGTGGTGACGATCACGCTCAGATTTCCTGCTAGATACTCGACGAGGAGAGTTGTCCCTCTGCCGCGACGACTGACGCTCAGGCGACAATCTCTCCGATCGCCTGAGACGGTCGTAATCCGGAACTGGTGGCGGAGGTCCCTGTCTCTGTTCATTGAACAACAAGGCATCATCATTGCTGCTGCAACTATAAAATTAATCAAGGGGAAAATATGAGACTTGGGCCCAATACTAGATACATTAGGCCCAGCCCATTTTTAACTTTATTCTATCAACTTATTCAGATAGGGAGAAAAAAACAACTATATCATCTAATAACTTTAAAACCTATATTTTTGAATGGTTTACATGACTTGGTTATTATAAAACGAACTTTTGATTCTATATTATAAGTTTTAATAATCAAAAAAGTAATTTTTTTTTAAGAGCTTAAGAGCTTAGGAAAAAAATATTTGCCATTTTTTACTTTCAAAATGAAACAGAACAGATATATACATTCTAAATAAAAATAATATATCTATTGAATTGAAATAAATAATAGGAACATGTTAATATTCTGTTTAGGACCAATTCTCTGTCAGACTCGCAAAAAATGTGGTGAAATTATAACCTCTGCCTAAACTTTACTGAACCCCACTATCTCGAGGACGCCAAAAATTATGGGACCAGTCAAATTTTAATTTTTACAGAACTGACTATGGGAAAATAACATTCGATTCATTAATGCATTCCATAGCATGTCATGAAATTTTGTGGGAAAAATTCAAATTTTCTCCCTCTACCCTCATCTCCTTTGACTATTATTAACACCTAAACCAATCAAACTATAAAGCAGACGTCTACTTAGCAATTGTGGATTAAACCCATTTTCCGTAATGTGATAATGATAACTGCATCGAGAAAGAAAGATAGAGATAAAAAGAATGAAAGAGGGTGTTTCAAAAAGCGGTCTCTTGCAAGCCAAACCAGTTGGCTGAGAGAGAGAGAGAGAGAGCGAGAGATAACTGAGACAACAAAATAATACATACAGATTTTGGCTTCATGGGTGAGGAAGACGCTGCCGAGTTGTTCATCATTCTGCTCTTCTCACCATCCTTTACGTTATTCCCTCTAATACCACACAAAAAACAAAGAATCAGTCCACAATGATGCAGCAGACATATGAGCCTGAAAGTAGGTGAAATGTGAAGTCCTTTTACCTTTCTGATCGTCCCTCGTTTTCACGCTTTCTTATCATCTCAGCTTTCCTAGCTTCAAATTCTTCTCTCCCCATTATAGGACGCTGGAGATTCATACGATTTGCCATCTCCGCCAGGTCCCTGCTCAAGTCAGATCCACTTTCCTCATTATATAACTTACTAATAGCTATAGTGAAGAGAAAAAACATTACAAATCATTAATGAAATGGGAGAGCAAGTCTCGCTTGTGAGTACCTATGAGGTGGTGGTATATTAGGAAACCCAAAACCCGGTGCAGCAAAAGGACCGGGATGCATCACACCGCCATAAGGCATGTCCATTGGGCTCATTCCATAGCCCATAAAAGGAGGCATCGCGCCAGGATAAGGGCCTGGAAACCCATTGAAACCTTGATGAAAGCCATTGAACCCTGGTTGAACGCCGTTGAAACCGGGTTGCACCCCATTGAAGAACTGATGATTAGTGGGACCTGGACCCATCGGCATCATATAGTCAGGGCCAGGTATATTTTGCATGGGGTTCCATTGCGTGTCTGCAACATATCACATAAGACAAACAATCCGTTAAGCATCTCTCGACTAGGAAGAAAGAGGATGAGTAGCCATCAGCATAATAGAAAAAGATAGCTACCAGGTCCAGGAATCCGAGCTTTCTTCTTCTTCTTTTTTCCTGGTGAAGAGCAAAAGCAAGCATTACTTAACCGAAGATATTAATCACCGTACATGATTTAATGTGCAAAAAAGTGATTCTTTCTCTTCTTTTATATTTCATAAACGGAAAACTTTCTCGTGCTAATGGGATGTGTTTACCTTGCTCCCCAGAAGCAACCTGCTGTGGTATTTCTTCCTTGATGACCTGCGTATTCACCTGTGTAACTGCTGCTTCCTTGCCATTCAAGGACCCTCGAGTGTGATCAGATGCATCAACTGGCTTTTCCACTTTAACTAGTTCTGCAGACTCCCTAGGAGCACTTGTGATCTCCGCTATTTCTAGTGATGGCTTCAGGGTTGAAGTCTCATTGTTGTTGTTACTAGGAGCTTGTTTCTTTTCGCCTCCAGATGCAGCAGATGTAGTAGGAGATAGAACCTTGGAAGGGGGACAACGTGCAGACTCCATATCTAGATTTAATATGCAATTAGTTTACTACTGATGGTAAAAACAAAAAAAAAAACAGACTACGAATGAGAGAATGAATTACCTTGGACTTGACACATGCTGCCAGCATTCTCAGCACTACTGTTACCAGACTCCAAGATACGGTCTATAGTATCTCTAAGGGTCTTGTTAGGTAGAAGATCATCAGCTAGTACATTGGTTGCTCCACAAACACACATTGACTTTGCAATTATGTGATCTCTAATACCTGAATGGTAGATTATTGAAGTAAAAAAGCCAGGATCCTTAATTGATAATGAATGGTTAAAGAAAAGAAAAGGCTTTTGCAGCAAAAGGCATAGGATGTAATAGCAATTTGACAAGAGAACATACACTTGTCACAGAAGCTCTTGAAACAACATTTGCTCGTCAGCGCAGCATCTCTCATTACTTCTTTACATAAGGGGCATCTTAATTCTGGAGGAAATTCCCCGACAGAACGTGTAGTTGATGGCAATCCCTCCATTTCCTTTTCAAACGCGTCCCTGAATTTGTTAAGTTGACAGATATCATTCAGACTAATTTATGTGAAAAAGTAGCCATATGAAACAATGTGAAAAATTAGCGACAACATACTCATTTGGTTTCAAAACTGCAACTGCACCACTTGGCAAGGAGTAAGAGCCATTCGGGGTCGCCATCAGCATAGACTTGGGGATACCAGTAGGTGGTTTAAATTTCTTAACATTATAGTCAGGATCGCCGTTTGTGGGGCAGTGTTGAATAAAATGTCCTGAGTCAGAAAATATTAAAACCATACACAACTGAGACAATATTAAAACCATACAATCAATAAAGACAATCCCCAAAAAGCTGACATACCAGGAACGTTGCAACGATGGCAAATGTAGCCTGGTGGCGGAGTTTTCCTTTCCATTCCTACTCAACACATATCATAAACTCAGTCTCAGTGTCTTACATTTTACTGAAAGATTAAACAGAACTTTTGGATAATAATTGATGAACCATAATTACCAAAACCGCGTTCACCCATCCTTCCAGGCATACCCCTCCCATAACCTCTGCCTTGTCCAAAACCATTTGTACCTTGTCTGTTACATGAAAGAAACATAAGACGGTTGAGCAAAATGAATCGTCAAGATCTAAACTACACATGCCAATGCCCTTCAGACTACTTACTGCTGCCAGTCTAATGCTGGAGTGTCAATTAACGCCTTAAGTTTGGTTTCTTCGTCTACTTTCTCATCGGCTGGTGCAGGATCAGGACTTGGGTTACTATTATGGACAGCTGGGGGATCAGGAACTGAATACAAATCATTCCCAAACTCATCCCACTCATCTTCAGCCTAAAACGTATAGTTAAGTTGTGAATTAATACTTTTCTAGTGGAACTCAATGCCATCAAAATCAAAGAATTTTTTTTTGTTGTAAGCAACTCACTGTAGGTGCCGCAGCAGTAATAGGACTGTTCATATCAGTCTGAACGCTTTCCACTTTCTCCTCGACTCTCCTCGGCCTGCAAAACGAAGGTATTTACATCATTACACATGAGGGCCCGGCTCAAAGGAAAAAGAGCCTAAAAGATTGAACCAAGCAATCTAGAAATTGAAGATTAAAATGAACGGAAGCATACTCTGGTTGGGCAATAATTCTGATGCGAGGGCGCCCAGGGACGCGGCGAATCAAGACAGAAGTATTCTTTGGGATTAACATTGCTTCATCCAAATATTCTGAAATTGCAGAGAAGAGAATATGTAAAGGCTACAGGTTTGTATCGACGATAAGTATAATAGTTAAAAGTTTCCTGGGAAAAAAATCAACAATCAAACTCTGCAAAACTCTTTCTAATGACTGACAACAGCAACCAATAAAAAACGGACTAGCCTCAGAAGTAATCAAATTCAACTCAATGAAGATAAAGTACACAAAACTTGATTGATGGTGTCATCATCATCAGAGTTTCAAGCATTTCTAATCTATAATTCAACTAACAAGAAGGCCATTTTATTGAAGCAGCTAGATACTAAACAGCACCAGATCACGTGATAACAGAGATAAGGGTCACAAATCATGCAAAGTTCTTGATAACTGATACTGATCAAGAACAGGCCAGATTCTCAAGTAGTAAAATACAAAACACATGACACTATGGATTAGGATCAAGTAGTTGTACATTAGATCTACATGATAAGAAAGAGGAAGACGAACCTTCGTTAGTTTGGGCATTAGAGATGACAATGTCAAGGTCTTTACCACTTCCCAAATGCTTTGTTTCGTAAATTTTTTCTTTGAGAAAACCAACTGATATAAAAGGGCCATCCATGGAGATGGTATCATAATCCCTCGCACTCTTAAACTTGTAATAAATTGCCATTCGATTTATCTGATAATGAATAAATACATATATGTATTACTAATTTTAATAATAAAGACGATTTATGAAACAAACACACAAGAATCTACTGTTTTTTTTTTTTTGCAAAACCCAAGTCCAGCCCTTCCGTAAAAGAAAAAAAATATTAATGGTAGGCCAGAAATTGAATTCCAAAAACTAAAAAGTAACTACAAAAGAAAGCTCATATTTTTCTGTACTTCTCTGATTCGACTTCAGAAGATTCCACAGACGAAGCCTCTCACGCGCGTCAAGACAGCACCAAATCTACAGATCAAGGAGAAATTCCGGCGAGCTCAGGGCCGTGTGTTGAATCGAATCGAGTAATCGGCAGGAACAAATCTCAGCTACACTCCAAATCTCCGAAAGAATGAATCTTCAGAACATAGCGACAACCCAATCGAACGGTGTGGCTTCAATCCAGAAGATCCTGGAGCTCCCACGCACCCAAATCAATGAAATAGAATCGAAACAACGGGATCCTCAAAGAGTGTCGGTGAGATTTTTTGAGAAGACGATCGCGAATAGCAGAATTGATGAATCGAGGAGAAAGCGATGGATATTGCACGAACTCTAGGGTTTGTGCAGAGAACTGTCGTATTGGAAATCCAAAGAGACTTTCCCTAGTTTTATCTTCTCGGAACGGGTTATGATGATTTAGGGAGCCGGTTATTAATGATTTGTTAAAATAAATAAATAAAAAAGGGTGGGAAACCGTAACGCCCTTGCCAAACACGGTTTTCTGTTTATATATTCCCTCTATAATTGGCCCAAAGAAACAATAGTTGTGGTAAAGGCCCAATAAAAAACCTAATGGGCCAGAGTCGCGGTGAGGGAAACCCTAGTTCCCCATGGGAATCATCTATTTAAAAGAAGAAACCTAGTTTGGAAGAAAGAAGTGACTGCGACGCCGGAGAATCGCAATGGGTATGTTCTTCACTTCTCTCCTCTCTCTGTAGCCGTTTTCTGTGGTAATTGGATTTTGGTTATGTATGTATTTGTGCGAGAAGTGGAATACTTATGAAACGAATGTGATTTAACGACAGGTGCGTACAAGTACGTGTCGGAGCTATGGAGGAAGAAGCAGTCGGATGTGATGAGGTTTGTGCAGAGGGTTAGGTGCTGGGAGTATCGCCAGCAGCCTTCCATTGTTCGGATTGTTCGACCCACTCGTCCCGACAAAGCCCGTCGTCTCGGCTACAAGGCCAAGCAGGTCTTGTTTTTCTTCCGTTAGTAATTTATAGATTTTGTAGATAGTTGTAGGTAAAACTCGAATCAAGATCTTACTGTTAAAATCTGCTGGTCAAGCGGTGTCTTGACGCTTAGTCATTTTTCTTTTTTTTTAAAGGAAATGTCTTTGCCAATATGATAGAATACTTCCTGAAACCAGCTAAATCGATTCAATCTTCTGACTGAACAGCTCCTTTATCTACTGTTGGAATCTGTTCTTGTCTAAGATTGATATATTCTTATAACCTATGGATCAAAATTGTGTTTTTTGTTTAGTGTTTGTTATTCGCTGAGACTATGTTGCTGATATCCCTTGGTTGTTTATGTTAGGGGTTTGTTGTGTACCGTGTTCGTGTGAGACGTGGTGGTCGCAAGAGGCCAGTGCCAAAGGGTATCGTTTATGGTAAACCCACAAACCAGGGAGTAACCCAACTCAAGTTCCAGCGTAGTAAGAGATCTGTTGCTGAGGAACGTGCTGGACGCAAGTTGGGTGGCCTTAGGGTCGTTAACTCCTACTGGCTCAATGAGGTAATGCTTCACGCCCACATTCATTGCATGTTTCGATCTCATTGCAGATATGATGATGGATTCGGTTGATTAATGATGTGTTTGTCTTTGATTTTGATTAGGACTCTACCTACAAGTATTACGAGATAATCCTTGTGGACCCTGCACACAACGCCGTCCGAAATGATCCGAGGATCAACTGGATCTGCAATCCGGTGCATAAGCATAGAGAACTCAGAGGGCTCACCTCAGAAGGAAAGAAGAATCGTGGTCTTCGTGGAAAGGGTCACAGGAACCACAAGAACAGGCCTTCCCGCAGGGCTACCTGGAAGAAGAACAACAGCCTCTCTCTCCTTCGTTACCGGTGATCACGAGTTTTATGTTTTGGTTTTTCTCGAGTGGTATATCTACTGTGTCGATTTGTGTTTCAGAATTCTAGTATTACTTTGGGATGGAAGACTCTGCATTTAAGAGTGTTTTTTTCAAGTTTTGAGTTCTTAAAAACTTTGAATATGACCATTAATCTAAGTTTTTTAGTTAATTCAATGGTGATTTTCTTCTTTACTTCATACCTAATTTGAGAATTATTTTGAATCAAACTTCGTTTTTGGTTAAATGCACATAGTTTTGGACATATTAACCAAAAAGAGGACAGTTAGGAGTACTAATAATTTTTGTCAAGAATAAAATAGAAAACCTTTTGTTCAGAGCCTTCCTTCGACGAAGCTATGCTTTAGATTTTGAAGAGCTTGGCGGATCGAGTCTTCGGTCTGTTTGGAATATTTCAAGCACAGCAACTTTTGAGCGACTCTGTAGATCCGATGCATTTCATGGTGCTTCCCACAATTTAGTTCTATTCTTTTCATTTCCTGCCCAACATTTATTATGAACATGAGAACTCGGAAAACAAGACGACTCATGTATTTTCAATTTAGAAAGTTTTGGTAATACCTTGTCTGTGATCCTTGAGGTTATGGTCCTAGCTGTTTCGATTACTGTATTAGGCAGACCAGCCACTTCCGCTAAAAGAAGGCCGTAGTGAGGAACATGTAGAGTTCCATCTCGCAGTTGAAACTGATCAGAATATGTAACATTTTAGCATCAATAGATAAGCTTAAACCTCGGATTCTTACGGGAGGGACTTAGGCAGAACCTTGAAGTCTAAGCGGTTGTCTCTGATGTCTACATAAAAGTGAAGAACCTTGACATTAGGGTAGATGGTTGCTAACTCTGCGAGACTGTCCATGTGGGTTGCAAATACTGTGTACCTGAAAGTTCATTGCCACAAAATAGAATAAAAAAACACATCTGCATTTACTTATAAGTACATATCTGCGGTCGGCAAGACTCAGTTAAATGCTTACGCTTTCAGTGATAAGAGATGCTCGCAGCAGCTCCACGCCATCGCTAACCCGTCTGATGAAGAAGTAGCCCTCCCGAGTTCATCCATGACTATCAAGCTCCTATATATTCAGGCGTTAACAAGATATGAAACTGAGTGGGAGTTTCACGTGTATCAACGCATTCACAAAGGCTACCTGTTGGTAACATTCTGCATTATGAAAGCGGTCTCTCTCATCTCTGTCATAAACTGTGACATTGAAAAGTAAAGATTGAGAACTGTGATATCAACAGGCTCTCCTTGTGGTATAAAAACTGTTTGGTATTCATCAACATGCCAAAATCCTTAGAAATCATCATCTAACCAGTGTGGGAGATTTTAGAGGATTACCGTGCTGGAGTTTGACTCAAGGTTATCCATTGTCCCCATTCTTGTGAAAATGCGGTCAACCACCCTTATAGTTGCAAAGCGAGCTGGGACGTAGCAGCCAATCTGAGCAAGAATGACTACTAGACACACCTGTTGGAGATATGTGCTCTTTCCGCTCCTTGAGATATGAAATGCAAATACAAACATGAGTCGATGAGAATTTTTTTTTGGACAGTTTGATCAGCAATTGAGGAAGTAAAGCCAGAGTTCCATACATGTTTGGACCCATAACTACTAACATATTGGTTGCTTCTGACATGAAGATACTATTAGGCTGCAAAAGAGAAAATCTGTGAGTTAAACAAGCCTGCACAGAGCCTAAGAAGGCTACGAGAAAATTTGTTCATATTTGCATTCCATACTATGTAATTCCCCCAGATTCTTGGATGATAATGTTCGTAAGAAAAAAGAATATCAGATACTTTTCTTCAGGGTTTTCCACCAAGATGATTTCTCAGAATAAATTGAGGGATGATAGTATCATGAGAAATAACACAAATGACTTACAACAAAGTCGTTGTGTATGCTTTCTAGGATGGGATGCCTTCCAGCATCAATTGCCAGTGGGCCACTATCTGCCAAACAATACATAGACGAGTAAATTTAATAAGAAACGTTGATCAATCATTTCACCTAAGGTGCATATTGCGCACTCTATTTCCTATCTATTAGATGCTTCAGTTGAATTGTTCAAGAATTCCTTAAGAGCTAATTGAGGATATGATGGTGAAAGAGTTGGCTACCTGTTAGTTCAGGTCTGGAGTATCGATCTACTGGCTTTGTAGATATTGTATGAGCAAATGAATTGACAATCATATCTAGGAGACATAAGACTTCTGCTAGGAGTGTGAGGGCAGATACATCTTCCCTTATAGCATCCATTAGAGCTGCATTCATATAGAAATGTTTCATGTAATAAGTATAAACGACCCAAGCTTGATATGGCTATAAATAAATCGTGTAACTGCATATAGTTGCAAGTAGTGCGTAATTAACAACCTTCCAGGCATGTTTCTGTTCGGATGTAACACTCTCCAGCGGCAGACTTATTCCTGACATTCAACTGCATAATAGGTCAATGTACGGTTCATATTAATGAAACATTGTGTCTAAGTTCTTGAATAATGAACAAAGCTCCTAACTGTGCTAGATATGAGGGCTCATTCTTTTCATATCAAAGATATCCATGGTGTTTCATGTCTTTGCTGGATTAAAAACCTTGGGAGGGGAGTTTTGTTCATTTAATATCATTGGCAGGAAACATTAAAACTTTGTATAGGTAGCTGCAGTGTGAGCCTGAACTATATTACTTCCTGAACAGCTAAAAATGATTAAGCACCCAAGAGAATCACACATGGAAACGACGCATCTGAAATTGTGATGATTCAACTTACAGAGGCAAGTTCCAGACTTGAACACTGAATGTTTTTCCCATGTTTTACAACCTGGATTACATACCACGTTCAACAAAAAGAAATTCAGGAAGACCATATGATAGATAGATATTAAGATTCTAATGGAAATGCGTTTTTGACCTGAGTAAATTTGCTTGGAAGTTTTCCCTGAACTTCCTTCTGCGGAATTCTGAAGAAGAAGCCCTGCCTGTTGTTGAATGGGAGTTTTAGATTTGGCAAATTGAATTCCTCACGATACTTACTGGCCAGATTATGTATTGCTGTCAGTGTTGACAAGATTTTAGATTAGAAATACAGTTTTGTAATAAGGGGAAATTAGATATTATACAAAAGGGAAGAACAGTTTTGGTTCACCTTCACTAGTATCACAAAAGGTTCTCCTTGCAATATCCAAAAACCCATCAATACCAGCTTTTAAAGCAAAACACTGCTGCGTGCGGGCAACAAAAGGAACTCGTGCATGGAGAACATCATCATCAATCACTTCCCCCACTCTGAAACAAAAAGAGGATGAAGAGTCTAGTTACTTCGAAACTTTAAACGTAGGAAACCGAAAGCTTTCCAGAAATGAAGTTCAGAGTTAATGTCTACTAGCCAGAACCACTAGTGGCGTACTTTTTTCTGATGGAAGCATATCTATCATTTTCACACACAGACTTGTAAACGTTGGCAAGGAGAAAACACTTTGCATCCTTTAGAACCTGCATTTTTACAATGGGACAGAGCGCGACTAATGTTAGTGGTAGGTCCAAAGACATAGTTTCCAAATCAAGGATACAAAACTGATAACAAAATGAGAAACGCAAACACCTTAGCAAGAAGAGGCAGAGCATCCAATGCAGTCTTAAGTAAGATAATACTTGAAATCATGCTTTGGCTCCTTCTGGTGTTATCAAAACCTAGGACCGCTTCTGTGACTCTCTTTGGCTTGAAGCAGAAATGACAAAGCACTCGATCTGAAAATTGTGGATGATGGACAGAAATCTCTTGAAAGGATGTGACTAAGAGAAGAACCAAGTTCAAATATGGGATGCAACGAAACGTTCAGGATCTTCTTACTTCTTCTCTTAATCACTTACCAGTTTCTTTTGGAAATTTACGTAAAACCTGTGAAAGCCCAAAGAATAGTTGTTCATTGCTCATCAACTCATCCTGCAATTACCAGAAGAGGAAATTTTATCTATGATTAATGCATCTACGATCAAACTCTGTAAACAACATGTCTAACACATAACGATGTGTTAAGAAGCTTCTTAGACAATTTGACACCCAAATCATAAGTATACTAACCAGGCAGTCCAGGCGAGTGTTAATAGTTTCAATGTCTTTCAGAGGCTGCAACAAATTGGCACGGAGAAGCCTAGTCCTGACAAAAAAATCATGCATGATATAAAATAACTAGTGAGTTAACGGAACAATGAAATATGAAAATGATTGAAGAACATTACTATGAAGATTGCAATTAAAATGCTGAAATGCCAAAATCATATACAATGTTTTTAAAAAGTAAGTGTTTCCAGATACCCGCCAACTGTTTTTGTTGTCTTGAACATCTGGAACAGACTCCTCTTCTTATTGCTAGTTCCCAGAAGAGCATTATGGAATGGATCAATGATTTCCAGATTCTCAACACTACCATCAAATCAACGAAACAATTAAACATAACGATATATAGTTTTGATGTTTAGATTCTCTATAATTTAGTGGACCAGGAATATGAAATAATATCAAGGTACTCTTACCTAGTTGCATCGATATTCATGTGATCAAAGGATCCATTAAAAGTTACCTAGACATAGGCAGCACAATCGAAAGAAATGTTATCAGCATCCTTCAGCAGCAAAACCCAAAGAATAAACAGATAAATACCCAAATACATAAAAAGAGACAATGGCTCATTTTACAACATATACAACTAGGAAATTAAGAATTGTACATAGGAAAACGCATACAGTGAGTGAGTGGTTGGTGACAATCACACCCTTTTCCGCTTCTATCCTGCTCATGACACAACCAAAATTCAGTATTTCAAAAAAAACACCAAGCTGATAATGCACTGAAGCAAAAAAGTTAAAGGATGTAGACACCATTTGATTGTAGCTGCAGCAGCAGCTAATGAGAGATAATGCTGCTTATAGTAAGTGTCTAAACCAAGAGCCAACGGTTCTTCTGCAGCCAAATTTTGTATTAGCACGGCACCCTGAAACATGTAACCCAAAATTGCATATCCATTTTTGAAATACATGACTACAAGAATCAATGGATGCTTGTACTATAAGACGTTCATGGATAAACCTTGGTGTCATCAAAACAGCCACGAGCAAACACAACCTGAAAGAAGAGAAGAGAGTAACAGTGCTTAATTGATTCTCACTATAGCTAAATACATACATTCATTTCCCAATTTTGTAGTATCCATGGCAGAAAATTACTCACCTTCCTTACGGTGCTATAAAATCTATCCACCAATTCTGAAACCCCAACCATGCCATCGGCTGCAAGTTTGTTGGGAGGAACAATGATCACAGAAGGATCATAGAAACGCAGCAGCGTCTTCGTGTTTTGATACGAGCTGCTTGTCTCTATGTACTGAGATAGATGCAGTGAAGCGGCCCTTAGGTCAAAAGCAGCCATTCCAACCTGATCCAGAGAAATTCAAAATAGAATCCAACATCACCATCGAAATCATCAACAACCTTCTGAGGATATGAAATCGATCCCAGAAAAATCGCCACCCTAAGAGGACACAAATCAAATCACAGTCCTGCCAAATTCGCAACAATGGAGAAGCCGTACGTACCTCTTTGGCTCTGTTCTCGATTAGGCCGGCGACGAAGCTCGATCTCTCTCCCCCGTCGTCTTCCATTTTCGCTCCGCAGATGAGAGAATTTGAAAATCGAGGGACGGGGAGAGAAGAGTTTCCGATAATGAAGGCAAAAGCGCGCCACTGTGAAGTTCTTCTATCAATCGGTTTGCACTTCACCACGCCGATTTTTTATTTCGAAAACCGGCTTACATTACACCATCCCAAAGGGTTCGATTCCGGTTCAATTTCGTTGGTGGTACGAGAAAAAGGAAAAAAATCGTTTAATTTGTTAAATCTGTTGTCTAAGAGATACTAAATCTGTTGATGATCAGTCGATCACCCGTATGGTGATGATGATGAGTCCCCCAGAGCCCCAAGGGAGAGTAGAGTCTTTGGGTCTCGGTTCAATTTCGTTGGTTTACGAGAAAACTACATAAAAATCATAATATCGGTTCAATACCAGCTAAAAATCAGCATGCATTATTTCAATTCAAATTGTAAAGAAAATAAGGGACATGTTTGGTCTAGTTCCATTGGCAAGCAGCACAATGAGTTGGATAAACTCATCATGCTAGTGATGTCAAAATAACAAAGGGAAATTCACTCCTGCCTTATCTTACAAGTTACAACAAACAGGCTTACATTTTTTATTTCGAAAACCGGCTTACATTACACCCATAGGGTCGATTCCGGTTCAATTTCGTTGGTTAACGAGAAAAAGTTACATAAATCGATTTAATTGGTATCAGTACAGCTTGAATCCGCTTGCAAGTGTATAAATCCGCGAGTGTATTTGTTAAATCTGTTGTCTGAGAGATACTAGATCTGTTGATGATTCCGTATGTTGATGATGATGAGTCCCCTAGAGCCTCATGGGAGAGTAGATTCTTTGGGTCTCGGTTCAATTTCGTTGGTTTACGAGAAAATTACATAAAAATCATAATATCGGTTCAATACAGCTAAAAACCCGGTTGCATTATTTGAAATTGTAAAGAAAATAAGGGACATGTTTGGTCTAGTTCATTGGCAAGCAGGACAATAAAGAGTTGGATAAACTCACCATGCTAGTGATGTCGAAAAAACAAAGGGAAAAGATTCACTCCTGGCTTATCTTACAACAAACATGTGGATTGCAGACATATGAACAATAATACAAAAGTCTGGTAATCACGAAGTCACAAGACCTCGTCAATGGATACATAGCGGCGCTCCTGAATGGAGAGCTGTGCAGCAACTCCCATGGCAACAGCCATCAATCCGTCTTCCAAATCAACAGCTGCTCGTCCTTCACCTCTGATCGCCGATAAGAATATGAGATGTTCCAGGTAACTTGACCCGTGATGCAACCCTTCATATCTGAATAACCAAACATCATGTGAAATGTGATGTGAGACTATAATACATTGCAAGGCTGCAAGAAGACAACAATATGCAGATGAATAGATTTATACTTTATTCTTTCATCCTCAGCTTTTATCGTTTGAACGTGTTCTCTTCCTTCTGCACGACTCCCAAATCGAACTATGCCCTCTGGAACAAGTGCCTCCCCCTGCAACATGCTTGCCAAGTAAGTTGGGAAGATATATTGACCCTACTCAAAAGCCAAAACATATGTACAAACTCCAAAGAAATGGTCTCAGAACACTTTATGCTCGTTTTCGTTGCCTCTGTTCTTATTTGGCCTATATACGCAAGAGCTACAGGTTCGGGTGTTGGTAATTATGTAGGTATGCCATATGATTTGGAGATTAGATGGAAAATACTTATTCTTGGGAACAGTGTCATATATTCAATACAAGTTAAAGAATATCCAGCTCTGTTTTTGCATTGCAGGCCAAAAATCATATCACACCATAAATCTTATCACAAGAAGCCCATAAATTTCCAAAGGGACTTACCTTTCCAATGTCACCAGTAACAGAGATTTCTTGCTCGTTTTTGCTTCCTTCAGCAAACATGCAAAGATCAAGCATCCCACGACATCCATTGTCAAACTCGATTATAACATATGCGTTATCAATTATATCAGGCACCTACGTCACAGAGAGAAACATATAGTATGAAACTCGCAATACATTCATTGACCGAGTATGACTACGATTTGGGATTAAAATGTACCTTCCCATCATAAACTTCATCCTTGTGGTTAACATCCATGCCTCCAGAAGCCATCACACATACAGGATTTGCAGCAGCAAAGAGCCTCATTAGATCAAAGAAGTGGCAGCATTTCTCCACTAAGGTCCCTCCGGTGTTCACATTGAATCTATTCCAGTTGTTCACCTAGTGATGCGTTCACTCAGCAATCATAAAACACCACATACACATAGTGCAGCTTGTTTGAGCCTACCTTAATCAAGAAAGGGAATCTATGTTCTCGGATTGCCACCATCTTGACGTTACCAAAGACTCTGCTTTTTACTTTTTCTATAAGCTTAGCTACTGGTGGCATGTATCTATACTCTAACCCAACTTGCACCACCATATCTGACCTTTTCTTTGCAGCCTCCAGAACCTGATTCCAGACAAAGGTTTGATGAATTGATCAATCAGACTCAGCAAAGAGATTTGGTACCCAAACAAAAAAAAAAAACAAAAGAAAGAAAGAAGAATGACCTGTTTGCAATCTGCAACTGTCGTGCATAAGGGCTTCTCAACAAGAACATGGTGAGGTTTTGGATAGTTGATAATGTCCATCAAAATCTGGTGATGGGTCATATTTGGAGAAGACACAACAACCACGTCGCACATCTCACTCTTCAGCAACTCTTCGTGCCCTGAGAAAACCTGATCACAACAACGGAAAAACACTCAAATCCTGAGTTTACCAACGCCTTAAGTTGTTCCAATTTCGATGAAACTGAGTAACAAAAGAACTTATCAAGTACGAATCAAATAATCACTGCACAAGGAAGGGTCTTCTCTCAACTAAACACTCGTGGGTCTTTACAGGTCAAACAAATTTCACTCGTAAACACAAAACTAAACACCGAGTTTGATTATGAGAGCAAACCTTGAGTTCCCAACCAAAAGATCGAGCGAGTTCAATAGCGAGGAGCTGTGAGGGAGGGTGAGGATCGGCGATGCAAACGACGGCGAGGCCTTGGTCTCGAAGATGGTGAAGATTGATGAGATGTTCTCTTCCCATCATCCCAATCCCTACGATTCCATACTTGGCAATCGCTGAGTCCTTCACATCCGCCATTTTCTGAACTTCTGAGCTCTCTCGCTCCTCTCTCTCTCTCTGTCGACGTCGTTTTGATACAATAGTTTTGGCAAAAGAAATTCCAAGTAAAAAACTAAAGTTAGTATCTTTTTATGGTTTTCGAGTAAAAGCTTTAAAATTTGAGGATGATATGTGAATAGCACAAACACGGAGATCAGACAAAGAGATTTGAAAGATAAAAAGGTGAGAATTTGGGTTGAGATATGACAATGGTGCGAAGGAGCTCTTCCTATAGCTGAAACTAGTGGATTGCTATTGCGTCGGAGAGTGCGAGACGAAACAAGCGGCGGTGATGATACGAAGAGTCTCCACCACCTCATCTCTCTCCGCCACAGCTTTAGGATCATTCATGAAATGGTCCTTTAAATTTTCTCAATTTCACGGCGAGTCCCTCGATTCCTCAGTCTCACCCCTTCTCATCCCCGGCGTCCACGTCTTCCAGTGTCCAGTACGTATGTCAATCATTCGAATATGTACTCATTAATGCTTCCCCTCAATTTTGAATCATCTAATCGAATCCAATCTCTTTCCCAAAAGTGTAGGATGTGGTTGGGATTGTAGCGAAACTATCAGATTGCATTGCTGCAAAGGGAGGAAACATTCTTGGTTACGATGTTTTCGTTCCTGAAAATGACAACGTCTTCTACTCTAGAAGGTACACTTCCCAATTTTCCATTTGAAAAATCTCGCCGTTGATGCTGCTTCTAAAGATTCTCTTCCATAAGTGAATACTGTCAACTCTAAAAAGCTCGGTGTGTTCTGTTAGGTTCTTACGGAAATGGAATTGTAGTTATTATGTTTCTATTTTTGGGTCTACTCGTAATGAAAAGGTAATTTCTTGGGCAGCGAGTTTGTATTTGATCCAGTAACATGGCCGAGGAGCCAGATGGGTGAAGATTTTCAGACTATTGCAAAGAAATACAATGCCATGAGCTCTGTTGTACGAGTGCCGTCTTTAGACCCCAAATACAAGATAGCTCTTCTACTGTCCAAACAGGTAACTTATATATGTCATAAAGATCGATCCTTTTGATTATGTGTCCTCTTGTTTTTCTTTTTCCCCTGAAGCTGTGTGATTCTTCTCTCTGTAGGATCATTGTTTGGTTGAAATGTTACATAAATGGCAGGACGGGAAGCTTCCCGTTGATATAACATGTGTGATAAGGTTTATTTGTGACTATTCTCTTACGGACTTAATGGATAGTTTAGGTATGCATGTATGACCAGTGATTCAAGGAGTATTTTGTGTGTTTCAGTAATCATGAAAGAGCTCCAAACACCCATATAATGCGGTTTCTTCAGAGGCATGGCATCTCGTATCATTATTTGCCAACAACCGATCAGAGCAAAATTGAAGAGGAGATTTTGGAACTGGTCAAGGATACAGATTTTCTAGTTCTCGCTAGATACATGCAGGTTTTATGTTCCATCCTAAGCTCATTTTCTCGTATTTAAACCAAAATGGTGAGAGATCATTGTTCTGGATAGTCTAAGTCTGATGAATGTATTCACATTTCAGTTTGCTCGCGTCTTCTCTAGTTTAACCCCAAAAAATGAATCAAATTTCCTCCTCAGGCGGTTCTTGCTTTGAATTAACAAAAGAAAATTCATAGCATTAGTTATTATCTTGACGGATGTTATCGACTGGAACATGTTTCCTTTGACAGCTACTGTCGGCTAACTTCTTGAAAAGCTATGGAAAAGATGTGATCAACATCCATCATGGCCTCTTGCCATCGTTCAAAGGGCGCCATCCCGCGAAACAGGTTTCTGAGCTCTTTAATGGCTCTACCTCGCATGAGTCATCCTTCTCTCTCAATGCTCGTCCCTTTGTCTTACTCTTCTATTTTATGTTGGTAGGCATTTGATGCAGGTGTGAAACTCATTGGTGCAACAACTCATTTTGTTATAGAGGAACTTGATTCAGGTCCCATCATTGAACAAATGGTGATTCATCTCCCAGCTTGTTTATTGGTTTCTGAGAGTTGCATTTTTGTTCTTCAGGAGCGTCTCAATTTTTTGTTTTGCAGGTTGAGAGAGTTTCCCACCGAGACAATTTGAAGAGCTTTGTTCAGAAATCAGAGGACCTCGAGAAAAAGTGCCTCATGAAAGCTATAAACTCTTACTGCGAACTCCGAGTATTGCCTTATGGGACACACAAGACTGTCGTATTCTAATACACCCAACAAACAAAAAATGTCTTACATGATTCTTCACACAAGCAAGCAAGGTTATATATACATATTCTTCATAGCTTACACTTCAATGTTTCGGCTAAACCAATTAGAAATTGAATCATTGGAAATAAAAGGTTCAATTGAGATCCATCATGCTCTTATGATGTATTTTTGTAAATAGCAATTGGTTCCTACCACTTGATGTGATCATTTAAACACTCTGCTGTGTTTTTTTTAATCCAAAAGTCCTCTTAGGTTACAGAGACTGAGATTGAACATTGCCAGTTTTTGCAAATACCTCACAACAGCAAAAATGTGGATATATTATATGTATATAATCAGATATATACAGGATCCTGCATCACGTGTGACCACTGAGACTCAGAGATCCCAGCGAGCACTTGGCAGCCTCGAAGCAATTTACTTGGCGGAGAAGAGACTGAACTCCGTCAACCCATCTCTGCTTGTGAACCTTGTTCTTGCACTTGAATTCCAAAAGGCCTTGTCCCGTTTTCAGACCGAAGTAGACTTCTTCTGAATTTTCCCTTTCTTTCCTGTAAGGCCAAGCTGATTTCTCATCGCATACTCCATAGACAACGCCTGCAAAAAGGAACAGTAGGTTCAGAATGTCTGTCTTTCAGGTAACTTATCTAAACTGAAAAAATTCGGAAATTCTTACATTTGATCTTCTTGGAGAATGCCCCTCCAACATGTTTGCTTTTAAGTTTGATCATTACCTGCAAAATCATCAGTAGCATAATAAGCATTGGATCAGAAGTGAGCTGAGATTTGTTGTGTGTTACGGATACTAATTAAATCTGCTGTACCTGAGACTTCTTGTTAATATAGACACAGACACGCTTAGTTCGCTGCACTCCTGCAAGTTAAAGCACAAGGAAGAATAGTTAATCTCTCTATCTTCTCTCAGTGAACTCTTTATTTGATAAGACTCTCACAAACAGAGGAGACTTACCATTTCGCGCGCATTGCATCAGTTCGCCTTCAAATGGAAGATTTGGTTCTTCCAATCGAAACTGGAAATTTGCAGGCCAGTGAGAGTCAGAGAAGCTTCTCTCGAAAGGTGTAATAGCTGCGTTTTTCCTTGCTTCCTTTGGCTGCCTCGCCTTCAGAGCCGCTTCTCCTCTCAAAGCTAGATTCAGTTTCAAACAAAATCAGATCAAATGCATTCCAATGAAGACTAAAAATCCTTGTGAACAATATAGCATTACCAGTTGCAGCCGCGGCTGTTAGAGTCATGAGGTCACCGGGGCTGTGGATATCCACAGAAGATCTAACCGTGGAGGCAACACGTGCACGGTCAGCACCGGCTCGCTCAGCCATCTCAACACAGTGTGAGGCCAACAGTTCGGTGGCTGAGGCTAAAGCCAGGGACATCTTGGAGCCTGAACCTTTGCAATTGCTTGCAGATGTCACAGAGGCTAAACCTGCAGCCAGAGCGGCTATAGAGACTGAGGAATGCACGTGGGCGTTCTCAACACGCGCCTTGTCTTTCTTCTTGAGATAGTTGGTGGTGTTGCTGCTGCTGCTGTGTTCCTTGTGGTGGTGAAACCATTTGGATAATGTCCCTGCTCTGCGTGTGCCTAACGAGTTCATGATCTTCCCAGCCTGAAATAGAAACCTCAAGAGTTTTAAATTACATTATGAAAAGAGTTGACAAAGTTTTCGTTCATCCATTCCAATTCCCAAGAACTACGTTGGGAACTGGTGAAAAAGTAAAAAAAAAAAAAAAGTCTGAGAAAAGTGGGTTTTGATCGGAATTGGGAAGGGGATAAGAAAAGTGTCGTACCACGAGTGGATCTGCGGCACCATCAGGGAACAAGACAGGAGGAGTGTTTTGGGCAGCACAAAACTGTTCTTGTTGTTGTCTATGTTTGAGTGCAAGTGCTTTGGAGATTTCAGAAGTGGAAAGACTCCAGGATCTGGAGAGGAACTCCATTGGCTCTTTTGGTGTCTGAGGCTGAGGAATCGATGAGAAAAGCTCTTCAGCTCTGAGAACTCCGGCTTCCAACTCTTCCTCCATATTCTCTGATCCAAACAACGAAGAAGAAGTATCCTTCCAATCTGAATAAAACCCACTTTCCATTATCTATCTCCTAAACAAAATCAGTCGCAGAAGATGAATTTTCCGATCCAAAATGAAGCTTTCTTGAATATGAAAAGATGAAGAGGGGACTTTATTTTTTCCTGGTGGAGTAAGAGTTATGTTTCTGAAACCATGTGACCAAAACAGAGAAACAGCTTTGAGTTTCAGATATAAAACCAGGAAATGAACTGTAAACTTTTTAAAAAGAAATTGAGAGAAAATAATAAAAAGGAATAATAACTTTTGGAGATGAAAAGGATGATGTTGACTCAGGTGGAAGAGAAGAGGTAGAGCATAAACCAAACTACACAATAAGAGAATCTTTTCTTCTTTGTTTTTTTATGAGCGAGAATTATTCAAACCACAAGTTCCAAAAGTACGTGCGGACTAACAAATGATATGGAGCAGATTACAATAAAAATCTGAATGAGTGGTTTAATCACCGTAAAGAGTCTTGAGGATTTAGGAACTCGTCTCCATGTTCTTAAATATATGTGTGGAAAGAGAGAATTAAGAGGACATCGTTGTGGGTTTAAAGAACATTTGTCCATGAACTGAGGAAAATATATTAATACGGTGGGACGGTTTGTGAAACCAGAAAGAGGCGACAAATGCCTTGGTTTGAGAGCATTTGTCTTTAGAAGAGACGGCTCTCACACGATACATTTCGCCCAAACCGACCAGCTCCTTCAAATAATAATCATACGTAAAAGAGACCACTTTTTTTTAACTAATGTACTTATCACTTGCATATTGAATGGGCTTAAAATGGGCCTTCAAGGTTCATACCTTTGAGCAATCTGAACTTATTAACAATATAGCGGGTACATGTTTATTTTCTGTCTTGACATAAGCTTGGAAAATAAGGAACAGCTAAGCCATAGTTGAGAATAAATATATCAAGTTATCAACATCTAATATTGAAGAATTCGAACCTCTGTGATTTTGATTCTCTTTTGCCTGACATGATCAATACACTGAGATGAGCTAGCTTTAATAGCTAGAAACTAGGAAGGAGAGAAGGAGAGAAGGAGAGAGAGAGTTAAAAAGAGTGTTTTTATTAAAGAGAGAGATTTTATAATCATGTTTTTTTTTCTTTTAGTTTTAATTAGGTATGTGCAATCGTTGAACAAAAAAATTAAAATTAAATATGAACAATCAAGATTTCGGTTCATTTTTGTTTAGTTTTTTAATTTTTGCAGTTAGTAAAAAATAAATATCATATGTTAACTTTAGTCCCACCAATTAAAAAGCAAGTTGCTACATCCTAATCTAACTAAAAGAGCAGTTATCAAAACATAGAAACAGAAGAAAGTTTATAGTAAAGAGCTTTCATTACTATGCCCTCATCACAGACAATTGGGTTTTCGAATGAATGTTTGACCTCTTAGAGTAGGGTGATCGGTTCTTTGTAACAAGTTGTAGCGAAGTTTTTTTTATTTATTTTAATTATCAGGGAATGAAGATAGGGAAGCTGGATTTGACTATTGTGATAAACTATTGTTGTTGGATAGTTGTTGTTTTTTTCTTTTGAACTACTGTTAGATCGTTTCAATTTTGGAATTTTGATATTTGACATTGAAACTTTTTAGATGATTCTTTTGCATAATCTTTGGATCTTTTGATTTAATAATGTGTTTTAAAAGAATTATTCAATTTCAACTTCATTTTTGTATGACACATGTGTATGCTGAGATATCCCTACGTTTACTATTAAATAAATGTGGGTTCTTTAATAGAGTAGATCCTATATACTAAATTACATAATTTGGTTGTTTTTTTCTGTAAGAACACAAGAGCACTTGCAAAACTAACACTTTTGACTAAAATTATTTCAGTTAACATCACTATTAACCCTTTTGAATATTATTAATTTTTATTGACAAAAATAACTGAGTTCACATAAACGTATTTTAAGGCTAGCCTCTCTAGGTAGGAACAGCTAAGCCATAGTAACCAGAGTAATATATATAGAGATGATAAACTGTAGTATGGCCTTGTTATCCACATAGGACACATCTTCGTTTTCATGTAGCAATGAAATTGAATTTATTAATCCTATGTGAAGTATCATTAGTAATAGATTTAGGATCATGATCAAAGGAGACAAGGCTGTGTTGATCAGCTAAGCCATAGTAACCAGAGTTTTGTGATGTCGGAGTTTTGTTCTTAAATAAATTAATTGAATGACACTTTGTTAGCGATCTTTCTTCTCTATCTCGTCTGAAACCCTAATTTACCGTCCAATGGAAACAGCCACACAACATCTGCCAGAGGAGATGTTAACAGAGATTCTGGCGAGGTTACCCTTGAGAAGCATCGCCAGATTCAAATCGGTGTGCAGGAGATGGAAATCGGTGTTGAAATCTTTGGATTTCCGCCGTCTCTTTGCGTCCGTGCACAGAAACTCGTCTTCATGTTGGTCACTGGTGCGCGGAAGAAAAGAAGTCATGAGCTTCCATGGATGCGAGACATGGGGTCTTCCAAAGTCTTTAGTTTCGTATTTCGGAGATATGGTAGGTCCCGGCGGCCATTTATGTCTTTATGCATCTTGTTACAGTGGATTAGTATTGGTTCATGGAAACGAAGATGTGTCCTATGTGGTTAAAATCCCTGCCCTTCCATATCGATATTCATGTATAAAGTTTGGTCTGGTGACGCGCACGGACAAGGACGGCGTTGTTCTGGGCTTCAAAGTGGTTGAGCTGGCTGCAGTGGGACCCAAGAGACACGAGTCCTCGACTGTTTTGTGTGTGTGTGTATTCGTCTGACACAGGCGTTTGGACTTGCAAGCGACTTCACTGCCCTCGTTACTTCACCAACCCCGCTCGTCGTCCAATGAGTCTTAACGGGATGCTATATTTTTGCCAGAGTAGTTTCGATCTCACTGATGAACCCGAAGCAATTTTCGTTCATGATTTCTATGGTGAATCCGATCTATGCCGGGTTATTGTAACACCCCCACCCGGCTATCCTTGACCCCGATATCAGGATTACATGTTCAAGCCGCATTCCTTGGCCGAACCTCCCTTTTAAAGCTTTTTCCTAGCAAATCTCCTTTATGAAGTTTGATTGCTAGACTATTTTATACAGCAGAAATCTCTAAGTATTTAAAACTATACTTTTCCTTGGTTTTAACTTAACCAAACATTTGCCGGTCTGATGATCTCTTGTTTTTGGTAGTCCACTTAACTACCATTCAGCTCAGAAATCGATCCTTGACTCGGAGCAAGTTAAACATATGCATCAACCGTTCCATTCTCCTAGACCATTATACTTAGAACTAGGCTAGTAGTGACTATCCAGGTAATAACATTCCAGCTACGGACTAGTCAATATCCTAGCCATCCAGCTCAAGTCTTAGTTTAGTCGATACCCTAGCTATTTCAATCCAGCCACAGTCTTAGCTAATCCATACCTTAGCCATATTCACGAGGTGTAGCTGCACCTTGACTAGCTTCTTTGTCACTCCAGTCAGCTGAGCTCAACTGGACTCAGCTAATCATGCTCATGGTTATACGATCAGCTCCCTTAGCTTATACACCATCTCCAATTCTTCCTTAATCATTCAACCAACCATCCCCACATGACTAGGTTAGATCAGAGAGGCTATTCAGCCCCATGGCATGACTAGGGTCGTCCCTTAGGATCGCCCGTTCATCCATGTCCTTCCTTTTGCGGTTTAGTCCAACCGTACACTCGTTCTCCCGATGACTCCATGATGTCTTCCGATCATAGTCATGTTTCTCTCGACCGTAGTCGGAGTTCCTAGCTAACGCCTGACTGAAATAGTGAGAAATGATCCAATCCGGATCATTTCATCCGACCATTCATCTTACCATCACGACCATTTGCCAACGGTCGTGGCCATTCCTGGGATACCGGACCAGTATCCCGTGGCCGTGGTCAATCCTCCGATACGGCTTCCCGATTCCACCGATGTTCGGCTGGAACACTTTTCACGTGCCTACTCGTGTTTTCTCACGGTCCTGGTCACGTTCTCTCGGATATAATCCCGCTTCTCTTGGTAATAGCCACGCTTCACCCGATCATAGTCGAGGACGTCCGGCTATGTCTCGATCGTAGCCCGTTTCATCCGACCAACCTCGAGAGATCTCACGACCCTCGGTAAGGATCCCTCGGCAATCTGATTGTCCCGGATAATCTCTCGGATGAAACTCTTCCTTTCGGCCGTTCTCTCGGTAAGATATGATTTCCCTCGGCTATGCTCTCAGTATAACCGTCTTCTCTCGGTGATAGTCACAGTGTAACCGTTTCTCTCGGTCATATTTACGATCCGATCCTAGGATCTCTCGCGTGTCTCGACTATCACCGCGAGACTGCAGGGTAATCTTCTTCCCTCCCGGATGTCTCTCCTTTCACTCAGACGAACATCCAACGCCTGGACTTTCTCTCGGATATGGTCAGCATATAACTGTTTCTCCCGGTGATAGTCACGAACCTATCCGGCGAACCCACGTGTCATCCGGCTATCACCGCGAGACAGTCGGCTAATCCTCTCCTCTTCCGGATACTCCTCATTTCTCTCGGGCGAACATCCATCACTCGAAGTTCCTCTCGGATGTAGTCACCGCTTAACCGTGTCTCTCGGATATAGTCGCGAACCAATCAGCCGATCATTCGTTTCACCCGACTATATCCGCGAGACATCGAACTACCATCGTGATACATCCGGTAAATCTTGTCCCTTGTCGGATATCTCTCCTTTCTCTCGGACATGGTAACAGTATAACCGCTTCTCTCGGATGTGGTCACGGATCGATCCAACGATCCTGCACATCATCCGGCTACCAACGGGAGACATCCGACCATTCTTCTTTATCCCTCGGATAACTTGCCTTTCTCTCGGCTAAGTTTTCATTCTCTCGGATAATTTCCCTTATCCTGATCTTCCCTCGGACATGGTCACGGTAATAACCGCTTCTCTCGGATATAGTCGCGAATTGATCAACAGATCATTCGCATCCCCTGACTATCATCGCGAGACGCCGACCATTCCTCTTCGTCCCACGGATAACTTGCCTTTCTCTCGGCTAAGTTTCCTTTATCCCGATCATCCCTCGGCGATTCCCATTTATCCCGATCATCCCTCGAATATTCTCTATTTCTTCCGGATGATCTTCAATTTCTCCCGGGTAATTTCCCTTTCTCCCGGATGATGCCGGACTTCTCTCGGACATTGTCGTAGCACTCCGGCGATGACTCAACTGGAATCCGGACATCCCTGTTTCTCCCGGACCATCTCTGATTCTATCGGATGATCCCCATTTTCTCTCGGATAAATCCCCTTTTTCTCGGACAATACCGAACTTCTCTCGGATATGGTCGGAACACTCCGGCGCCGACTGGACTGAAATCCGGATATCACATTTTCTCTCGGATAAATTGGGGATAAATCGCCTTAGGCGTGAGAGATGTCATTTTCCACGAAAATACATCTCTTTTATAGCCTATGGGCGGTTTCCATTGCCCAAAACCGTCCATCCTTCATACCCCAATCTCAACCATTGATTCTTTCAATGGTCAGGATTGCACCCTTTGGATCACGGGCAGTTATTTGGCCATAACCACTTTTGGCCGAGCTCCACCAGCCACAGCTGACTTACTACTGTCTCAGTCACACCTTAGCTCAGTACCTAACTGGTCAGTCCGCCCAGCTGGGTCAGTACTCGATCAGCTGGCTGAGCTAGGTTGAGCTGCCGGTCAGCTAGTCCAGCTAGTTCAGCTAGTAGTCAGCTGGTTCAGCTAATAGTCAGCTGGCCCAGCTAATAGTGAGCTACTTCAGCTCATTCAGCTCGACTATTCCTGCCAGCTCGACTATACCGACTCATCCATTTTGTCCGACTAAGTCCTTCGGACTTGTTTCTCGATCTTGCCTAAGTCGTTTCCTTAACTTGTTCACGATCAGCCTCCTTTGATCTGAACTGAGTTATCCTTATCCTCGATACAAACCGGCCTACTATCTCGAGCAGGTTTTGGGCCGTTACAAGTCTCCCCCACTAAAAAGGAATTCATCCCCGAATTCGGTGGCAGTGAGAACTTGATTCGTTCCTTTTATCATCTCTCAGAGTTTTTCTTTGTAACTTCTGGCCCTTCTCATGTTTGTGATCTTGGTTCTTCCTGGACACGATCATATTTCCCTTATCCCGACCGTCTTCCTTACCGGAATTGGTCATATCTTATGATTCTAGTCAATCCCACTAGAACTCTTCCAGACCTTGGTCTTTACCAGACACGATCTTGTATTCCGATCTTAGTCAATCCTGACTAGATCATATCCCGACCTTTGTCATTACCAGACGTGGTCATAAATCCCGATCCTAGTCAATCCCGACTGGATCATATCCCGGCTTTTGTCTATCTCAAAGTCAGCCATATATCTTTAACTCTCTTCGATCATAGTCATTGGCTATGTCGGCTTCCGACCTTGGTCTTTCTTAGACTCGGTCATAAAACCCAATCCTAGTCAATCCTCACTAGATTGTACCCCGACCATGTTCCTCTCAGGACACGGCCACGTATCCTTAACATAGCTCCTTTCCCGCTAAGTTAGATTAACGGTCATAGTCTTCCCTGACTTGATCCTAACCTGACCATAGTCCTACCCGGACTGGGTCAATCCCCCTCGATCATAGTCTCTGACTATGTCGGATCCCGACCATAGTCATATCCAGACTTGGTTAAATTTTCCTTGATTATAGTCCTTGACTACATCACATCCCGGCCATAGTCATATCCAGACTTGGTCAATTCATCATCGATTATAGTCACACAGACTATATCGTATCCCGACCCTAGTCCTTCTCGGACGTGGTCTACTTTTTCCTGATCATAGTCGACCAGACTATATCGTATCCTGACCCTAGTCCTTCCCGGACGTGGTCAACTTTTTCCCGATCATAGTCGAGCAGACTATATTGTATCCCGACCCTAGTCCTTCCCGGCGTGGTCAACTTTTTTCCCGATCATAGTCCACGACTATGTCATCTTTTGGCCTTGGTCTTCACTAGACGCTGCCATATATTTCCTAATGTGCGCCTCTCTCGCATCTTACCATTATCTTGAATCCGCGACTTATTTCTGTGCGCACTCAAGTGACTCAACAATCTGGCAAGCTCTCGGTTCACGGTTATGCCTTAGCAAACTCTCCCGGTTTCCAAGCATATTTTCTGATCTTACCTCAATTTCCTAGACCAGCTGAACACCAATATAACCCTGATTCAACTCTGAATCAAATAAAATCCGAGCACTAGTCCCGTATAGTAATACTGTCTATGGTACGTATCTTGGCCGCCCTAGATCTGCCTTAGAGAACCACTTTCCCGATTTCTAAGCGCTAATCTTAGCTGCCTCAACTACCATTAGACTCAGTCATGCCACCGTGCGCTAGCTACCATGATCATTGATTTATCCCGACCATTCATGGTCCCTTTCTACGGTTACCACCGTCCTTTACTCATGATCACAGTCACCTCCTGACCAGATCATAGTCTTCCTCAGTCAACTGACTGTCTCATGATCCGTGAGCTTAACCATCGCTTAGTCATCCAAGGCTAAGATCCGGTTTTGCACTACTAACATCCCATGTTTCCTGTTAGGATCGTCACAAGTTCTCCCCCACTAAAAGAATTCGTCCCAGAATTTCAGTGGTAGTGAGAATCTTGTTTCGATCATCTTCCTGACTTTCCTTTTGATCCCCACCCATCATGCATAGTAGCGATGACCTCCGAGAAGTATCTTGATCATTGAACAAGCCCTGGCAAGAACACTAGACTCCCAAGTACTTGTCTCAACATCTCAACTTTGGACCATGTCATACTACTACAATGATCGAGCTTTTCTGTCCCTGAGCATCTATCCTTTCCTAGGATCAAGCATGCTCTGATACCAACTTGTGACACCCCGACCCGGCCATCCTTGACCCCGGTACGAGGGTTACATGTTCAAGCCGTATTCCCCGGCTGAACCTCCCTTTTAAAGCCTTTTCCTAGCAAATCTCCTTTATGAGGTTTGATTGCTAGACTATCTTATGCAGCGGAAATCTCTAAGTATTTAAAACTATACTTTTCCTTGGTTTTAGCTTAACCAAGCACTTGCCGGTCTGATGATCTCTTGCTTTCGGTAGTCCACTTAACCACCATTCAGCTCAGAGATCGATCTTTGACTCGGAGCAAGTTAAACATATGCATCAACCGTTCCATTCCCCTAGACCATTCTACTTAGAACTAGGCTAGTAGTGAATATCCAGGTAGTTACATTCCAGCTACGGACTAGTCAACATCCTAGCCATCCAGCTAAATTCTTAGTTTAGTCGATACCCTAGCTATTTCAATCCAGCTACAGTCTTAGCTAATCCATACCTTGACTAGCTCCTTTGTCACTCCAGTCAGCTGAGCTCAACTGGACTCAGCTAATCATGCTCATGGTTATACGATCAGCTCCCTTAGCTTATACACCATCTCCGATTCTTCCTTAGTCATTCAACCAACCATCCCCACATGACTAGGTTAGATCAGAGAGGCTATTCAGCCCCATGGCATGACTAGGGTCGTCCCTTAGGATCGCCTGTTCATCCATGTCCTTCCCTTTGCGGTTTAGTCCAACCGTACACTCGTTATCCCGATGACTCCATGATGTCTCCCGATCATAGTCATGTTTCTCTCGACCGTAGTCGAAGTTTCTAGCTAACGCCTGACTGGAATAGTGAGAAATAATCCAATCCGGATCATTTCATCCGACCATTCATCCTACCGTCACGACCATTCGCCAACAGTCGTGGCCATTCTCGGGATACCGGACCAGTATCCCGTGGCCGTGGTCAATCCTCCGATACGGCTTCCCTATTCCACCGATGTTCGGCTGGAATCCTTTTCACGTGCCTACTCGTGTTTTCTCACGGTCTTGGTCACATTCTCTCGGATATAATCCCGCTTCTCTCGGTAATAGCCACGCTTCACCCGATCATAGTCGAGGACGTCCAGCTATCTCCCGATCGTAGCCCGTTTCATCTGACCATCCTCGAGAGATCTCACGACCCTCGGTAAGGATCCCTCGGCATTCCGATTGCCCTGAATAATCTCTCGGATGAAACTTTTCCCTTCGGCCGTTCTCTCGGTACGATATGATTTCCCTCGGCTATCTTCTCAGTATAGCCGTCTTCTCTCGGTGATAGTCACAGTGTAATCGTTTCTCTCGGTCATATTTATGATCCGATCCTCGGATCTCTCGCGTGTCCCGACTATCACCGCGAGACTGCCGGGTAATCTTCTTCCCTCCCGGATGTCTCTCCTTTCTCTCAGACGAACATCCAACGCCTGGACTTTCCCTCGGATATGGTCAGCATATAACCGTTTCTCCCGGTGATAGTCACGAACCTATCCGGCGAACCCACACGTCATCCGGCTATCACCGCGAGACAATCGGCTAATCCTCTCCTCTTCCGGATATTCCTCATTTCTCTCGGGCGAACATCCATCACTCGAAGTTCCTCTCGGATGTAGTCACCGCTTAACCGTGTCTCTCGGATATAGTCGCAAACCAATCAGCCGATCATTCGCTTCACCCGACTATATCCGCGAGACATCGGACTACCATCGTGATATATCCGGTAAATCTTGTCCCTTGTCGGATATCTCTCCTTTCTCTCGGATATGGTAACAGTATAACCGCTTCTCTCAAATGTGGTCACGGATCGATCTAACGATCCTGCACATCATCCGGCTACCAACGGGAGACATCCGACCATTCTTCTTTACCCCTCGGATAACTTGCCTTTCTCTCGGCTAAGTTTCCATTCTCTCGGATAATTTCCCTTATCCTGATCTTCCCTTGAACATGGTCATGGTAATAACCGCTTCTCTCGGATATAGTCGCGAATTGATCAACAGATCATTCGCATCCCCTGACTATTATCGCGAGACGCCGACCATTCCTCTTTGTCCCACAGATAACTTGCCTTTCTCTCGGCTAAATTTCCTTTATCCTGATCATCCCTCGGCGATTTCCATTTATCCCGATCATCCCTCGGATATTCTCTATTTCTTCCGGATGATCTTCAATTTCTCCCGGGTAATTTCCCTTTCTCCCGGATGATGCCGGACTTCTCTCGGACATTGTCGTAGCACTCTGGCGATGACTCGACTGGAATCCGGACATCCCTGTTTCTCCCGGACCATCTATGATTCTATCGGATGATCCCCATTTTCTCTCGGATAAATCTCCTTTTTCCCGGACAATACCGAACTTCTCTCGGATATGGTCGGAACACTCCGGCGCCGACTGGACTGGAATCCGGATATCACATTTTCTCTCGGATAAATTGGGGATAAATCGCCTTAGGCGTGAGAGATGTCCTTTTCCACGAAAATACATCTCTTTTATAGCCTATGGGTGGTTTTCATTGCCCAAAACCGTCCATCTTTCATACACCAATCTCAGCCATTGATTCTTTCAATGGTCAGGATTGCACCCCTTGGATCACGGGCAGTTATTTGGTCATAACCACTTTTGGCCGAGCTCCACCAGCCACAGCTGACTTACTACTGCCTCAGTCACACCTTAGCTCAGTACCTAGCTGGTCAGTCCGCCCAGCTGGGTCAGTACTCGATCAGCTGGCTGAGCTAGGTTGAGCTGCCGGTCAGCTAGTCCAGCTAGTTCAGCTAGTAGTCAGCTTGTTCAGCTAATAGTCAGCTGGCCTAGCTAGTAGTGAGCTACTTCAGCTCGTTCAACTCGACTATTCCTGCCAGCTCGACTATACCGACTCATCCATTTTGTCTGACTAAGTCCTTCGGACTTGTTTCTCGACCTTGCCTAAGTCGTTTCCTTAACTTGTTCACGATCAGCCCCCTTTGATCTGAACTGAGTTATCCTTATGCTCGATACAAACCGGCCCACTATCTCGAGCAGGTTCCGGGCCGTTACAGTTATACTTCTCCCCGACCACGATGTGAATCACAACCGGGAATTCGAAAGAGCCTTGACGGCATCCAGCGGATCTGTCATGTATATCAAAACATTCTTGTCCCAAAAAGGAGAAAATCTTTTAAAGGTTTGGAGGTTAAACAATGATGATTGCTGGCAACTCTTATAAGAATCTCGCCTCCAGTTTGATGTCAGATATTGTGCACCCATTACAATGCATCCCTTTGATCTCAATGTTATCTATCTATGGAGCCAAACCAACCGCTGTTTGGTATCATGCAACTTGAAGACACAAAACTACAAAAGCCTCACAGATCAAGGTTGTTTCCTGAACCAGTCTTTTTTTTTAGAACCGGACTTTTGGATCAGGAGTACAAAAATCCCCTCACCACATGTCAGTTCGTGCTCCCACAGTGGATGGAATTATTGCCTTGTCCTCCCCAAGTTGAGATGATGGATACAACCTTACTGTTTGCCTGCATTGCTTCATTGCCCAAGATTACTTGGGCGCCAGGGACAGAGTAAATAAGGTTTTCAATACGTGTTTTTCTTTGGTTTTTTATGTTTCTCTTTTTTTTTTACAATATTTATATATGATATTTAAGATAATGACCAAGGGGAGGTATCAGAGATATGGACTTTTGGTTTTGGCATATTAATACTTACAAGTGTTCAAATCTATTCCCTTGTGGGTCTTTTTCAGCAGGTTTACTTATTCCTTTTAATGTCATGGAGCAGATTACAATAAAAAATCTGAATGATTGGTTTAATCACCGTAAAGAGTCTTGAGGATTTAGGAACTCGTCTCCATGTTGTTATATATATGCGTGGAAAGAGATAATTAAGAGGATATCGTTGTGGGTTTAAAGAACATTTGTCCATGAATTGAGGAAAATATATTAATATGGTGGGACAGTTTCTGAAACCAGAAAGAGGCGACAAATGCATTGGTTTGAGAGCATTTATCTTTAAAACGGACGGCTGTCCCACGATACATTCTCCCAAACCGACCAGCTCCTTCAAATAATAATCATACGTAAAAGCGACCACTTCGCTTTTCTATTAACGTTTATCGATTCTATAGCATTATATATCACCCGAGCACTCAAACTCAAACGGTTGAGTATTCGAGCAATTAAACAAAAGCTTTCTCTAGAGTCTAGCCAATGAGACTAATCGTTTGAGTCTTGCATTTTGAATGGGCTTTAAATGGGCCTGAATAGAGAAAGATTAGCCTTACCTTTGAGCAATTTGAATCTCTTTCAACAATAGTAGTACACATGTTTAATTTCTGTCTAGACATGGAGAATAAGGAATAGCTAAGCCATAGGAATCAGAGTAATACTGATGATAAACTGTAGTAGAATTAGGATCAAAACTATTACATGGCTAAAAATAGCTGGCTAATTCTAGGTAATGTTTATGTCGTAACTTGCAAGCCACATTCAGCATTTCCCAGCTCTTTGAGCTTAGGAATCACTTCTCGAACATGATTAACCCTTCGAACTTGCAGATGAGGCGACATTGAATTTTGTATGCCATTTGGAAGAGTAATGAGTCCCAGAGAAAGCTTTATCCATGGACTGGATGAGAATGTCTTATCGTCTCTTGACAATAGAAATTGTTCCTGTGGTGCTTCATCGTTTTAGACTAGTAGAGAGCTTTCATTATTATGCCTCTATTATGGTTGCAAACAAGTGCATTTTAGAAGTTTGCTGTGATTAAGATTCTAAAGACACGAATAGATACTAAAGAGTGAGATGTGCGATGTGATTGTTGTGTCTTCTCTTCTCCAAATATGACTCATCACCAGATTCTTATGGACATTATCAATTACCCAAAACCGCATCACGTTCTTGTTGAGAAGCTTTTATGCCCCCCAATTACACAATGCAAACATGTCATTTTTCTTTTCTTTTTTATTCAATATTTATGTCAGCTAAGCTGAAAGAGGGACTACTACTTATGAGCGGTACTCTAAAACAATAAGGGTTTTCTTAGTTAAAATTGTTTTTATTCTTATTTTATATTTTAATTTTTTCCTTTTAAATTTAAAAAATCAACCATATTTTTTTTAATTGGTAATCTTGATCCTGAGTGTTAAGCGCTCTATATAAAAGGAAAGCATTTCGGAATCAATATTGTGTATCCTTTTTTTCTTTAATCCTCAAAAAGTCCATTATCTAGTTTTATACCTTTTTCTCGAAACTCTCTGTCTATTATAGTTTCTTTCACCGACGATAAGATAATACTCTTAAGTGTTGAAAGATTTGGGAACGTGTGAGAGAAAGTCTCATCGTCGATCAAACTCAAAAGGCTATTGGCAGCCGCATGTATATATGGCCCGATACGATCAATTGCTCCAGGCACATGTATGATTTGATGCGACTACTTTAGATTAGGGTTTAAAAGTTACAGTACTCTAGACTTAAGGTAAGGCTTCTCGATGGTAGCTTTTTTCGAATGAATATTTGACCTAGACATACATTGTAGAGTAAGGTGATTGGTTCTTCAATGTTATAGACTAAATTCACTTTTATAACTAGGCTTGGACTTTTTTTTTTTACACAAAATAATTTTGGGATTAAACATTTTCAAGAAAGTAACTCAAATAGCTTCTGATCGGTAATTACATAAAAAGTAAAAATCTACATACCAAAAAAGAGAGCATAAAAAGTAAAAATCTGAAAATATACAATTCTTATTATATTAACCAACAAAATACATAGTTGATCGTTTTTCTCCACGTTCAATCAAATTCATATTTGGAAAAACCTGGACCAAACATTACACACACAACAAACAAAAAAAGGCAAATATCGAGGCTAATTGAGAAGCCAAACAAATTAAAACCATAGAGGACTGATCAAGGGTAGCTCTCTGTGGTCGGAGCCGAACCGTAAGATCCAATGAAAACGTCTCCGTAGATGAGTCCAGCGAGTGCACCACCGACGAGTGGGCCCACCCAGTAGATCCATATCTGAGAGAAGTCACCGCTGACAACAGCTGGTCCAAATGACCTAGCCGGATTCATAGAGCCGCCGCTAAATGGACCGGCCGCAAGGATGTTGGCACCAACGATGAAACCGATGGCAATGGGAGCGATGGTCCCAAGAGACCCCTTCTTCGGGTCCGCCGCCGTGGCGTAAACCGTGTAGACCAGAGCAAAAGTCACCACAATCTCCATCACTACTCCTTCCACCGCTCCTAAACCGGCTGCTACTCCATGTGTCGGTACGCTCTACATAACCGGGGAATAAAACAAAATTTCGGTTACTCCACCATAACTTATGAATCAAACCGGACTCTGAGGCTCACCATAACATTTTTTAGTCACGGTCGTTTGAACAAAACATTCACAATCAGAAATAACTCATGATTAGAATTATGATTTTGTGTACGTACCTTGCCATTGGTAACAAAGACGAGGAGGAGACAGGCAACGATGGAGCCAAGGCACTGAGCAATCCAGTAGAAGAAACCGGTGATGACTGTGATGTTGCCGCCGACGGCGAGGCCGAGTGTCACGGCGGGGTTAAGGTGTCCACCGGAGATGTTAGCGGCTATGGACACACCAACAAAAAGGGCAAAGGCGTGAGCCACCGCCACAGCAACAAGACCAGCCGGGTCCAAGGCTGCATCGGATGTTAGTTTGCCAAAAGCGATAGCAGAGCCAACGCCAGCAAAAACGAAGATAAGTGTTGCGATAAACTCAGACAAGTAAGCCTTAAGAGAAGCGACGCTAAAGGAATCACCCAAACTTCCAATGGCAATCTTCACCATTTTGGCACTTAAATAGCTAAGACTTTATTTTCTTTTGGTTGATGATTATTAGCTCTTTCTGTGTTATTGTGTGGCTTGTGGTTTATGCTCGATCGAGTTTATATAGCAAAGAGGTAATGAAGTTGCTGGACCCACTTTACGTGGCAGGTCACCATTGGATGCCGTCCAAACCGCCAATTATTTAGACTATTCAGCTTGTATTTGAGGGTTAGTGACATCGAAGATGATTAAAGGACAACTAATAAGTTTTTTTTTTTTTTTTAAATGCTAAGAAAATGATGGACAACGTATTTCATAATATGTGAAGATAAGATGTGTTCTGTTGTCATCTTAATATCCTGGATTTAAATTAAATGCTGTCTCATACCAATTACGATGAATGGTCGTATTCCCTTTTCCTCTTATAATTTTATTTTATTAGTATGGGAGGTGCTAAAAGCCTAAAATATTAGTATGGATTAGGAGTTAAATCATATACCACCGTTGCTCTGTTTGGAGTTGGTGTGTTAGAGATATTGACTTTAAGAAATAAAATTACAACAAACATCTATTGAAATGGAAAAATTGAAGATTAAGAAAGGTGCTCCACACAAATGGAGTGATGGTGACATTAAAATAAATTTGCTGAGCGATGATGGTTGTTTAAATTACTTTCTCCGCCCCACTATTAAAAGTACAACACTTTAAAAAAAAAATACTATATGGTTTTGATTATATATAATCTTTTAGCTACGAAATTACAAATATAACAACGAAATGGAATGCTCTTTCCATATGAAACCAATGCATGATAGATGTTTTTCCACCCAACCATTTGGGTGAGAAAAAGATCTCAAACCAATTAAATTTTGTTATAATTTTTACTGTCTAAAACCAGAATTTAAACTTAAATCGAAACAAAATTTTTTGAGACCAAACTGAATCAAATCAAAATAAGAATTTTAATCTATAAAATAAAAGTTATTTTGTACCCAAAACTCCAAAAACTCGAACTAAACTGAACAGAACTGTATAATCAAATTTGCATCCTTCCAAATCACTTAGCTGGTTTGAGTAACTTAAACCTAAATAGGCCTAAGCCCATATAAATAACCCAATAGGTTTTCATTTAAAAGGGCTTTATGAGTTTTGATCTGATGGTTTCAAAACTATTATTCCAGGTTAATCCAGACCGTCAATTGGCTAACACAGCAAAGCCCTGTGCGTAATAGATTCTATACTAAAGTAGTGACAATCATGTCCTTCTCTGATTTTTATCCTTAAACACACTTTCCGTTTCTTATAGCCAATCAACTTCCACTATAACCCAGCAGTCATTTCAACTTTCAACAGCTATTTTAACTTTTACCTCAAACAAAATATTTTCTTCTTTTACCTCTCTCGGTCATTCAATTCTGTTTTTCAACTGAACGTTTTTTACACCAAAAAAGTAAAAACCTGTGGCGTGTTTTGTTAAAGTCAGTGTTAGCCGTAGGATAACATAAAATTCGGACACGTGTTAATCTGGATTTAGCCGCGCTTCCATTTTTTCTTTCTTCCCAAATGTATTTTATTGGCGTTTTCAATTTATTTTGGGCTTTACTTAAACAACCAGACTCATTTATACATTTGACAAGACAAAAGCGAATAAATTTATCGCTCCTTCTCTCCCAATCTGCTTCACTCGCCAAACCTCGTTTCTTCGCCGGAACCCTAAATCGTCTCCATCAGTTTTAATTTTCCGGTGAGTTAAACATCTCTCCCACCGTTTCAATTTTACCTTTTTAAGCGGGGTTTACTAAGTTAGGTCGTCGTGACGCCACGATTCCCTTGATTTTGAGAGAGAAGATATTGACGCGTTTGTTTGTCGAGCAGTTGATGAACGTGCGATTAGGGAAAAGCTGAGGTCTGACACGGCCAGGTTTTTTTCACCGAATGGAGGGAGGTAGCGTCTCCATATACTCTTGTCTCGGTACTTTTCGTTTCCTACTGTTTGTATCACTCGACTTGAAGTGACCAGAGTCAATTTTTCTTCTTTTTTCTGCAAATCCGTCTCTTTCACTGTGTTGGTATGCTTTTCGTTCTTAATTTTGTTTACACTTCCTCTCGTATATATGTATTTTGTTTCAGGAATAAACCCATGGATTATGATGACAATGACTTTCAAAACCAGAATCTCCATCTAGCTGGTGAAGCTAACAATAAATTTCCCCCAGTATTGCAGCCTTATGCTCTTCCAAAGTTTGATTTTGATGATACACTCAACACGCATTTGAGATTTGACAGTTTAGTTGAAACCGAGGATTTTCTTAGTATCGAGGGTAACGAAGATAGTAGCTGGATTGAGGATTTCTCGCGTGGAGATAGTGGTATTGTTTTTAGTTCAGGTGCAACGGAGTCCTGTGCCATTTCTAGGCACAATAATGTTTGGTCTGAGGCTACTTCGTCGGAATCTGTTGAAATGCTTTTGAATTCAGTTGGACAGGACGAAGTCATTGTAAGAGAAGATACTACCAAGAAATCTGGCAATTCGGATGAACTAGGTTGCACAATGGAACAATTGGAGCCTGGTCAAACAAACCATGAGAATATTCTTCCCAAAGAGGAAACAGCAAACGTACAACCGAACACATCTGTGGATGATACTACTCCAGGAGACTACTCTGTGCTAAAGACAGATGCTGAGCAGGAACAGGTCCTGGTGAAAGATGACTCACCAACCGTTGCAGAAAAGTCATCCACGGAGGAAATAAATGCCATATTGGCTTCAAAAACCGTGACTGTAGAGGCTGTGGATACTGTTGGTCATGATAAGATAGGAACTGAGACGACTGATAGTCTTCTTGACCAAACCCTTGGGGAAGCGTCATCCATGGAGGAAAATAATGCTGTTTTGGCTTCAAATACCGCGACTGTAGAGGCTGGGGATACTGCTGGTCACGATGCGATAGGAACTGAGAGGACTGATAGTCTTCTTGACCAAATCGTTGCAGAAGAACCTTCCATGGAGGAAAATAATGCTGTTTTGGCTTCAAATGCCGTGACTGTAGAGGCTGTGGATACTGCTGGTGAAGATAAGATAGCAACCGAGACGACTGATAGTCTTCTTGACCAAACCGTTGCGGAAGAGTCCTCCATGGAGGAAAACAATGCCATCTTGGCTTCAAATGCCGTGATTGTAGAGGCTGTGGATACTGCTGGTGAAGATAAAATAGAAACCGAGACGACTGATAGCCGTCTTGACCAAACCGTTGCGGAAGAGTCATCCATGGAGGAAAACAATGCCATCTTGGCTTCAAATGCCGTGACTGTAGAGGCTGTGGATACTACTGGTGAAGATAAAATAGAAACCGAGACGACTGATAGTCTTCTTGACCAAACCGTTACGGAAGCGTCATCCATGGAGGAAAAGAATGCTGTTTTGGCTTCAAATACTGCGACTGTAGATGCTGTGGATACTGCTGGTCATGATAAGCTAGGAACTGAGACGACTGGTAGTCTTCTTGACCAAACAGAAGACGAAGCTAACGCAGAATCAAAGATGGAGATTGATGATGGAACTGTACCAACTGGTGTTCCTTGTAGCGGTGAGTTGAATTATCAGACGATTTTGCTTCCAGAGACTTCCAATGATGAAAATGATATCAGCAACCAAATTAAAAGTAGTCATAACGGCGATGATCTAACAATAGAGTCACGGTCAGTTTTGGTTGAGGCTCATTGTGATAGCCGTATAGACACAACTTCTGTAGTTGCAAATGTGGAAGGCGAAAATTTTGACGAAACTGAAAAGTCTGATTTGATGGAGATGGAGCTATCTGATGTCACTGTACTAGAAAGAGGGGAGCAAGCTCTCTCTACTCTTGAGGTAAGTGGACAAGATGTTTCAGGGACCCAAGTTGCAAATGTGGAAGCTGAAAATTTCGGCGAAACTGAAAAGCCTGATTTGAAGGAGATGGAGCTATCTGATGTCACATTACTCGAAAGAGGGGACCAAGCTCTCTCTACTTTTGAGGTAGGTGGACAAGACGTTTCAAATATCCAATGCCAAGAATTCCTTGTCAGCAGTGCTCATACTAGCGCAACTGTTGAAGCATCTGTGGAACTTGCTGAGGAATTTACAACTCTTACAAGCAATGTTTCCATGGAGAAGCCTGAATCGCGTATTCATCAACATATGGAAGTTACTGAAAGTGAACATGAATGTACTTTTGTGACTGAGACACATACACAGATTCTTCTAGTTGAAACTTCAGAAAGTGTTAGTGTTTCACAAACGAACTCAATGGTTGAATCCACAAAAGGTGATGTGTCTAGGAAGGGTGACAACAACGAAGGTATTGCTCGCATGTCTAATATCAAGCAAAGTTTGGAATTGGCTGTCAATGCCAATGATAGACATCAGGACGCCAGGAGCTCTCAAATCATATCTGAAAGCGTTGTGTCTGAGTCTGTTGTTGGTTATGTTCCAGGAGACGCAGCTTCCAAGCTGGTGGAGTCAAAATCTCAGTTTGACACCACTCCAGCGGATAATTCAGGTAATCATATTGTCTGATTCTTTAATAATATAATCTACTTTCATGCTATATATATTTTTATTTTGCCTTCTCGTTCTCTCAGTACCGTTGGTTCTGCCTTTGTTTTTAATTATCTTTTTGGGTTACTGTACTGCCGCTTGTTGCAAATGCTACATCATGAATACTTATAAAAAATCCCCTAAATGTATTGTTTACATTTTTCTTTCACAGGGACTATGATTGACGGTAAAGAATGTGAAGTATTTCCTCTTATTTCCGAAGAATCACATCAACTAAGGCAAGATGGAGCACCTGTTGTTTATCTCACATCTTCGACATATTTACATACAGTGAATACATCCTCTGATGTGAATGATCAAGGCAGTTTCTCTGAAACTGAAAAGGTTACATCTGTGGAACCTGAAAATGACCAAACCGTTCCACCTGTGGATGCAAGTAGTTCAGGGAGTCATATAGACCAACAAGCTAGGAAGCATACTGAAGATACTCAACAGAGTACAGAATTTGTCGTAGGCTGTCCTGCCTCTGAAGGGTCAAAAGATGCAGTAGATGCTGATGCCGCTGGGCAAGTTTTGCATCAGCAGTCTGAGGAAACAATTTTAGAAGAAAATATAGTAACAGAAGCTGTAGATGTTCTATCTTTTGCTTCTTCCTCAGAGACTCGGTCAATTCTAGACAAGGATGGCATAAATGAAAAACCTAATACTAGCTCCTTGGCTATTCGTGGGAGTGAAGCTGGGGAAGATGGCCGGGAAGAGGATAATACTGCTGCATCCGGTGGGATTATGGCAGCTGGGTCTCCTGTTTCACACTCCACGGGTGAGTCTGTATGATCTTCACAACAGCAAGAAACTTCTCTTTCTTGCAGTTTCTTCTGATTGTTTTAGAATGGTTTATGAAGGAGATACGTATTAGGTGTATGAATACTGTGAATTTCCATGATAGAGTCAATAATCTGTGTAATTTTTAAGTGAAAGAAGCGCCACCTTAAAGGATAGAGTTACTGGAAACGTCTGATTAAGTCTTACAGGTCTTGATAATGGAACGGCCAGTGCTATTCTTTTTCTAGATTGGTGAAATTATTTTTATGCACTTATTGGAATATGTACCTGCCCTTATGGATATTGCAGGTGATGTAATCGGAAAAGGTGACTCCCGTGCTTCTACAAGTTCTGAGCCTTTTGCAAAGTCCCATATGACTGGGACAGAAAACGCTGCAACAAATTTAGGGACTCCTCTTATTTCATTCCCCGCTGGTAAGACGTCCGAACTTCAACTTCATAAGACAGAGACAAACAGCGTGAAAAAACCAGAAGATCAGAGTATTTCGAGTTTTATGTCTGTCGAATCTCCGGTCTTGAATAGAAATGTGACCTTCAGCAGTGGGCTGAACTCAACTTCCGATCCAAGGAAAGCAGGGGAGATTTCTAAAGCTGTTAACTTTTCACAAGCTGCCCTTGTCTCTCCGGTACCTCCCATTTATATCTTAACATATTTTCATCAGTGGTCGAGGCGAAATCTGTGACATTAATTTGTTATCGTCCTTAAGTAGCATTTGTTTTTTGTTTATCTAGATTGTGGTGGGATCTCCGTCAACATCTAGCTTAGAGAAAACAGCTGCAAAGTCTTCCAAAACAAAACCTGAGCGTAAACCAAGGCGAACACCTAAATCTGCAGGAAAAGAGACTTCCAGAAAAGGAAACAGTGTAAAAGGGGCTGCACCTTTCCAACATATTCAAAGTGGAGGCAAAACAAATGCTGTTAACCAAACTGCTGCTTGTTCTATTCAAATCACATCATCTACTGAGAAGCAGCAAAGTCTTCAGACCCCTGCTCTAAATGCTTTTGGAACCCTTTCAGCCCCCGCAGCAAGTCTACCTGATCTGAATTCTTCTGCTCTTTCAAGTATTTTGCGTCGACCTTTCACAGACTTGCAACAAGTGCAACTACGTGCACAGATTTTTGTTTATGGGGCTCTGATGTAAGTTCTTTGTTAGTCTTTACATGCTCTTAAGTCTTGTTGACTCAATGAGACTCAAGAGCGATCTCGTTCAAAGTTCCTGCAAACCTTACTGTCTTACAAAAGGTTGACTGTTATGCTTTTTTCTTTTCCTGTTACAGCCAAGGAACAGCACCCGATGAAGCGTATATGATATCCGCATTTGGTGGTCAAGGTAAGATTGTTATTCCTTAACCTATTGCTTATCTACGTTTGAGACAAAGTGTATTCACTTTACACTTCTCCAGATGGTGGGAAAGGCAGTTGGGAGAAATCATGGCGTGCTTGTGTTGTAAGGGCTCAGAAATTGCATGTTTCTACTCCTGAAACGCCATTGCAATCACGTACAGGTTTCTAGTTTAATTATTCTGAATTTCATGCTCGTTTGGTCTGCTTATATTTGATTTCTCAGCTTTGCTGCTGTTAGCTTTCCTGAGCTAAATACCCAAAACTGCATTTCCAGGGAAGACAGAGATTCCGTCTGCGGGTCACACCATTAGCAAAGGTTCAGCGACAAAACCCATTATTCCACTCTCATCACCTTTATGGAGTTTGTCAACTTCCCTTGATACTTTACAATCAAGTAGCATTCAGAGAGGTTCAGCTGCTGCTCATCAGCCACTGCTTTCTACGTCGCATTCTCACCAAACTCCACCAAGTACGAATATTGTTGGACATAATACCCCTTGGATGTCTCCTCTCCCATACCGCAATCCTTGGCTTGCTTCTCCGCAAACTAGTGGATTTGATGTTGGTTCTCGTTTCCCTGTATTCCCGATCACCGAACCTGTAAAATTTACTCCCACGAAAGAATCATCCTTGCCTTACTCTGGCGCAAAGCATGTTCTGAGTGGAACTTCTAGCAATGTTTTCAAAGGGACGCCAACACTTGAGCCAGCCAGTACAGTTGTAGCACCTGGTCAACATTCTACTGGGACGAAATCAAGGAAACGGAAGAAGATGCCAGTCTCTGAGGAGTCTGGCCCAAACATTTTGAATTCGCTAAAGCAGACAGAATTAGTGGTCTCACCTCTTGACTCTATATCGACACCTGTGTCTACTACAGCTGCTCTGGGTAATATGACTTCTAATGCAGGCACCCTGCCCAATGTTTCTTTCACTCCAGTCACTAATAACCTGGTATCTACGTTCCCCGGGAAAAAAACAAAATCTTCTCTGCCATCCCCAATTTTTGGTGGCAACCTTATACCTGAAGTTCAGCAGAGATCTTTCTTGTCGGTGGATACCATTGATAAACTTAATGAGGCTACGATGCATGCAGAGGATGCATCTGCTCTTGCTGCTGCAGCTGTTAGTCACAGTGAATACGTATGGAAGCAGATAGAGCAACAAATGCATGCTGGCCTCCAGCCAGAAACTGAAGGCAGATTAGCGTCGGCTGCTGTTGCCATAGCTGCTGCAGCTGCAGTGGCAAAGGCTGCAGCTGCTGCCGCCAATGTAGCAGCTAATGCTGCATTGCAGGCAAAATTAATGGCTGAAGAAGCATCGGTTCCAAGTTCTTCTGATCAGGGTAATGAACTCCCTAAGTCAAGTGATATGAGAATTCAAGGCCAAGGTACTCATGCTTCTATCTTGAAGGGTGAAAAAAGTGCAGTGATGAGCTCCAGTTCGGTTCTTAGTGCTGCTAGAGAGGCGGCTAAGAAGAGGGTTGAAGCTGCCACAGCGGCCACTAAGCGAGCTGAAAATATGGATTCTATTGTAAAAGCAGCAGAACTGGCATCAGAGGCGGTTTCACAAGCTGGAATACTTGTTTCCATGGGCCATCCTCCGTTGCTCAATAAACTGGTTGAGGCGGGTCCAAGTAATTACTGGAGGCAGGCTCAAGAATCTGAAGAAGTGCAGCCCTGTGAAACGGGTGGGTTAGAAAAAGAAACTGTGGCTACTAGTGATAGAACGTTTGCTAGTCCCAGAACTGTGCCGACTGAGTTGGATGCTGGCTCAGTGAGAACAGCTGATGGTGTATCCGGTCCAGTTTCTACCATTGGAAAGAAAACAAAGGGACAAAAGGGTCATAAAGGTGCAGACTTGGCTAAAAATAATGCTGTAGTTTTCGAACCAGAATTTGGGTCAAAATCTTCGATTGACACCCAGACTGAGAGTGAACAGATAATGAAAACAGCAAACTATGAGGACATCAAGGAGGGTTCTCATGTAGAGGTTTGTGCAATGCTGGCATAAATACTGTCTATAACTAACAACGGCTCGTGGTTGGTTGTGTTCCTTTGTTAACGGAGATAAACTGTCCTATGTAGGTTTTCAAGGAAGGACCCGAATTAAGAACTGCATGGTACTCTGCCAATGTATTGAGCTTAGAGGATGAGAAAGCTTACGTAGTGTTCAATGACCTTTCTGTAGAAGAAGGTATGCTAGTTTGCACCAAGTATATGATAACTATGTAATCGTATGTAATCACCCTCTTTCTATTATTATTTTATATGCACGTGCATTTCCTTGAAAGGGTGCAGAACTGGTTAGTGAAACTCCTATGCAGAGGTTACATTGCTTTATTAGTTGATTGGTTGATCCCTGTATTTTACCTTTTATCAGGAACAGATAAGCTGAAGGAATGGGTAGCCCTCAAAGGTGAAGGTGATGAGGCTCCGAAAATAAGAACTGCTCGTTCTGTTACTGCCATGCCATATGAAGGAACCAGGAAGAGACGTAGAGCTGCCATTGGAGATCCTGTTTGGAAAATTGGGGATAGGGTAGACTCGTGGGTGCATGACAGGTAATCATTGGCTCTTTTACTTGCTATTTTTAATGCGAAATCATAACGACGATAGCCCAAACACAAATTCTATAAATCGTTTTCAAATTTCCGTTTTGTGAAATCCTGTCTATTCCACCAACTTCGCAAATTTTATCTATCTTTTTTTTGTTCTCCTTCAGTTGGTTGGAGGGTGTTATCACGGAGAAGAACAAGAAAGATGAAAATACAGTGACTGTGCATTTTCCTGGTGCGTAAAGACGTGAATGTGCCTAATGAAGATGCCTCATTTTAATGCTTAAAACTGCTCGTCTGATCCACTGTGCTCAAAACGTTTATTTTTTCTTAATTTTTTTTTTTTTGGGCAGCACAAGGAGACACTTTGACGATCAAAGCTTGGAATCTTCGTCCTTCTCTTGTATGGAAAGATGGAATGTGGATTGAATGTTCTACTTCAGGAGAAAACATCAGCTCGTCACATGAGGTATTATGACCCTTCTGTGGAGCTAGAGGCTTCTACTCTTTTGGATGCTTCGGCTATTTTGCAAGACTCAATAAATTTAATTGCAGGGTGATACTCCGAAGGAGAAGCGTCCCAGATTAGGAGCTCCCGCACTGGTGGCTAAAGAAAAAGACACGACAATGAAGATTGTTGATGTCCCAGATTTTGGGAAACCGCCGCCTCCTCAGTCTGGTGTTCTTGACCTTGGTGTTTCAGAGAATACATTTAACATTGGGAGGAGTACCAGAGAGGAGGGCAAACCCGATCCACTCCGAATGAAGAGAAGCGGTTTGCAAACGCAGGGATCAAAAAGTATTTTTGGTGTCCCAAAACCTGGTAAGAAAAGGAAGTTCATGGACGTGAGCAAACACTATGTTTCAGAGGCGAGCACTAAAACTCGGGAACGGAGGGAACCAGTTAAGCCTGTGAAACCAGTTGTGCCCCAAAGTTCAGGACCAGGGAGCTGGAGACTGCCTTCTAAAACTGTTTCCAGAGAGAAACAGACGACAACTGTATCTAGGCCCAAGACTTTCAAACCCGCGCCGCCCAAGACCAAGGAGAATCCGGGTGCTGCAGCTAGGATAATACCGCGCAAGGACTCGCGTAATACAACATCCTCAAATATGGAGTCTGATAATGCCGTTGATCAGAGTGGAGAGAACAAGGACCCTGCATCCGGAACAACTACTAATGTTCCATCCAAGGGAACAGGGGAAGAGCAAACGACATCATCTTCCCAAGATAATGGCTCCAAGAACACTTCCTCCTCAAGCACTAATAAAGGGAAAGTGGCTCCTACCGCAGGGAGGTTAGCCAAGATCGAAGAGGATAAAGCGTTGGCTGAGAATTCGTCAAGAGCGTCAGATGGAATGGAGCCACGTAGATCTGTCCGCAGGATTCAGCCAACTTCTAGGGTAAGTATACGGGAAATTACATATATATATATATGTGGAAATTGCATAATAACCCTGATTTCTTATTGAACTTGTGTGTGTGTTGATCTCCAGCTACTTGAAGGTCTGCAAACGTCGATGATGACCTCGAAGATTCCTTCGATGTCACACAACAAAAGTCACCAAAGTCAGAGCAAAAAGTAACTGTAGAGGTAAGAACAATAGTGAAATAACTTGGAGGTGACCATATTGAGCTGAGACAGTTGATGTTTGTTTGGCAGGCAAGTAGAGGTGGTGGAAGGAGCAGAAGCTAAGTGCACATAAAAACCCCAAGCGGAGAAAAAGAAGAAGAAGAAATAGGCAGTCTCGGCTGCTGTTAGGTTGTTTTTAGTTTGATATCATGCTCGGAAAAAAAAACTTCTGTTGGTTGGGAGAGATGATGATATATGTTATTGTAGGTGTGCTTTTGATTATTTAGTCAAATGTTTCTCTCTTTATCTTTCTCAATCTCACTCGGTGCGTCTGAGAGAGAGATAAGAAGGTGTATATTCGTGATATTGTTGTAGGAACCAACCCTTCTTTTTTTTTGTATTGCCAATTATCATCTCCCTAACTTCATTACAATACCCTTTTGTTTTGATTTTTGGGATGTTTTTAACTAATCGATGATAGTTTCAAGTCCGTTTTTCCCTGTACTTGAAATCCGACACTCGGTCCAGAATCCTCCAGCTTTGATTCAGACAAAGTGAAAACACAGAGGCAGTTCTGCAACTAAGCTGTCTACTACTACACTTTTCTGAAACCAACAGTCTAATGATCTCAGTTGGTAATTTTATAATTTACAAAGAGTGTGACGAATACATTATTTAAGATTATAATCATACAGCTGAATTATTACACAGTTATGACATACAGCTGACTTATTACACAGTTATGATTTGTTTTATTACACAATACAACAAGCTGTTATCATCACCGTCATCATCAGAGATCATCAAAGAATATACCCAATCATCCACCAGTTGAAGCTTTCTCGTTCTTCATGATCATATGGAAGGATTTGACTTTGTCTTCCTCTACAATCTCTCTGAGGACATCGTCCTCAATCTTCTCAGCTTGCCACAGAGACGGGTCCTCTACAAATTCTTCGCTGAAAATCATACTCGAGACCCACTCTTTCCAAGTAGTCCTTCTGTATTTGTCTTCCTCAAGTGTTCCTCTCGACAAGAGCTGGTAAACGTACACCACTTTCTGCTGTCCCGGTCTGAACGCGCGTGCGATTGCTTGCTTTGTCTTAGAAGGATTCCACTCCGAGTCGAGCATGATTACCCGTGAAGCAGCGGTCAGGCTGATCCCTTCAGCACATGCAGTGATCGAAGCCAGCAGAACGCGGGAAGGGCCTCCAGGTTCTTCGAATTTGTCTATCACTCTGCCTCTCTCGAACAGCTCGAGGTCCCCTGTTAAGGTCAGGAGCTCTCGGCCTCTCTTCCACCTGAAAACATTCTCAAACAGCTCAAGAAACAGCCGGATAGGCGCGATGTTGTGGCAAAAGATGAGGATCTTCTCCCTCTTGACCACACGGAACACGAGGTTAAGCACAAACATGACTTTGGATCCTCTCTTGGCGTCATGCTTGAGCTTCTCGATCTCGAAAAGCTCTTCAGGGTTGAAGAACTTGGCACAACAGGTAGAGGTTTTGACCAACCAAGGATGGATAGCTGCTAGAGTTATGAGAAGCTCGAGCTCGAGGGGATATCCATGGTAAGTCGACATTATGTTCTGAAGTTTTGTAAGAGTCTTGTGCTGCATATCTGTGGAGTTCATCAACAATGTGTAGATCTGCAAACCAGGGAGAACATCACCACTTCCGCTTCCGCTTCCTTCGTAGTTATCTATGAAACCGCCTGTCATGTTCTTCAACATGTTGAGACCTTGCAAGCGCTCATCTCCCACTTTCGTGTCAATCTTCTTGGCTATAATGTCAAGGAAGAATTTCCTCGCTCTGTTTTCAATCAAGTGAGGCGCCTTTTGCACCGCTTGGTTTGTGTCGAACTTCTGGTCCAACTCCATTAGAACCTCATGGATAAACTTGGGTCTAGCCAAGCACAAAGTGTTGAAGTACTCACAGAAGTTGTTCTGAAACAATGTACCCGAGAGCATGATCCTCAAATCGGTGTCAACTTTCATCAAGGCCTTTCGTAATCTCGACTTGGTACTCCTCGGGTTGTGTCCCTCGTCTAGAACCAGAAGCCCCGGAGATTCTCTCAGCACTTTAGCCATGTACTTCCTATGAGCAAACTTGGAGTCTTCTCTCATCAGTGTCAGAAACGAAGTGTAACCCATTACAAGAACACTCGGCTGCGCATGCCATTTCTGAATCTTGTCTAAACAGTCAATAACATGCCTAACATCTTGGCTCGGTTGTGGAACTCCCTTGAACTGAATCGTGTTCTCTTTGGACACACAGTAGGTTCTACGGCCATGGATCAAGTGAACCGGGACTGGAATCTCCCATTTGATGAACTCCTTGTACCATGTGTACAATGTTGTTTTGGGAGCAAGAACCAAAGGCCTCTTCCCTGGGAATACCTTTAAGTAGCTAGCAAGAAAAGCTATGATCAGAAACGTTTTGCCTGCTCCTGGAGTATGAGAAACCACGCAGCCACCTATCTTCTCTGAACTCGGATCCATCATTGTGGGAACCACTGATCCGGCTAGGTTCCTCCAGAGAAACTCGAAAGCTTTTTTCTGGTGCATGTGCAGTTTGTTTTTAAGCTGAGGTATTAGTGACCAAACGTTGTCACTTTCTTCCGCCGAGGGGATCTCCGAGGATGAAGCAACAGGCATTGTGAATTTCCTGCTCTCGACTCCATCTTGTTTCACCTTACTGTTTATTTTGATGTCATCTTCGTTGACATGCTTAGCCTCTGTGGTCCATTTCTTGTTTTGCGCCTATTGAAAAAAATTAAAGGATTATAACTCTATTGGTTTAATCATCAAGATATGCATTTTCAAGAGTTTTTCACTTACAAAAGGTGCAGAAACATGTTTTATCTCCGTTCCTACATGACCACATAATCTGCAACACATTCCAATTTCTTCATTCAGTTCATAATCATGTTCACAACCACTGGTTGCTTTCTGGAACGCCTCGTTATCCACTCTCACCTGAAAATTTCAAATCCAATATATAAACGCAAGTTTGTAAATAAAGAAGTATCAAGAAGATTCCCAAAAAGAATATTACCTCACAGTCATCAAGAATGTAAGAAGAAGCCAAACATAGTTCCATTTCCCTCCATAACATCTCGATCTCTGACGTATCTCCCTCATCATCATCATCATCATCATCATCATCCTCACTCGACCTGTCTTCAGCTTCCACTGAAGTGCTTGTGGCGTTCTTTAGCTTCTCCCACTGCTCTACAACACTGTTTGTTTCCTTCTTGGCTGCAATTGTAGAATCAATATTACTCATGTATGACTCTATCAGCTTGTTATAAGCACCTGCGCTCAATGTTCTCTTCTTATAAATCTGTAGTTCATCAGAGTTCCCGGAAACAGACCGTACTCGGGAATGTGGTTGTGGTCCATTTCTTTTCTGAACCGACTTCCCGAGGTTGTCAATCCAGCATAGATCAGATTCTATTTCATTCATTTCCGACTTCATCTTCTTCCCAAACTTAGCAGCTTTACTTCGATACTTATCGATCTCATCCGTCAAACGACCTCCAGAGAAACCACCAGACAAACTATTTGCATTGAGACCAAACTGTTCCAATGGTATAGGTTCAAACACGGGAGTGAAGGGAATAACCGAAAGCTCACGACTTCTACCAAAACCCTCTCTTTTCTTCTTCTCCTTCGTCTTCCTCTTTCTCTCTGTTTTGTCTACCAAAACAATTTCTCTTTCCTTATTCTTACTAAATCCCTTTGTGCTGTCTTTTTTCTTAAACAACTGGGATAACGGTATGTACAAATCATCATCAGTATCTCTATCATCTTCACTATCTTCTTCTTCGACATCATCTTCGTCTTCATCACTTGAAACAGTCCATGTGCTGTACCTATATGGCATCATCCTTACCCATCCATCCTTTGAATCTAGCTGACTCTCGGAGAAAGCGTATCTATCAGGCCGCACGTTTCTTCTCTTGGATCGACGCAACTCCATTATCACCTCCTCTTCACTTTCCTCCTTTACATCAGGATCTTGATTATGAGTATCATTCGCAGCTGGATTGAACAAAAACAACTTGGACATGAAAACTCCGTCTTCCACCGTCATATTCATTGCACTCAGAGAAGAACTGCTACAGCCTTCTTCATCCGTCACAATCTGATAAACCATCTTCTCTTGAACTGTTCTGATGTGAAACACAATGCTTTTCAAGACTGATGTAACAAGCAGCCACGTAAGATCAGGCAAGAACTTGCCGAGGGTTAGCCTTGTTTTCACAAGCAAAGCACAGTCCTCCGAGAATCTCCATCTGTAGAACCGGTCCAAGCTTTGTTCTTTGTGAAACATCTGGAGAATGGAAATTTGGCTGAGTCCAACGAGCACTGAAGATCTATTCAATCTATGTTTCTCCAAACCGATGCAGCCTTGGTCTATATAAACGCTGACATAGAAATTACACAAGCATTCGGATTCATGAGGCTTCCTCTCTATCGATACAATCTTTGCATCAACCCAAACCTACACCACACATAACAGATACGTCTCAAACAAAAACCAAAACGAGACAAAGTTTCTTGAGTGTTGTGCTTTTTTACGTTTTGGTATAAAGAAGGAAAGTATCAACATAAATGTGAATATATACCGGCTCCTCTAAGTCATGCTCCGGAGTATCTTCATCCAAGCTGACATTTTTCTGATAGAGAACACAAACATCGACACCGTGTCGTAGAAAAGAGGTACAGTCGATGGGAGTGGCCTTTCTTGATCTAAGACGAAGCCTCTGATAAGGTCTTACATCTTCCAATACATGTCCGTTTTCCAAAAGCCGCATCGTCATCGTTCCATTCTCGATCCTTAAGTGCTCCACGGGCTTCCATGTCCCCGAGCAGAAGACCTCGAAAGCTGCCACAATAGAGCAACCAACAGATAGTAATAAATCACTCACTTCACTCAATGCAGAACATTTTAGGTAAAAATGGATACAGAGATCTTCTGAAGCACTTACGACATGGATCAAACGAATGGTTCAGCTGATAGTAATGCTTTCTCTTCATTTTTCAATTTTCAGCCACATACGATCTCCTACAATGACAAAATAATAGTAACGGCCAAAATATGATACTTTTTAAGTTTACCAGAAACGGAAAAAGCTTAACAACGATAAACAGTTTTCTCTTCAAGACCAAATAGCATTTAGTGTGCTTTAAAATATTCATGAATCAACTGAATAAAAAATGTGTATTAGAATATAGGACAGAGAAGTGAATCACTTGGGAGCTGAACAGAGAATATACATACCACTTACTCATCGACATTGACGAAATGAATTGCCGCTATCACAAGATGCTGTAATATATTATGATTCATGATTATTTATCTAAAACTTGTTGTAATTAATACGCATGAAAAAAGATTCAAACTTGATCTTCTTAAGTAGTACACACAAACCCAGAAAGCTTCCCGGAACAGAGAGTTAAAAGAAACAGAGCATATGAGCTTTTAAAACATGATCATACTGTTACGTGAACATTATAATCCAGTTTTTGAAAGAAAGAGACAAACAAACGATCACCGTCATCTAAACAACACAAAAAAAAACCCAGATTAAAAAATCACTAACTCATTATATGTAATGTAAAGAACGATCGGAGCAGAAAATCAATCAATGAATCACCTTGTTAGTGAAGTGAAATGAGTTTTGTATGAAGGGGAAATTATCAAGAGAAGGAACAAAAGATCATATAATCGAAAAGGATGGTGAGGAATTCAATACCACACTCACTCAGAATCTTGGGCAGTGTGTAACTTTTTCTCTTTTGGCATGAATTTACGCAGAATCAATAAAAAGTGAGAGAGAGAGAGAGAGAGAGATATATAAAAGCACACAAAGAAAGTGACTGAAGAGGAGGGTTTAAGGACGGATGGCATTATCGTCATTTTCATCTGCCTGCTTTCTTATTGGGGAAATAAATGGCTACGATTTAGTCAGCCGTGTCTTTACTATATTTATATAAAATATCAGACTTTCTTTGTTGGTAGAAACAGAGAGGAGATATAGTATTTGTAGGTGTGAATTTAATTATAGTTTAGACAGATGTCTATCTCCCTCTGTGTGTCTCACACAGAGAGAGAGATAGTGTCTCACACAGAGAGAGAGATAAGAAGAAGTTTGCATCTTCGTGACATTAATATAGGAACCAACACTTTCATCATCTCCCTATCTTCATTTCCTCTCATATTATACCCTTAGAAATTATTAAACATAAAAAAAATCCAAATTTGTATAATATGAAGCAAATAATATTTTCTTCAGTTTTTTCTGTCGATTATTTCAAATAACTAGGGGCAAGAGTACACAAGAGTCTGGAGGAAATGAATAGAAGAAAAAAAAATGGAGGTAAGGATGGGTAAAGAATGTGGATGAGACATGTGGACTAATCAGAAGTCGGCAGAGCCTGGAGAGCGCGGGAAAGGAATAACATCTCTGATGTTATCAATTCCGGTGGCAAATTGGACCAGCCTCTCAAACCCTAAGCCAAATCCGGCGTGAGGAACTACATTGCACACACACAACAACAAAAGCACTTCAATCATCCTCCAAGTTTCTATCTTTTGTTTTCTCTTTCTTAACCATTCTAATAAGATTCACGAGAAAAGGGTAGCAAAAGATTCAGAATAAGAAAGAGACCTGAACCATAGCGGCGGAGGTCGCGGTACCACCAGTAGCTCTCTTTGTCGAGTTTCAACTCATCAAGCCTCGCTTCCAAGACATCAAGCCTTTCCTCTCTTTGGCTTCCACCTATCAGCTCTCCTATCTTTTCTTACCCAAACCCAACATCGTTCATTTATCAACAACTTCTTAATATTAACAGCTTTTTTTTTTGTTTTGTAATGCATAATCTCAATCTTACCCGAGGTACAAGCATATCCATTGCTGCAACTGTTTTCCCATCGTCATTCTCCCGCATGTAGAACGCTTTTATCTCCTTCGGGTAGTCTCTTATTATCACAGGACGGCCCTCAAATGCCTCTTCTGTAATGTACCTTTCATGCTCGCTCTGCAGATCCAGCCCCCACTTTACCTGAAAAATGCAAATCTGGATAAGACACAGCTTCCGCTTGTGAAATACTAGCTCAGAGACCCCAAAAGCAGTACAACTTGCATGAGAAAAAGAAATGCATAAGCAACTTTGCATTTTTACTTCAAAACTTGCAGCTCAGATCTATTCCAAAGGGCAAATAAAGCCTTTACCGGGAATTCAAATTTCCTGTTTGCTTTCACAAGAAGTTCAATGGCATCTGTGTAACTCAGCTGTAGAAAATCTTTCTCAACTACGTCCTTCACAAATAAGATTACATAAATTCAGCCAGTGCAAACTACATAGTATTCTTTTTTTTATCACAAATTGAGAATCAGAGGGCATACAGTCAAACGCTGAATGATTCCTTTCTCAATCCATGTATCAAAAAACTCCATGTCTTCCTTGCAATTGTCAAGAACGTATTTTACCTATAAAAATATCAAGAGATCAATTACAATCAAATTAATTCTAGATCACGTTACAAAAATGAAGATCTCGTATAAAGTTTGAAGGAAATACAGAGTGAAAGAGCAACATACGACGTAGTGGAGGTAGGCGGTGGCACAGGCCATGTCATCATCTAGGTCGGCAAAAGCAAGTTCTGGTTCAATCATCTTATATGGTAGAAAGAGTCGTCTTCAGAAAAATGCACTTGGGTAAGAAAAATTCAATTGTGAGTTTGGCTGGAAGATGAAATAGTGCTGACCCAGAATTCGGCCAAGTGCCTGGAAGTGTTGGAATTCTCAGCTCGAAATGTAGGACCAAATGTGTATACCTGTAAAGTCATACATATGAGAAATTCAGACACTTACTAACCAAAATCTAGCTCATGATCAAACGAGGAAGTCAGCTAATACATCTGAGAGAGCGCTCGCATAAGTTTCTCCATTGAGTTGCCCAGAGACGGTCAAGAATGCTGGTTTCCCAAAGAAGTCCTGAGGAGTAATACAGCCATAATATCTGTTACAGTTGCAAGTTCGTTTCTTACCATTATTAAGATACAAAAGATATGGAGCTGAACAGACCTTAGACCAATCGACCAAACCACCCTTTGTTTTCGGAATTGCATCAATGGGAGAATTAGAGGCCTCATGGGAGCTGGGAATCTAAAAAGTGAAGTATAGTTTTAGGTGTAATTTCATTAAATCTTCCATGTGGAGCTGAGAGTTGTAGTGCTTGGTGAAAACAAATCAAGCTGTTAATGGGTTATTACAGAGTAGTGTGATGTTGAGAGCTAGAGGTCCTTACGAGTGTAGTGACACAGAACTGTTCTCCACCTCCTTCACAATCCGCCGCTGTGATAATTGGGCTTGCCACCCAGATAATTCCATTGACTCTAAAGAACTTGTGTGTAGCATATGCCAAAGCACTCCTAACTCTCGCCACCTGAAACAAGATGTGCATGTGTAAGAAAATAGAATTCGGTAAATTATCAGTAAGTTCACCATCAAGTGTCAATAGATGTTTGAACAGAGACAAGAGTAGCCTGAGAGAAAGGGATAGCGGCAGAAGCGATTTTCAACATCCAAGTACTAGACAAACAATACTTTCTTATAAGAGCCATGTTTCTGTTTAAGATGATTATACATCAAATAACCAAGAAGGCAGCAAGCAATACGTGTCTACAGTGCAGGGAGCTTCATGACACTAGAAAAGTAAATGAAAAAGGAAAGTTGCAGGCACTTTCACCTTAGAAAAAAAAACATTACCGCCGCAAAAGTATTGGTTCTCGGACGTAGATGAGCCTTGGTTCTCAAGAACTCCCGGCTGACCCTTTTCTTCTGGATCGGAAAGGAAGAGTCACACTCTCCAACCTGCGATGAAGTGTCAGTGGGTGAAAAAACAATCCAGAGAAACTAATATTAAGTTTCAACTCAGGGAACTGAAAGTAGAAGGAGCAAAGAACGTACCACAATGAGTTTCTCAACCTTTAGTTCCACCTTTTGCTTTGTTCCCTTGCTGGCCACAATAGTGCCTTGTACAGATATGGCTGCTCCGGTCAAGACCGAACCAGATTCTACCTATTGGCAAAAACAAACAAAAAATGCCATGAAAATGTCTCTCGTCAATGAAGTAAATGAGAATTGTTCGAAGGTCAAAAATGATTACCTGATCATACCCATCTACGTCCGGATTCACCACACATTGCAAGTTTGATAAGCATGAGCCATCATTTATCTTTCAACCAGATTCAAACGGCGATGTTGTGAGTAATCAAGTAAACTATATCGGCAAGCAAACGGAAAATTTGAGAATTTACCTCGACGAATGTGACACTGCTCTGAGATCGAACTGTACGAACCCAACCCTTGATTGTGAGGCTCTGCCCGACGCGACCCAGCCCTTCGTCTTCTCCTCCTTTCACTTCAGCTATCTTCAACTTCCTCTTAAATTCTCCAACTTTACTCCCGAATCGATTCTCATAATTACTCTCCACTTTCTTTCCCTCTCCGGAACCGAGAGATTCAGAAACAGCGGTGCAAAAGCATCTCCGGCGAGCATTGGACGGATAACCTTCGAGAAGCGGGAGAACCCGGCGGTGTAGAGGACGGAAGAGAGAATAAGAAGGTTTAGAGATTGGGAAGAAGGATAAGAATCGGAGAGTAGAGAACGGAGTGAGACGGAGAGACGCCGCGGCCGCCATTTTCAGTCGTGAATGTGTTTGGGAATTTTGTTGGGTTTTTGATATATATGAATTCACTTCAAAGTTCAAACGCTCGTTTCGATTTTCATATCATCATTAAATTGGGCCTCAATATTACATTTGTAAGGCCCGTTTATCCATAAAGACGGAAAAATAATTGGGCTTGTCGAGGAATGGTAATATGAAAAGCAAACAAAACAGAAGATACCAGATGTTCAATAAAACGCCATGATTCTGTTTCTGTGACTGTGAGTGTGAATGCAACCAACGGTTTCGTCTCAGAATGAGTCTAACTTGAGACAGTGGAGAGGAAGAGACAAAAAGAGGGAATGAGTCTAACTTCAGACGAAATCAAATCTTTGATCTTGACAGTTCGTTACTGAATGAGTCTACAGAACATTAAATTCACAACGACATTCATGAACATCAAGGACACTCGCTCTCTCTTTCTCCCTCACTCTACATATAGATAGAAGAAGCAGAGGAAGAAACATAACGAAGAATCAGAGAAAGAAACATACAAACAGTATCGATCAAGAGCGATGGGGTGTGACGGTCATGGCAATCTTAGCGACGCAAAGTTCAGCAAGCCGTTGCCTTGGATAGGTGTCTACGTGGCTGCAGCTTCACTCATCTGTGGAGTTGCCATGTTCGCCGATCTTCTTCGCGGCTTCCGCAACCGCAGGTTCTGGTTTCCCTGCAAGTCCTTCTCTCTCAACGCCACCACTCTCACCTTCATCTCCGTCTGCGTCAAACTCTCCGTGGATCTCAACACTTCCATGCCAAGCCGCCAAGATCAGCTCGCCAAGCTCAGCAGCAACGTCTTCGTCTGCACCGTGATGGCCAATTCCATGCCTTCCCTGGGTTTCATGGTCACTCAAGACCTCCTCATGAACCTCGTGGCTCTAGGGATTCTTGTCATCACCGACCTTGTCAACATATGTATCCAGTTGGGTACAGGTGCCATCTACGTTTTCCCTCAAGAACACGCTTTGGTTATCGTTCTGACGCTTCTGATGTTTGTCATCCTGAGCTTCTCAGCTATCACAGTCCCCGCCACAAAGCGTTTGCTAGAGTTTAAATACAAGAAGAGTTACGAGCTCGCTTTGAAGCAGTGTCCTTCGTATCAGACAGAGAGAAGAGGAGGGTTCTCTGAGCTTAAAGAAGATCTGATGAAGTTCTGGATGATGGCTCACACTTCTAGCCCTCAGTTCGTGATGGCTCGCTCTGTCACTTGCACCACCTCTGGTTTTCTCTGTTTCTTGAGTGCTGTCACTTTGGCTGAAGCCATGCTCCAGTCTTACTTTCTCCAACCCATGGGGTCACTTGGGTTCTGTAATGGAGACTCTGATTACAAATGGTCAACCACTTTGGTTCTTGTCTCTCAGGCGGCTGCCATAGCAATAGGAACCGTTGCTCCAGCAAGCAGATGGTTTACTGCAGTGTACTTGAGGTGTACATCAAGAGCAAATAAAACTTTGAGAGATGATTTGATTGTTGAGAGTTATTGGGTAGAGAGTCTCACTGAGAAGAAAGATCATCCCTTGAAGCTTTGGATCCTCCATGGTCGCCGCAGCAGGAAGCTTGCACACGACGTAAACCGATGCATACTTGATCTCTGCATTGCAACACAGTATGGGATAGTGTTGGCTAGCAAGTTCCTCCGGTTCATCGCGCTCTACTTTGTGAATAGGATCTTGCTATGTTGTTATTTCACCTTCAGAATCTCAAACGATGAGTCGTCAGGGTCGGGATCAAATCCATCAACGAGAGAATTCGTTATGCATCTTGAAGGAGAGGAGGAGCTTGTTGATTATATGGCTCGGAGAAACCGTGAGGCCACAAACCACTTGATACAAAAGGGTCGGAAGAAACAGCCCTTAAACTTGATAGAGCTCTTGGAGGCAACTAATCCCATCTCAAAAGGATTTGAAGGGATTCGAGATTTTGACAGCGACGAGGTCGCTTCTCTGACCTCTGGAGAGCCACCTAACTGCTGGGCGCTTCCATTAGTAACACTGACGAGTATCGCTGTTGCACTTCCCAACACCAAGCCTTGCTCTTTGAAGAAGTTACTGAAGGCTGTAAACGAGGCGTTGGTCTATGTGAAACAGTTTGAAGACGTCTTAGACATTGAAGGAGAGTTAGCTAACAGCAGGAAAGCTGCGGAAGTAGTTTGGTTAGGAGTTGATCTCTACCATAAGTGGCTCAACGTGGATCTCCGAAAACTATCCAAGCAACAGAGAGCAAGGCCACGAGAAGTTTTTAAAGAGCTTGCGGATATGGCGAGGAAAGAGTTTAGCGAGTCGTGGGAGAAGAACCTGATGTTGTCCATGAAGCAGAAGCCCTCGCGCTGGCCCATCAAGACTCTGGCAGCAAACTCGATGTACCGAATCAGCAAAACCCTTTTGAAGAAATACGAATCAAGAAACATTGGAACAGAGCAGACTCTGTTTAGAGAGGTGGAAAGGTTGGTATCGGACATAATAGCAGGATGCTTTTGCAACACGGCAAGAGTGGTGGGAATGAAGTGTTTGGTAACGGCGGTGGAAGTGAGGGAAGCGTCGGTGAGAGAAGCGGCAATGCATCTGGGGAGAACAGAGAAGATACTTGAGATCGTGGACAAGAGATGCATGCCTGCTTTGTCTCATGAACAAGTGGCAAAGATTGATGGATGGAGAGAGTTTTATAGGACCAATAAATGCATCTCTTCCGCTACGCATCCTTCTTCTCAGTGTACCACTCGTCAACTCATTCTCACCATAGAGTAACAACAAGTCAACACTTAATGTCAAGTTAATAATGACCGTTTTGTACAGTTGAACTTGGCAATAATAAAACAAGCTTTCTTTGTCGGTTGATGAAACAAAGTCAAACTATCAACTTTAATTAAAACTTGTCTCCTTCTACTGAGTATATTTGCAATAGCACAAGTAAACCTTCAGTGTTAAAGCTTACAGGTTTGGTAGAGCATCCTTGTTTCTGTCTGAACATAAGTATTTGTTTCTAGAGATGATAAAGAAAGATTGTAGTTCATATATATGTCAACAAACGATCAGCCCGTCTTTTCCTCTACATTCACTCTTCATAAGTGCGTGTAGACATAAAAATGATTAGAATAGTTGCAATATAGTTATCTTTATCAGTTGTCTTAAAAAAAAAAAAAAAAGTTGCAATTCATAATGAAAATATATTTTCTCACGATATAAAACTTTGGTTTTGGGTTTTACAAAGGAATATATAAGAGAAAGTAAGTATGTAGTCAACAGAGTCAAGATGGCCGAGTTGGTCTAAGGCGCCCGCTTCAGGTGCGGGTCCGAAAGGGCGTGGGTTCAAATCCCACTCTTGACATTAAATTTTTTATTTTTGTTTTTTAACTGTATTTTTGTATCCTGTTAATGTTGATGAAAAGAGATATCCCAATCTAAGTTAAAAAAAGGAAAAAATCAATAAGAAATGTAGATACATATATTTCTGTATATTAATGCTAATGAATGTAAAAATAAACATAAAATGTTGGATCAGGCGGATGGAGACTCACGCATGGCTCAACTCTAGAAGACTAGAAGTCTAGAATGGTGACTATGAACGGACAACAATAAGTTGACACGTGGACACAAAGGTCCCACATCCACATGGAAGCAGTTGAGATGTTCGAAACCGAACCCAACCCAACACAACTCGGATCTCTCACGGACCGGTGCGGTTGCTCACCTGCATTCACTCTTCCTTGTCTCCATGTCCTTTCCTTCTGTTATTATTAGACACATGTATGTGTATGTTTAGGTATATTTGAAAATCAGTGCAACTAAATGACAATAACTCCAAACAATTTAAGTTCTAAAATTCAATTATTAAACTTACTTTAGGTTGAAGATGCCTACCCCATAGTAGTTGTAATATACATATATAGTAGAGAGAGAGAGAGAAAAGTGATGGGAAAGAAGTTGGTGGAAGCTAAGGCAGGCGAGACAGGTGTGACTCGGTTGTTGTTGACCTCAGTCTCTCACACCATTATTTATTAATTACCCTCTGTAAACTAGTATTGTGACTCTTTTTTTACTTCAAAGGCTTTTCGTTTGAAAATGACCATTATCGTTGGGCAATGAACCATTTAAGTCTTTCTCATATTGTATAGTAGATCCACAGACTATGCCAATAATTAATTAAAACATTTTTCCTCACTAAGCATAATATGAACAAAAAAAAAGTGTAAGAGATAAGTTATGATCTCTAATTAGACAGCTTAGCCAACAAAGCTAACCCCACTTTTCTTCTCTTCATATTTAATCTCTCTCTCTCCTTCTTCTTTCTTCAACCATCTGCTTCTCTTACATCTGAGTCTTCTTCTGCAAACCCACTTTTCGTTTTTTGTTTTCATTTTAACATTCTGATCCATGAGTTGTAATATCTCGATGATGAAGTTCTTGAATCACATCCTCTGTCTCTCTCTTGTCCTCTCCATATCCATGACTACTCTGTCCTTTGCTCAGACATGTTCCAAGTACAAGTTCTCCAGCAACAATGTCTTTGATTCCTGCAACGATCTTCCTTTTCTTGATTCTTTCCTGCACTACACTTACGATTCTTCCACCGGGAGCCTCCACATCGCTTATCGCCACACCAAGGTCACCTCTGGCAAATGGGTTGCTTGGGCCGTGAACCCGACGTCTACGGGAATGGTGGGCGCTCAAGCCATCGTTGCTTATCCACAATCAGACGGCAGTGTCAGAGTTTACACTTCCCCTATCAGAAGCTACCAGACAAGTTTACAGGAGGGTGATCTGAGTTTCAACGTCTCTGGGTTGTCTGCAACTTATGAGAACAATGAGATGGTTGTGTTGGCAACTCTGATGCTTTCAAAGGAACTTGGTAATGGTGGAACCATCAACACTGTGTGGCAAGATGGGTCAATGTCTGGGAACAGTCCTCTGGCTCATCCAACCTCTGGCAACAATGTCCGATCCGTGTCCACTCTCAATCTGGTCTCCGGTGTTTCTGCAGCTGCAGGTGGAGCTGGAGGAAGTTCCAAGCTCCGCAAACGCAACGTGAGTTTATTCTTCTGTAAACATATCTCTTTCCCCTATTTCTTTTCCTTAGGAAAACAGAGAATAATGATTGACTTTGGTAATAATGATGGGCAGATCCATGGAATATTGAATGGAGTGAGCTGGGGAATAATGATGCCAATAGGGGCAATCATTGCTCGCTACTTGAGAGTAGCCAAATCAGCAGATCCTGCTTGGTTCTACATTCACGTTTTCTGCCAAGCTTCTGCTTACATCATCGGCGTGGCCGGATGGGCCACTGGTCTCAAACTCGGTGGCGACTCACCGGGGATTCAGTTTAGCACCCATCGTGCTATCGGGATCGCTCTCTTCTCTCTCGCAACAGTTCAGGTATAACTCACACACACTTCACATCAAAAAGACAACCTGTAATACAAACCTTTCTGAACTGGATATTTTCGTGTGTTACACTTCAGGTGTTTGCGATGTTTCTGAGGCCGAAACCAGAGCACAAGCACAGGTTGTACTGGAACATTTACCACCACACGATAGGCTATACGGTAATCATCCTAGGGGTGGTGAACGTGTTCAAAGGGCTAGACATATTGAGTCCCAAGAAGCAGTGGAGAAATTCTTACATTGGTATCATCGTTGCTCTCGCCATTGTTGCCGCCCTGCTTGAAGCCTTCACTTGGTATGTGGTCATTAAGAGAAGGAAACTTGAGGAATCTTCTAAAACGGCTCAGCATGGAGCAACCAACGGTGGTCGGTCTCAGTATGCTTAAGATTAGCATTAGACTTGGTTCTTTATTATCTTTGTGCATAGAGAGTGATTTTCTTTATGGTTTATAATGCTTATCAATCCATTTACAATAGGTTATTGTCGGGTTCCCATATGCATATTTTATGATTTTTTTTTATCAGGATGTGCGGCTTTTGCCTCTATTTCTTCCTTCTGAACAGAGAATAATGCCATTTTATTTTATCGACACTAAGGAAGTGTACATTTGGATTTATATAATCGAAAAGACCCAGACCAGTCAATAGTAGCTTAAGACAGAGGAGATATTACCTAATACTTAAAAACAGTTCAATCTTTGATGCTTCAAAAATGCCTTTCAAAGATTAAACAGAAGGTATGAGCTTCTGTGTACATGTGTGCGCTCAAGCAAGATCTCACGGCTTAAGGCTTGCGATCTCTCTCACCACCTGAGCTTTGTCTGCTTCAAACCTCGGGTCCTCTACGACAAAACAGACATAAATCATAAACAAACTACAAATTAAGTTTGTTTATAATGAGAATCAGGCCCATTCCCTGGTGAAACAAGTGGACTCATACCTTTGTCCGGCTTGAAATCAGCCAACAATCGCAGAAGCTTGGTTCTGTTTGCCACCAGAATGTTGATTATGTCTGAAGGCTTGTTTTGGTTTGCTACAAACAGCTGCACAAACACAACAATATCAGTGAACTTGGATACCCCTTCAAGTCTTTATTATTAAACTGACTACAATCACTGTAAGACAGACATTTTCCAAAAATCCGAAATCTAATTGCCAAAGCCATCTGAAAATTGATTATGCATCACTGGGAAAAAGTACATGTCTTTAAGGTGCAAGAAAGATACCTTGAAAACATGGAAAGCTTCTATCTGAATGGTCTTGCTTGATTCCTGAAAAAAACGAGTTTTTTATCAACAAGCTAAAGATATTTCCAATACTGAATCTGTTTGGCAGAGCCAGACATCAAAAATAGAATCATTCCGGGTTTCGTGTAAAGCATCATACTCTGAGAAGATTCATGAGAATCCTCAAGTTATCCATTGATCTCACATACTTCGTCATCACCGCTGAATTTGACCGATCCAATAATATATCCCCCAACAACTGTAAAGTTTTACACTACAAGCAATCAGATGCTCTGTCACTGCTATTTTTTTCGTGATTACACATTTGTGATATCACCACTTCTCTAAGTTACTCTACCTTAATTGCCTGCCGCCTGGTTATATAATTACTTGACTCAAGAAGCTTTGAGTTGTAGTCTGCGAAAAACTGTAAACCAAAGCAGCTGAGAATCATACTGGATCTATTCCGCACTGTCAGACATGAAACAGATACATACGTTTCGAAGCAAAATTTTATGATTTTGTACATTGTAAGAGAACTTACCCAGTCTTCATTCTTAGTGAGAAACTCAGCAACTGTAGACTTGTGCCTCGTAAGAAGTTCCTGCAAGAAAAATGATGGCGAGTTTTACAGAAATTTAAAATCATGATTGTTGGGGAAATTTAAAGTATGTTGCAGCGTACAAGAACCTTGAAAGTTGCAGCAGCATCAGCAGCAATATCGAAATTGGGAAGCTGTATGTAGTAAAAAAACTTCTTCACGTGCTGCGAATCCAAAACATATCTAAACCCCAGAAAGAGAAGCGATTTCCATTAATTATAATATACTCCATAAAACAGCACTAGCTAACTGTTTCTACTATATACAAATTGGGTAGAAGATTGTCTCTTTGTCGATAAAAACATATAGGATGCAATGTAGTAAGCGAAGAAAATATAAAATTTGCTCACTTTGCAACAATCTGGTGGCGGATGCACTCTCTAAACATAGTACCATAGTGTAACCCCATATCTGTGTTTTCGAAGCTGCGAGAAATCGTAAAAAAAAAAACCACATGAATGACAAAACGAGCCTCATGATCAAGGTCTTAAAAGTAAAACTTTGATTAAGAAGCCATTAACGAAATGCTTAACGTAATGCAACATCGACCGTATGGTTTCCATCTCCTAAACTCACCCTTCCACTAGGACATCCATGAGATCAAGGTTGGATTCGAGATAATCAGCTGCAATAAGACGTGAATTGACTTGTTGCCTCTGAAGATTTGCAACAACTTGTGTAGCATCTTTCCTAGCCTAATAAAAAGACAATTTCTCTAATTGAAGTTTGCATACTTCCAACCCAAAATTCATCTGTTTCTTTGGATTAAATCATGAGACGAGACGTTACCTCCAAGTTCATATTGGGAAGAGATGTGATCAAGCGGCGAAGAGTATCGCCCTTGAAGAACTCCAGAGTCAACTGGGCACAAGCTTCGGCTACAGGCTCAGACTCGCTGTTTCCATAGAGAATTAGCTTCAAATCTCGTAAGCTCTTGCTTAGTTCCACCAGCTGCAAGCAATTGTCAGAAATTAAACCAGAATTTGATCAGGAATTGAAGAAAAAGTGCGGAGGATGAAACCGGCAGGGATGATTCAGATCTCAGGGCAGAAACGAAAGTTGAGTATGGAGAATGTGATGGAAAGAGAAGGATTGGAGAAACCTTTTCCTCGCGTTTAGACTCTCGAAGGTCAGGGAAGGAGACGGATCGATCGGTGTAGAGAAGGAGATCGCGGGTCTGTCGAACAATATCACCCGGTGTCCGCGGCTTGGATTTGAAAAGACCCTTCATCTCCGCCTGAACCGCCGCGTCTCCACCGGAACAACCAGAAGCAGAGACAAATCTACGGCCGGGCTCAGTAGCTACTCCTTTTGACCCGCACGATCCTATTGTAGTAGTATCTCTTAGAGCTAGGGCTTACAAATGGAAGACACAAAAGCTCTCTCTCTCTCGATCTCTCGATCTCTCTCGTGTCCACTAGGGTTTATAATATGCTTCTTCTATTTTTTGCTTCGCCTTCTCCGACTTTGGTATGAGAGATCCCTTCGCTTATTTGGATTGTCAAAGTAATTGAATCGCACCACCTGATTTTATTAATTGGGATTCAATGCTCATAGCCTCAATAATGGTCACACACAAAGCTGGAAAGTAACAGTTATTCCTTAAAATATAACCTGAAAAGTCAACAAAATCAGAGCATTGATATTTTAACTTTGTTGTTTGTATCATTCTGAATTTGACGATCAGGATGTGATTGGTAATACAGTAAAACCGTAAAATATTGAAAAAAAAATATATTTTATAATGTGATTAGATAATTCTACGGAATGGTGAAATAGCAAAATATAAATATTTAAAATTAAATTTTTATTTATAACATATGTTATATATTATTTGATATCATAAAAATTAATATATTAATTATTATAAGAAAATACAACAACTTTAATATAATTTTAAATATATTTATTTTTACTGTCATTTTCACATTGCTGGTAGCTGCATTACGCAGTTATATTATCAACTATCAACCGTATTGACTGATGAAATAGCAACGTGTAGGATTCATAATGTTTACCACCATATCTATCATCATGAGTAGAAGAGATTATGAAACTTCTTTATCCTCACATCATTCTTTTTCTTCGTTAAAATCTAAAGAACTCAAAGGTGGAATCATTCAGCATGAACAAGCATTTACACAACATGTAGAGATCAACATTGACCATCCGTGGGATGATAATGACAATGAATCATAACACATAAAAAGTTTAAAATCTGAAGCAGACAGAAAGATGATGTTCAAAGTCCCAACTGGCTCTGCATCTCCAGTATAGTCTTTGCAGACTTCTGCAGCTTCTCGGTCTCTTCATCAGTCATATGCACATTGGTCACAGCGACCACGCCGTTGCGTCCAAGCAGAGCCGGGAGGCTGAGGAAGACGTCACCGCCTTCGACACCATAAAATCCACGAGCAAGCACCGTGACCGGATGGATCTTGCGCTGGTTTCGGAGGATGGTTCGAGCCAGGTTCGCGACAGAGTAGCCAATGGCCCAAGAAGTGTAGCCCTTTAGCCCGATGACTTCGTAGGCACTGCCAACAACGGTTTGGTGAATGTCCTCAAGGGTTTGTTTCTCGTAAGCGATCTGCTGCTTCTCCAAGAAGCTCAGGACAGGGATGCCTCCAACACTTATGCTCGACCACAACGCCACCGAGCTGTCTCCATGCTCTCCCACGATAAATGCCTACAAAACAAATCGATTGTCTCAACAACATTCATTACCATCGAACCTATTATAACGAGAACGAAAGAAGTCACTGCACAAATCCCTAATTTTGATTGGAACTGACCTGTACGTCCTGAGCATTGACGTCGAGATGATCCGCGATTAAGAATCGGAATCGGGAGGAGTCGAGATTGGTACCGGATCCAAGCACTCGATTCACCGGGAAACCGGAGAGTTTCCAGGCGACGTAGGTCAAAACATCGACGGGGTTGGAGACGATGAGTAAGATTGAATCGGGAGATGACTTGGCGAGTGGAGGGATGATGTGGCGGAAGAGAGAGACGTTCCTCTGAAGCAGGTTGAGCCTTGACTCGCCTGGGTTCTGCCTGGCGCCGGCGGTGACGATGCAGAGATCGGATCCGGCGGTGACTTCGTAGTCGACGGAAGCGGTGATTTTGGTGCGGGGGAGGAAAGCGGCGGCGTGCTGGAGATCGAGCATCTCGCCTCGAAGCTTATCGGGCTTGGCGTCGACGAGGGCGATTTCGTCGGCGAGATCCTGAGTGAGGATGGTTTGAGCGATGGCCATGCCGACGTTGCCGACTCCGATGACGGAGATCTTGGTGCAGCGGTTGGAGGGGATAGGAGGATCGGAGTTTTGGATCGGCTTGAAAAAGGCACTTGTCAGATCCAGCCCGCCCGGACCCAACGATGAACTGGATGCATTCTTCTCCATTACAGATCAATTTTGTGCGATGTGATGATTTTGTTTCTTCTTCTTCTTCTTCTTCTTCTTCTCTTCTCCTCTTCTGTGATTTTGGTGAGACCGTGTGAGTGAGAAGTGTACTTTATAGAGAGCTGAAAATATCTTGAATCTCTTTCCAATTTCTTATGTTTTTCCCCGTAATTAAAATATGCATATCTCAGAAAATTATGTATTTATTTAGTTAACCCTGTTGATTAGTACGAATTGTTCGATTCGCATCTAATTTTAAATAGTTTCGGGTCGGAAACCGGAAACAACCCCACTGTTTGAGTGTTTGGTTTTGCCATTTGGAATCCTCTTAAGAAATGTTAAGTGGTATTTTTCTATTCAAGATCAAAAGCAGCTTTTGTTGACATGGTTTACACTATTACTTGCATCGGTCTACAAGACTTGCTATTGCAAAATATCTAGAAAAAAAAAGGATAAAAGTTTTTGGAAGAGTAGTTTGACTTTGTGCATTAACCGGCAAAGGAGGAATTATTATATCTATCTATTACTAATAAAAATTGATGCTAAATGCTTCTAAAGGTGTCCACATAGGATTTAAAGATTCAATTCTATTTGTATACATCATCATTATTTTTAGTTAATTATATATTATATATTAAAATTAACTAATTCGTTATAAGAAAAATTTCTAAATTTTAATTAATTTTTTTGTTATTATTAGGAAAGTTTCTAAATTTTAAGTTAGTTATTAATAAAACTTTTTTTTGAAAATAGATTTTATTTTTCTTTTAACAATAAAAAGGTAAATTAACATATAAATAGATTATGAAAGAAAAATCATATATATTGAGCATGCTCGATGCAAGGTGCCCTGAAGGAGAAGCTGACTAGAACACGGAACCCCCGAGGCAGAGGAGCATAATCGTCGAGCCACAGGACCCGACGTCCCCGATATGGTACACATCGAGTGTTTTGCTTGATATGATCCGTGTAAAAAAAAAATTTGAAATTTTTACATGGGTAAATCGAGTAAACCTTTTTGTGGACATTGATGGCTGGTAAAAGAATCTTTTATTTTCCCCTCACATGTATTTTTGAATTTTAAATAAGATTTTCTTACATTATCTTTAGTATATTTTAGATTTCCCTTATCCTCTTGCCTTAAACTTAGCATTTTCATCTCTCTCCACACATCCATATCGAGCTAAACACCATTGTCAAACATTTCTCTTTTCTCTTGCATTCTCTGTTCTAGTACTTCATCTCTTGGTTCAAAGATTAAGGTAAACCTTGTTAGATTCCTTGTTTCTTGAATATAATCTTTGCAACATAAATTATGATGCATTAGAATGATTGTTGAGGTTGTTTTGCACAATTTTATTTATGCTTTTGATCTGCATGTCACCATTATTGTTTTTCTTTCAAAATTTATGGTTAAAATGATTAGGAAATGCTGTTTTTGTGCTTAGTTTGACATTATGTTTAGATTCTGGCCAAATCTAGGCATGCTATTGCTTTTCCAGCATATTAACCATTGAAATACTTCTGATTAGATTAGTAATGGTGAATCTGATGCATTTTCATAGTTTGGTGGAGAGAGAATGATGTTTTTGCTGCATATGCTTGAAATTGCTCTAATCGCTGCTTGTTACTGTGGGAATTTTAGTTTTTATTGTGTCTATCCTTTTGAGCTGAAAAGTTTTGCTAAATTCGACTCTGTTTGTTGGTAGTCAGTGTGAATTGCTACAGAATTTTCCTGTGCTTGCTTGATCTTTGAAGAATAATTTTCTGCACAGTGCTCTCAAAGGATAGTATACTAATTTTTGCTTCAAGCATTGCATTTTCAAGTACTATGTCGAGCACTAGAGGAGATGAGGAGATTTCTGACTCAAATGATGCTGCAAGAAACAAAGCAGAGGGAAAAAGACCAGTAGTTGAAGAAGAACAAGTCCAAGATGCAGCACCAAAGCTCAAAGACTACTTAAGAGCGATGAGGAGACTGGACTTCACTCCTACAAGATATGCTGATCCTGGTCTGTTGGGAGAGCTGGGAATCAAGACTGAGGTGTATGAGCTGTTGAGCCACATTGGACTGGAGAAATTTGTTAGTCTTGGCTATCCAACTTACAAGCAACTTTCTTGTGAGTTCCTTGCAAGCTTCAAAGTCTACTTCTACAAGTTTGATGAAGAATATGATGAAGGAGAAGAAGACTTTGGCAATGGATTCATCAAGTTCAGAGCCAAGAAAGCATGATACACCATGGGGTTCACTCAGCTTAAAGAAATATTTGGATTTGATCAAGGCTCAAGAGCACAAAACATCCGCTTCAAGCATGATGAGCTAAGGCATGTGTGGGAGGAGATAGCAAATGATGCTTATAGAGCTGGTCATCTGAAGAGTGCTAGCATCCGCCATCCAGCTATCAGATATGTTCATAGGGTCCTCACCAGCACACTCTTCTACAAGAAAGAACAAAGTATGGTCAAAGAAGAAGAGATGGGGTTGCTTCTGAATGACTTGAAGAACATTATGGTAGAGACAAGGCATGGGAAGATTCAAGGAGAGCGCTTAGGAGTTGGTCTTGTGACAATCCTAATGAAGCAATTTCTATCATGCCAACAATGGGCTTTCAACACAAGAGACAAGAAGCCTAAGATAGCCATTGGAGGCGTGATCACTCCTATTTTTCTTGGTGCTGGAGTTGAGCTTGGCACACCAGATGTTAGCATGATCTTCCTTTATGTCCCTTATCTCAGTAAGATCGGATACCTTTCAGGAGCTGTTGAGACCGGATTTGGCTATCAGTTTGAGCTGGAAAACAGGAAGAAGAAGATCATCTTGCCAAAGCAGCGCCTAACCAACTTCACCACCTATGAGAACATTTGATTCATACCAACAGAAGATGAGCTTTATGACCCAAGGACTGATCCGCCATTGATGAGGCCAAGCAAGGTAAAGAACATGAGCACCATCAGAGACTCATATGTGGAAGAAGACATTAAAGAGCAGTATCAAGAACAAGAGGTTCAGCATCAAGAGATAGAGGAGAATGAACATGAAGACTATGATAGCCGCCCTTATGCTTTTGACCCCTATGATGTGATCTGCATATCCGAAGCTTCAAAGGCTGCACATGAACACATTAGTCTTCTTCAGAGGTGGATCCATTTCCAGGACAAGGCCATTAGAGGCTTGCAGAAGACAGTCAAAACAAGCAATAAATCGGTTGACTCATTGAAGAAGAAAGTGAAGAAGCTTATAAAGAAGTTGGGAGGATCTTCATCAGCCAAGAGAACTCATCAAGCGGCCCAAGAGGAGCCACAAGGAGGAGGATCTGATGCTGAGGACATGTATGAGGACACACTAGAGGCCACAGTCCAAGAGAGACACTCATTCCAGATCAGTGAGCGGCCAAGGATACATGCTTCTCAACTGGCCAGACATTCATCTCATGTATCTGCTCCAAGGCGCAAAGGGAGGAAGAGAAGGGCTAGATAGCAAACTCCATCAGAGGAAGAAGCTTCACCCTCCCATGCCATTGAGAGTTCAGACTCTCACCACTCCTCCACCTGAAGTAAGGTACACCACACTAACCATTGTAAATACCAAAAATTTGTTTTTTTAGTTTCATGCGATTGTTTGCTTGATGTTTGTGAGCACTCTCTTTAGAACTTTTATTACACAGGTACTGTGTAATTTAAGTGTGGGGGAGGGTGTATGATGGATTGATGCTTGCACTTGCATTTGCATTTGCATATTAGAATAGGAACCATGCATCATGTTTACATAGCATTTAAGGCATAGAAAAAACCAAAAAAATTGAAAAAATTTCAAAAATTGTTTCACAAAAAGAGTTTGATTTTCATGCATTCTTATAGGATTTAAACTTCATGCATTCATATAGGAGTAGTTTGCTTGTTTAAATTGGGAACTATGATAGTACATCTTTGTTAATGCTAGTAGTTTATGAAAATGAAGCCCTTGTTTTTAATCATTTGGTGCATTTGATGTTGAACTGGAAATAAAGCTGAACCACTTTTGAAATTTGCATTTGTGTGACCTTTGTTTGAGACTGAAGCATGCTTTGAAATGATTTCAACCTTTGTTTAAGTGGAACCTAATTTGAATTTGCAATTATCATGCCTTATGCATTTGTGATTGATGTCATAGGTAGTTTAAAATATTTGGATCTTCTTATTCTCTTTTGCCACTCTCTAAAAGATCAATTTAGATTTCCCCACCCTTAACTAAACCCTCTTTCAAGCCAAGACATTAATAGTGTGTGATTTGTAAGGCCTCTTTCCGTCATGGTTGTTGCTTAGCAAAAAGTGTTGGGTTGGAAATACAAGGAAAGTATTCCCATTGTAGAACTAGCTCACTCTTGAGTTAGATAGGCTAGGATGTTTGGAGAATGGTTTGGGATTTATCTTGGAATTAGTCTTTAAGAGAAGCAAAGAAGAAAAGAAGTCAAGGCACAAAAGAAAAGGAGTGTGACACAAGCAAACATGTGGAAATGGCGATTCTAAATTCAAAGAAAGAAGGCTCATGTTTAAAGATTAAAAGAAGATGCAAGAAGTGCAAAACAAGTAAATCAGAAAGCCAAAGGCGAATCAAGCACCAGCATCACCAAATAAAGGATCCAAACTCAAAAGAAGCAAATCGCCACCAATTGAAGTTCAAAAGAAGAAGTGTCCTCCAAAGCACTTGAAAGAGAAGAATTTTTGTGTTTTGAAAAAAGGGGTTTAAATTCTTAAAAAGGGTAGCATAGGTGGGTTTACACTGATAGGGTAGAGTTAGGAACACATCTTATAGATCTTGGGTAGATGGGAGTCTTCCTTTGTATGTGTAAGTTGTTCTTTGACCCTTAGCATTTTGCCAAAGCACAACCATGCATTTTCTTGAGAGAACCCTTTTAAACACCAAAATCAGTTTGTGAAGTGGGATCATTTTTATTCCACTAAGCCTTGTCCCTTAGCCAAATGACACATTTGCATTTGCATAAGCATGATTCACGGTTTGAGCTTAATTGAATGTTAAAAAGATTGTTTGATTTGATTAGCATGTGTAGGTTGATAGCTTTGTGATCATTCTTGCTGTGTCATGAAAGTGGCTAAGTGTTTAAAGTATTCTTCCATCAATTGCACTCTAGAATTAAGAACATAGACTTCATTTTGATTTATTGTAAGCATTTTTAGAGATATGAGTTCTCATTTAAAACCTCATCACCATGT